AACATAATGTGAGGCTGAAGTCTAAACTAAATTTGCTCCCTCATTTTGTTGTCTTCTGTCTTGATAACCAGGTGATCTTTATGCTTCAGATTGCCAGCTTCTCTCTGAAATACCTTTTTTGCTGCGTCCACAACTTGTGTATGATATTGAGCTCCGACTGCTGTAAGACTAGAAGGGGGCGGGGCTTAGCAAATCAATTGTTATGTGGCTTTCCAAAAATAATGTGTATGTGATTTAACCAACTATACCACAATGCAAAGCGTGTACCATTAAGACTCTTAGTCAGTATATGACTCCCTTCTGTTGGATATGCATTATGAGCGTTACCCAAGGGCTTAACCTTCAAGACATGTACCATATTTACATCTAATCAATTATGCTAAGAGCATCTAAAAACATTGTCCTCTGTAAGATGGTAAGACGGAAGAGGCTCTGAGTTGATTAAATGTTAGGAGACTCATTCACTCATTACCATGTGCTCACAGCAATTAGGACTTAAAAGTAGTAGAGAGACTTCAACACAGATTTAGTTAAATGCAACGTACAAGCTGCTTGATGAAAAGTGCCCGGGCCGTGTGCATGTCTGACGTAGACATGCAGGTACATTATTAGGGACAGTGAGAGTGTAATCAAAATGTATTATTTGCTAGCTAATATAAATGTATATGGAGCATTGAGCAAAAACATGTTTGTTGTCCCGGAGCTGTTTGAACTGATCACTTCTTGTTCAGCAAAATATTTTTTATTAATTAAAACTTAAATTTAAAAACAAACTATACAATGCATGTATGAGTGTGATTATCCACGACCAGCTTTTAAAAGTGGACTAGTCAACTTGACGGCCCTTCGTTTGCTTATTTAGGCACATTGTAGCCACTTTGTTTCAAAAGGTGTATTTACTGATATATTTTGTATCGTAGAAAGAGACTGAAATATCTTAATATCCTATTAGCTTCTCAACAACAAGGGTTCTATTCCTTTTCCTCTCAAGCTGACCACAATCTGTATTGCGTTGGTTGCAATTTTTAAACAATAAATTGAATTGATGGTCCCAGTTACAGTCCAACGGGCAAGGAGCTGATGGGACTTGGATGAAAAACATGGAACTGGGCTAACCGACTGACTCCATGGGAAAGTTTACGCTGCTGCAGCGAAATGACCTTTTCCGTTCAAAGAAATGCGTTCAAACGTTGCGTTTGTATGTTCTTTGGGCCACCGTCTCCAGTCCAGCTGATGAGCAGGTTCACTTTGGCTTTTAGCTTCATCTTTTGAACCCGTTTTCCCATCTGAATCAGTTTGACATCCTGAATATATCCTTCAATTTGTACTGCGGAGCCATCTGTCTGCTGCTCTTCTAAAACTGCATTTTAATTTTTTCCATGATTTGACATTATTTATTCAAGGTATTCAGCTGGTGAACGTGAGGCAGCTCCGACAGCTTGATAGAGCAGCAGTGGCTCAGCAGGAAAATCGCATTATTTAAAACTAATAAAAACAACGTACATTTTACACATATTCCGCCACAAAATTATACGTTTGATCAATAAAATTATTCAGAAATATGCCTTGTTTAAATTACTCTTTTTTCAATTTCAACATGACATAGACGTTGCTGTGCTGTGTGCGTTTGTATATCACGTGTTGTGGCTGAAGCTCTACAGTGGAGAGAAGTGTGGAGGCGAACAATCAGTTACAGATTGTAATTTAAAAACAAATATGACCGAAATACCCTGGCTGTGTTTTCTCTTCGTTAAGTAATGGCTCAATTTATCCTGCTGTCATGCCCCTGATTAAATCTCTTCTAAAGCAAACTCTTAATTAAGTTACTGGCCTGTTTCAAAGCTACTGCATGACTAAATTACGCAATCAAACATAGAAAACAGTTTGAGGGTTTTTCTGTGTCTTTACGTGACAAAGTAACCTGTAACTATCCAAATTGACGGCAGATTGTGAGGAGAGGGTTTGTTTAGCTAATGTTTAATAGTGTGAAATTGGGGGAGAAAGACACACTACAGGGTCTTTGAATATTTCATGCCATTAGTCACTGACAGTATGAAGTGAATAGTTTATCTCTTCCAGTTGAAGAATAAAAAATGAAATATCTTAGTAAAGTAAAAGATACAAATATTTAGTACTGAAAATATTCCGAAGTGAAATTAAGTATCAGTATGTGAATTAAAGTAAACATTCTGCAATGACATTATATTGTAAATCCCTGATTATTCAGGTTATTGGTCGGATAAATCACAGAAACACGGCAATTTTTTCAGTAGCCAAAACTAATACGTACAAAAATAGAGTCAAACTTCTGTTGGAAACCTGTTCCAAAAAATGCCGAATGACGACATTCCTGAATTGCCTAATTTATCCTGAAAATAGGAATATATGCTTTCCAAAGCCAGCTTTGCTCTACAAGGAGTCTGCATTGAGCCTCCGAATGATAGCAGCAAAACAACAGCAGAAAGTGGGGGGACACATGTGACATTAAGCAGATGTTTTAATGACACATCATCTTTTTGGAATGAAGGCCTTTCAAGCGTGAGGGATTCTAATACTGAGCTCTCACTTTCCCGCCGCTTCATATCGCCATTTCTGGAAAGTCCAACATGGTTCCATGGGGCAGCACCACATTCCAGTTTGACTGGATGGTTAACAGAAGAGAACCAGGAGGAATATGTGCTGAGAGGGAAATATGACACGGGAGAAAAAATTGAAACTTATAGGCAGAAATTGCCATAATGGAACATTTGAATGAATTCCTTGTTATTCCACATCCAAGTTAATATGCTGGTCGGTGGCACCGTCCTCTCCACGGAAATCAGAACAGACAAAACGCAGTAATTATTTCAATTCAGCCGATTTGGAAGGATTCATGGAATTCTTCCGCAAACTGCAAAGAGCGAAGTGGTTTCTCTAATGAGGCCTGTCAACACTATTCTGCCTATAAGCAAACGATGACATTAGCGGCAGCGCTCGTCTTCATCTCGCCGGCAAACCACCTCGACGCCGGTTTGGGGTCCAGGAAACGTCGCTGTTGAGAAAGCTCACCGAGCTACCTCTCTCTCTCTCTCTGTCTCTCTCTCTCTCTCTCTCTCTCTCTCTCTCTGTCTCTGTCTCTCTCTCTCTCTCTCTCTCTCTCTCTCTGTCTCTCTCTCTCTCTCTCGTTCTGTTTGTCTTCTTTCTTATCTTCTAATCCTTCGAAACATAAGCTCACACCTTTCAGGACATCATTGAAAGTCATTAGTCATTATTTTCTCCGCTGTCGGTCCTCCCACACGCACACTTGCCAGCTCTCTGCCGCTGCTCGAGAAATGATGAATTATTATCTGGGTCTCTACAGGGGCTGCGTCTAGGAAGCCATGACCGTAGAATTGCTGCTTTGTTTATTCCTCCTCTTCAAGCGGCCATTTTCTCTTCTTTTTTTCCCTCCCAGCCTGTCAATCACGATTTAAAACCACCCCGGTCGCCAAAGACACCGCAGTGCAGCATATCTACACTCATGGCCTAATTTCTTTTAGCCTTTCACTACTTGTCAACCGTGTTTGTTTTGACAAAAAAGGCAAGAAGCCCCAATTTTCCGTTGTTGCCATTCACACAGTGCACACGGTGGAGACCGCCCGCCGCCATACGCGCTCCATTTCTTAATTCCACTGCGAACGCCAGCATGGATCCACCGCCGCGACCCCGCTGCCAGCCGCTCGGGTTTAATTGGTATTCATCTCAAAGTCGGCTGGGCGCCACGCGAGATGCGTGTGAGGCTGTTTGACTTTAGCAGGAGCGTGTCAGATTAAAGTGTTATTTATCAGAGGGAGCGTGTTCACAAAAGCCACAAGAGTTCGGGGCAGAGGGAATTGGGTATTTCTCTCCCCCCCCTGCTCATTGCCTTTAATCCAGCTGTGGCCTGCAGGCTGCAAAAGGCTCTGAGGGGCCCAGAGAAAACACATGTGACGGCCCCGAGGACTCCGACTTAAGACCGGTTGCTGCGCACCCATCTGCAGCGAGTTGACAGGGTGACGAAGACTTGCAACCAAGTTGTTGCCTAAGAGGATTTTCAAATGAAGGATAATCTTTTCTTCTTTTATGCAGCAGAATTCAGTCAAAGTGCTGTTCGCAGGCCTTTTTGTGTTAAATAATGTTGTGTATTGTCCTTTTGTCGCTCGCACGGCGAGGCTTCGGATGCTGTTTGAAGTGGTTAAGTGTCATTCCAATTATTGATGCTAATTCTGCTACAGCTGATTTAGCTCTCTTGTTAGCTGCGTCGAGCACTCACAACAAACAGTAGAGGCCCCAGGGGGACTGTGTTCCTGCCAATTTCCTTACTGATGCTCTCAGAGCTCAGCCGGGTGGGGGGACTGATGAAAGAAGTGTGTCAGCCTCTATAAGGATTTATGCACAACGGATCCTGTAATACCCATCGATTACTGACGCAAACCTGTAGACCTACTGTGGTATTGATTGAGGATTCTGAAAGGAGCCTTATTTGGAACGCGGGACTTTCCTATTTGAGTTTGCTCCATTAAATGATTGTGCCGAGGAAAAGGGCTGGAGGCAGTCTACAAATGACCCGACCCGACCTGACGGGTACGTCACAAATCCTACGCAAACCCGAGGCCATATCTTTGCCACGCTAATGTCATGGTTCCTTATTGATTGTAACTACTGGACGGATTGAGATTCCGGCCTGTAATACGTGAGCTATAATCACAACGTCTTGATAATTATTAATTGGTGGCACCAAGTATGTGAGAACTAGGATGCCAATGGAAAGCCAACCAGGAGACCCAGGTGTTCCCAGGTGACTACGTCGTGAGCATGTGGGTCGGGGTGGAAATAGGGGTCCAATGAAGAATGTTTACCCATGAGAATGGTGACTGATGGTGACACATAAATCAATTACATTCAAAAAGGCACAACTCCATTCATTAAACTGTCCAAATCCAAACCGGCCCAAACGCAACCTGAAAGCTGACACTTCTGTCTCCTCCTCTCTGTTGTTCCAGGGCTGAAGGTGCGTGAGGTGATGATAAATGTGTCCCGTCAGCAGGTGGAGGATTTCCATGGCCCGGAGGACTACTGGTGTCTCTGTGTGGCTTGGAGCCACCTGGGCACCTCCAAGAGCCGCAAGGCCACGGCCCGCATCGCCTGTGAGTACGGGAACCACTCAGCGATCAGCGCTGCGCCTGCGCCGGAGCAGGTGTCTTTTCACGCAATGCAATCTAATACACAGACAATGCAAGGACACTAATGGACGTGAATCCGCTTGTTGGCGTCGAGATCCGCCTCCTGAAGTTGTTTAATATGCCACCAAGAGCTGTACGACAGCACCTCTCATTCTCAGAGAGCTCTGTGGTTCAATACATATGAACGACTGTCTGTGATAAAAACATTAAACAATTGCAAACTGATTGAATATTTAAAACCTTTAGGTAATTACTGGCCATTTACTTGTAATGGAACTTTACGTATTTATTCATATATATTCATGGTTTGGCTAATGGAAATGCTGTTCATCGCAGACTGCACCAATCGGCTTCTGATCTATTCTAGTGTGTTTTACACATGTTAACATTTGAGATTGACCTTTTAAAATGCACGATCTTGGGAATGAAAAGATCCACCTCCAACAGGCTTATCGGTTTTAAACATTTCATATATTTGTTTTAAAAGTATGTACATCTGCTCTATGTCCTCTGCTTTGCTACGAAGAAATAAACATTCAAAAGCCTGAGTGAGCGTGAGAGCGATGTAAAATACCTCAAATAATTAGCGTGAAAACTGTTTTATTCACTGTTACCTGTTTTACGTTTTCTTTTTCTTTTGTGACCACCAAATCAGAATATAAATATAGAAGATAAAACTAAAGCACATATGAAATAAAGCCTTGTGCGGTGAAGGCTGTCAGTCTCTGGTATTAAACTAAATTAGATTTTCCCCTGGAGGTCCCGGTGGTACGACCCAGGATGACAGACTGATCCACAGTGTGAGCCGAACTACGACGACACAGCGATGAACATGAATCCCATGTTCCATTGGTGAAAAGGGTCTATTCCCTAAACAAGGCTGTCCGAGCAGGTTTGACGCAATCAGCTATTCACAGCCCGGTGGGCTTCCACGTGGTGTTGTAGGTTATCCTGAAGCCCTCTTCCGTGTTCCCGCGTCGCCTCAACCGTTTCCACTTCATTTCATATGTGGCCCTGGAAAGAGAACTGATAGAAATCACACGTGTCAAGAGAGTATTTACTTGTCCTTTGAAGAAAGTAAGATAACGTAAGATGATGTAAAAATCTTTATCTGCTGGGATTTCCATATCATTGTGTGTCTGAAGCACCATTCTAGAGTTTCCCTTCTATAGTTAGATCTTACAGTCAGGGAATCTCTCATGATATCATGTAGGATAGAACTACTGCACGCACATGAATGCCCAGGATGATCGCTGCAATCCTAGTGCACTTTTTGGTCTGGATCTGTTGCATCCTTCAAACCACCTTTGCAACAGATTACGTAACACGGGGCCACGGGATCCAGTGTCCTGCACCGCCTGCGGGGTTTTGGAGGAGGAGGTGGTGGCGCGCGTTGGCTGCCAGCGAGGATGGAGGCTCGGCTGATCGTAACACTCGACACCTGACAGCTGCCTCTTATCTCCCCTCGCAGACCTGAGGAAAAACTTTGAGCAGGACCCCCAGGGGAAGGAGGTGCCAATCAACGGGATGATCGTACTGCACTGTCGCCCTCCGGAGGGAGTGCCTGTGGCGGAGGTAAGGCTGCTGCCCCCCTCCTTCATAGGAACAGAAATGTATACTCCTGCTGAGCGTTTATCTTTTAAGAGATACCAACAATACGTTTGGAAGGGAAAGTCTTTGCTTTGAGTAGAATGTGCTTTAATGTGCCTGTGGGCCGGGCCACAAAGTGAATGGTCCAACTGCAGCTTTTTTATGTGGGATGATTTATTTGGGGGATGTTACTCTTTCTTTTCTACTGGATTCAGTAGTAGTTCATCAGCAGCTAACCACTGTGTTGGTGAAGACATCAAAGTCATGAAAGGGAATCTCATCACTGCGTCTGTTGGTTGCAACACGGACATTCAGATGTGTGCGTGCGTATTGCATCATTGCATCAAAGATATCAAACATGAAACACGCCAGGTGCTCTGTGCTACTCTGGAATATTTGGGCCTCATTAGAGAATTCCCAGCAGCTTGTCCTTTTTTGACTTAAGTTTAAAAGAAGACAGGATAGAAAGAGAGGATACAAGTGCTATTTCTTTAGGACAGAAGGATGTGAAAGTCGTTTATGTTGAGACCATTCGTTTCACTCCAACCTCGTCTGTACCCCCAGTTGCTCCATATACAGATTACATATACATTTATTTTGTGGATTATTTAGCCATATACACAGGACAATACAATAACAGAGCAGATCATATTGAATTAGTATATACAGTGTATGTGTGAATATATGGTTTTGTTTTAATCCCACTCAATATCTATTATTAGAGTATTTAACAGTATTCATTATAAACATGGAGGGTTAATTAAGTGCGTGATGGCAACTTGAACAGAGGCTCCAAGTGAGATGGAGAGCAGATGTGTCTCACAGTGAGATCCTGAAAGACTGACTACTGGGAGGGAAAACGTAGCATTTAAATGTCCCGGTGGCAAATGTCAACAAGAGCATGTTCCTGTCCAACATTCGGAATGTCTCCTCCTGTTTTTGGTCCGGCGATAATCGGCATGAGCAGCGGATGTGTAATTGTTGTGTGCAGGGATCAGATCCAAGCGGAGGTCAACCTCCGGTCCTGCGCTTTATCAATGATTCAACACTGAAATGGAGGAGTGATGTCATTAGAGTCCACAGTGGGGGTAAAAATAGTTGAATCTGAGCAGTACAGACCCAATCACAACCTCTCATCTAGTCCTTTGTCAACACAAATGAGCCCGGCCGCAAGAGACGGGGGTGAATAATGCAGAGAGCAGATCGTCAGCCCAGTCGATATCGGGGGCACCTCGTCCATGCAATATTGATTTGGCTTCCGTGAGTGTGGTAGTGTGAGGTTTCCAGAGTGCAGCTGCAGGACGGATGCAAAAGCGCAGCGCGGGGCCCGACTCAGGGCCCGACGCGGGGCCCGACGGCAGGGCCCGACGCGGGGCCCGACGCGGGGCCCGACGGCAGGGCCCGACGCGGGGCCCGACGGCAGGGCCCGACGGCAGGGCCCGACGCAGGGCCCGACGCAGGGCCCGACCTGCGGTTGGAGTGCAGCATAAACACTGTGATCTGTTTTGAAAGCCCGCTCGTCGGCTCCAATCAGTCACACACGGAATCCTATCGTGTCACCAGCTTGCAGCAGTTTATTGAGTCTGACGGGTTTAATTGGCACGAGAAGAAGAGCCATGGTAGGTATGTATATTTTGACAACGCGGTCATTTACAGCCATTGTTTCAATTCAATTGCTTGTGCCGTTATACTGTAAGTTTGGAGAAACATTTGATGTTGTTCCGGCGCCTTTTCCCCCCTCAATTAGTTGAAGTTGTTTTCATATTTTGCAATCAATTTTTCTGCATCTCAGTGACTAAAGGCAACAGCCATTTCAAATTTGGTAAAAAATTGGTGCAATATTGCTTGTGAATACTGCAGCCAGCAGCTACTAAATGGGATCCAATGGAATGTCTCTGCCCAGTAATTCTCTACCTTCCTGATATGTTTTGGTAATTAGTTATAGAATAAATGTTTAAAACTAAACCGTCTGATAAGGTATTTCTACTAAAATAAAATCAAGTACTATGTTTAAACATGTTCATATATCCTCCTATTCCTGGTTGGAAATTCAGCAATTCATGAAGATGTTAACAATTTTCAGCTGGACCATGATTGGCTTCCAGTCCTAAGAGAACAAGTCAGCGTCCATATGAATATTGTAAGAGGCTTTGCTTTCTGTGATCATTCCTCCTGGCAAAGAAAAAGATCTTCATAGTTTGAAGACTTCTCTTGCATACCAACATGTTTTGGTAAAAAAATATTATTACTATTATTACAAATATTGTACTCAAAACTGTATTCTTGAATGATATTGACGGCTTTTCTAGCTTTGACGGCCCGAAGCCTCATGTAAGCCTCAAACGAACACAAGATGACTCGTTGAGAAGAATTTTGGGTGCTCATGGAAAACGGGGGAAAAAACAGGAAGAACATAAAAGGTACCAATGAAAAAGACCATATTAAAAAGCTTTATTTCTATGGTAAAGCATTTTAAAAAGCTTAAATGTAGGAGTTTTTATGATGATCAAGCTACAGCTTTTCTTTTAGAAATTCCTTTGCTGTTCTTCTTCTTCTTCAGGTGGCCATGAAATAGCGACACGCACTGTTACTCACATGCACGTGCGGCGGATCCCACGTTGTCACCAAAGCACAGAGACGCTCGCATTGAAACAGAGGGAAAGGGACATCTTTTCCTGCTCATGGAGACATTACTCCAATTCCTCTGTAAATAACCCAGAGCTGTGGTCCCCAACCACTGGGCCACTTGGTGACGGGCCGTGGAGAAAGAAATAAAGGGGTTCATTTTTCTTGTGTAAAACATTTTATTTTGAAAATGACATACACGCGTCCCTGTTGACGTTGAGCATTCCTGACTGGTTCGTACTAGGGGAGGAAGAGCTGCTTTTACCTCGCCTGCTGTACGGTGCTTATCCTCACAGCTTGTTAGCTGTCTCCCTGCAGTATGCAATGAGTCACAGCTCCAAAACACCTCGGCAACAATACAATCAGTATTTTCACGGGTCGACGTGACAAAAGATGAAAACAGAGCTGTATTCAAAAAGGTTCAAGGAGAGATGAGGAACGACGTCTCGAGCCTGATTTTAGTCATTGAACTACTGGCATAAAAAAACACAGCTGATGTCAACACAATGATTACCTATAATTATGTATAACTGAACTATAATGTGTCTTAGAATTAACTAGCTGTGAGCCGAGGACGTGCAGGACTGCCTCTAAGGATTTAGCGTAGTTCAAGGAGTGAAGCCCGAGTAGGGAGGAGGACAGGATGGATGCATCAAACATAAAAAGGACATTGGCGCGGCAAAAAAGAAGCGCTTGAGAAATGTGTGTAGAGGGACGAGCGCATGTATTTGGGAGAGAATACAGTCATTTTTCAAAATAAAATATTTTTCTGAAAAAAAGTCAAATGGAAAGAATTAAAAAAATGTTTTCTTTCTCTGCGGCCCGTTCATGTGTTTATTGGGGACGACGGCAGTAGACTATTGTTAGTGTCCTGTGTGAAAACAAAAAAATCAACGTTGATTTATTTGAGCCCAAACCACATTACTTTCCAAAACCTAATAAAGGAGTTTTGTTGCCAAAACAGGTTCTGCAATATGGAGGCTTTCACACATTGCTCGTGTTGCTTTACATTCACATTCATCCAGTCCAAGCAGTGTTTGGTGTCAATCCCACTGATAAGTACCACCGTCTCTGTAGGACATGTTTCTGCTCATTGCATGAATGGCGTCTTACAAAATAAACTGCTGTGTTTACAGGAAACAAACCGTTTCTGTTTGGTACTCACACAATTAACACAAGTCTGCCATAATAAATTCGTTCAGGGACAATATACCCAGCGACCGCTTTATTAGGAACACCCGTGATGCTGTTCAATACAGCAGAGTCGCTCAAGCAAATTAAGCTCAGTAATCACATTGACAGGTATTAAACTTCAAAAATATGTTTATTGCTGCAGCCGTTGTGTTGTGCTGGAAAACATGAATGTGTGTGAGAGGTGTTTCTATTTTTTGTTATCTCTTTTCTCACAAACACATATATTTGGCAGAGTCTACCACCATTAGAAACTAATTAACACCTTGATCGTAGGCCTCATAAAAATACATCGACTAGCAGATTTGTATTGTGCTGCGTTAGGTTGCAAAGGTGAGACGGATAGATGAATGCACTGAACACTTTTTAGAAAAAGTAGCCCAAAATGAAGAACTCTTTTTCTACAAAAACTTTAAATGCCTATGTTTGCTTTCCCTATCTTAGATTTGCAACAATAGTCTTTGTCAAAATGTCTTCTTCAGGCCTTAACTTTAGTGCCATTCAACAGTTTATCAACGATGAAATACTTGCGGGTGCCTCCTGTTTGTTCTCACGGCTGTGTGAGCCATGGCTGGGAACTAAATTGCAATATGCAAACTTACTTCAAAAGAGAGACTGTAACACGCCCACGGTTAATACAACTTATTTGTCATTTTGTGTTCGGTGCCCCCGATCCAAAACCAATCCCCCCACAGACGTTAAGGGCTGTGGATGCAGAGCAGATCTTTAAACGCGGCGATCAAGGAGTCTTTGAGAACCCAGTTTAATGAGTTTCTTTGGAGAGGTTGCTCCGAGAGAACGTGTGAAATGAACAAACTGGAAGCCAATTCCAACTTCCCTGAATGGAAGCCTTTTAATCCAAGATGAAGCCCCTTGATCTACAGTAGCTCAGGTAGGCGGCTCGGCCACAAAGGGGGATCAACTAAATGCTCCTGCACTGCGATACAAGCTGTTTTCTGTTGAGCATCGCAGAGACGCCGCCATGCTCTTCCAACACAAGCTAGCGTTTACCCCCCCGGCGCCACCTGCTGCCCCCCCCCTGCACTCGTCTATGATCTCCCATCCCTGCTCCTTTCACGCAGGTCTGAGGGAGCCTCCTGGAGAGCAGATGGTGAGCTTCATCATTAAGCCGAGCAGTTACACCCCTCCACCCCCACCCCGGTCCGAATTCCATTAAGACCGATCGGGGGGGGGGCGCTAATGCTGCGCCACGTGGCTCGGAGTGGAGGGGAAGTGGCTCCACTTTGCGTACCCTCTGTACCTTCTCCCGATGTACCTCTGAAGCCTGTGTGTGTGTGTGTGTGTGTGTGCAATGGGCGTGTCTTTCTTAACGCACGCTGTTGATTGGTTGCGGGTTGGTGGGGAAGAATCGGACGGATTAGCGGCTCCTACCGCCGTCCCCTCGGGGTAAGCCTGACGGAGACCTTTAATCCGTGTAATTGGGCTGACGAGACACCCGGCAATTAAAAAGTTCCAGCGGCTTTTGCGGCAAGAAGCTGACAATCTCCCCCAAGGGGGCGGCGATAATGCTAAATTGTGACACCTGAGCATGACACGGCATAACTCTCCTGCCAGCGCTCCAGGGTGCCACCGCGTCACCTTGACATTAAATGGCCGTTGGGCCCACGGGGGGGGGGGGGGCCGCGAGGCACGGCAGAAATGCGTCAGCTGTCGAGGTCTTGATCAGCGCCGTCCTCGTCGTAAGTCTTCATGATGGCGGCTGTGTGTCATCGCTCCTCTGTCCTCTAATTGCCCCCTTAACCGCCACATTTCTTAGCATCTAGTCATCAGCAAATGTCATCCGACGGAGCTGTGCGAGTGTGTGCTGGAGGGGAGGAGAGGAGGAAGTGACCCACAGGGACGGTCAGGGTAATGTGATCAAAGGGAGGAAGCCTTTCGTCAAGGCTGACACCGATGACCGCATCCTAATTGAAACAAATATGCCAATTAGGTCATTCGTTTCTCACATCCACTCGCCAGGCTAATTTTATTTTCTCCCTCCCTCCTCCCTTTCTCTCTGTCCCTGGTTTCTTCCGCTCGGCGAATCTTTTCATCTCAGCCGGCGGAGCCGCCAGCGGCTGACGGGCCGATAACGTGCAGCGTGGACGCAAACACTGCGATGGGCCTCCAGTTAATTGCCTCTTCCCCGTCACACATTTTCCAGAGTAGAAATGAAATGAATACATAAAGAGTCAGGGTGGCTAAGTGTTGGGAGGAGTGGGAGGGTAATTGACATATTTCTTTAATCATGAAAAATTAGACTCTGTCCTCCAGTGCTCCGTTTGTCTGGGAGCCTTTGGAGGCGAGCTTCCTACTTTCTGTCCAGGGCCATCGGGGAAGTAAACGCTTCTACCGCAGAAACTGTACGACACTCCTCTCTCTGCCGAAAAAAAGAACAATTCAACCTCCTGTTGGTGGTACAATTCAGCCCAATGGGTGTGAGGGGAAAAACAGACTGTGAAAAGTGATTACTGTGTTATGATGTTCATTATCACTTTTATTTGTGTCAATATATACCTGCAATCCGTCATCCCTTGGGTCCGTGTGTCATTTCAATTTACCCAGTGTTTGCATGCCTACCGGCGCTTCCTATTTGCATCCCGCCTGAGTGTTGTTTATTATAAAGGTTGCCTGAGCGCTTCCTTCCATAAATCCATCAGCTCGGCTCATTCTGCCAAACTATGAATGTAATTTGCAAGCGCAGCGATGCAGCGTCCTTAGCTGAGTAGAGGCAGTAAAGCTTCGCTAAGTTTGTAATTTATAATGAGTTTTTTCTCTCTGTCACTGGTAATTGGTTATAGTGCTTCCTTTGACTGTAAAAGAGTCCTTTTACGCTAAGTGCTTTGTGTGTGTGGGGGGGGTCTGTCTGCACCGCACCTGCGCTGTGTAGACGAGGAAGATGAAGTGGAGGCGTATTAGCAGCGTGTACTGACTCTAAACAATAAACAAAGTCAAGTCAAAGATCAATGGGGTTCTAGCACAATCGCTCTGCTGCTCCATTTTTCTTTATTAGTTTGGCCGACCTTTCAATTGGATGCTGTGACAAAAAGGCTGAAGCCAGACCAATAAACCGTGAGAAAGCTCGTTTCGAAAAGTCTTCTCTAGCGCCCCCTGCCAAGTCCCCCAACAACCACGACGATTGGAGACAATGGTGTGTTTGCAAAAAGTCCGGTTGTACAGATGTTAATGAGACACTAGATTTATAACGACATTGAAAATTGTAAATATTAATTCATAGTCTCAATATCTTGTGTATAGTCTTCTTAAATGCAGCACAATGTCCATTGAGTAAATTAGATGATTTGGGGCGGAGCTAGCTCATGATTGACAGATCGCTACCAAAGATACATACGGCTTCTCTCCCACTAAATATGGTCACTTGCACTCAGTGGGTGACGCCACGTGACGGAGACCCACTTTTCATAGCAGTCTTTGTGCTGAGAAGTACATGCGTGTGGATTAATGGAGACCAACGTCCTCCTGTGTAAAATATAAATCAAGGTTGAGTTTATTTTAGCTTTAGTAAGAATTTTATGTTTTAAGTTAAGTTATGTAACGTTGCGACTTATTTTAATCCAATCACAATATTTCCCTTAATCTAACCAAGATGCTCCCCGTTTCTTTTGTAGAGACACAGTGTGACGAGAGGGAATTGACACATGCAAAGCTGAGGCGCGCCTGTTGTAGCGCGTTAGTTTAGCGTAGCGACACGGAACAAGCTGCCTTATGTAATGAATTGGGAGTGACCCTCGAAGATGTTCACAGTGATGCGCCAAGAATCAAAATGAACTTCCTTCCTGTTGGAATTAAAGGGGGCGGTGGGGCGTAAAATATTCACTGTGCTTTTCTGTAATTTAAGTCAGTCTTTCCATTTATCTCTTCGGCTCTTTGCGGATCGTGGTCTTTAATGTACATGGATATTCAGCAGGAAAACTGCCAAATAGTACACCAGTTTCTACTACTACTTGATTACTAGTACTACTAGTTGCCTTCACACTGAATAAAAATGTAAATCCAGTTGAAGATCAAGGTCGGTTTGCCTATAAACATCAGTTAAGCTGCAGGTTTTACTGGCTCCGGGGTTAAAAACAACTCAAATTTGTGGTCTGGATTTGACTAAAATCCCTGATAGGTGCAAGTATTTTGTCATAATGACCCCTCCCCCCATGTAGGAGGTCCCAAACAGGCTCCAGAGTGTCGACGCTGAGAACATTTCAGTCTCGCAGGTCACGGACACTCTGGGGGCATCATGAGGGAGTAGAAACCCTGGTGAAGCACAGCAGTCAGATAGTTAGCTGAACATATTGGTAAGAGTAAGGCGAAATAAATTCTAGAATGATTACCTACATTCCTTACTATTATTTGAATATATTGGATTTGCTCCCTTCTACGACTACACCTCCAAATGAATGCTTTCTGTAATGTGCCTCAGGATTTGCCTCGTCCTCTCTTGTCCGGTCGAGCCTTGTAGTAGTAATGTCACAGTCAGAAATGGGGGCCAAGCGTTGAACAAACGTAATGATCACATATAATCCTAAACGGCGCAGAGAGATCGGGGAAACAAGTCGCAGAGGAACAAACATTGTTTAAACCGAGCCTATTATAAACTCCTCACTTTTCATCTCTTGGCTGCGAGTTTAATTTTTTTTTTTATGTTTCTCAAATGCTCACAAAAGGTGAAATATCCTTAACTTTTCCGTGCAAATGCGCTTGTTGGTGTAACGCTTCTGGGAAGCCAATCAAATCAAGCAGGTTGCAGCGTTTACTACTTAACCGCTTCCTTGCTCTTACTAGTCAGTGGATTAAGTAGGATTAGTGGTATAATGGCAAATGCGGATTTGATCTTAGAAGAGGCCTTGGGGTGATCTTGGCCTATTTATTTTACATGTCTTGTCCCCCCCCCCCTCAGAAAAATCATGTTTATGTCCTCCATCCTGCGCAGGTGGAATGGCTGAAAAACGAAGAGCTGCTGAGCTCTCTGACCGACGACAACATCGACACGCGCGCCGACCACAACCTCATCATCCACGAGGCTCGCCTCTCCGACTCGGCCAACTACACCTGTCTGGCCAGCAACATCGTGGCCAAGAGACGCAGCGCCACCGCCACCGTGATCGTCTTCGGTAGGCCGTCCTCCCGACTGCTCGTTCACTGCCCGTCGGTTTGCTGCACCCCTGTGATTAAGACACCCATCTCCGTGTCGGCACCGAGGAGCGATGCTTCCTCTTCATTCCCATGAATGTATTATTCAAACGCTCAATTTACTGCCTCTCATTCAGGACCAATGTGTACTTTATGGAAGGAAATAAGCCACTTTGTCTTAATCTCATTTAAAAGGAGTGTTGCTTATTAAGTATTTATTCACCAAATGCCTTCCGGCGATGTCGATTCACTGGCTTTGGCGCCGCTAAGCATTTAGCTCGTTTGGCGCGTTGGACGGACAGATCGGAGAGTAAGCTGCTTCTCAGTGGTCGCCTTCAACCTGTCGACCGGTATGAGTCAACGCCGCCTTTACTTTGCTCTGGGACAGTTTTACGTCTCTGTCTGGATCCAAGAGCAAGGATTGGACGCATTTTCCCATTGAATTCAATGAGAAAGTGTGTCCAAACTTTTGACCGGTACTGTACACGTCCACCGCAATGAACGCGCTGTGCTCAGGCGGCTCCAGCCGCTGCGTGTCGTTGCCCCGCGGCGCCTCGGCGACTGCATCATCGTTACTCGAGTATTCAAACGACGCCACACTCGTGGAAAAACTTTGTCCTCATAACGCCTCGTCTCGCTTTCTCTCTCTCTCTCTAACTTTTGTTGAACAGTGAACGGCGGCTGGTCCTTGTGGACGGAGTGGTCGCCCTGCAATGTGCCGTGTGGGCGGGGCGTCCAGAGGCGATCTCGAACGTGTACTAACCCGGCGCCTCTGAACGGCGGCGCTTTCTGCGAGGGCATGTCTGTACAGAAGATCACCTGCAACGCACTCTGCCCAAGTCAGTGTCACTCATGGAAACACAACACTTACCAACATTAAGTGTACATTTCACCAACATTATTGTGGATGACAGGCGGGTAATTATTAATGCTTTGAGCACAGTTTTCCCTTCCCATTTATTTTCAGATATAGATCCATCCCAGAATGCCACACACACGTAGCCATGTGGGACATTTATCCACAGCTGATGAACTCCCTGCTTCTTCAGCTCTACAGACAACCAATTATAAGGATTGCAATTGGCAGTAACTGTGTGTTTAACAGAAACTCCTTATGTTTAGAAAAAGGTTGCTCCCAGCCAAAAGCATCTGCTAATGCAAATGAGCTGCATGTGAAAGAAATGTAGCTTTCTTTAGCTTTAGCTCTCTACATTGACAACATTCATCCCTTAAACATGTCCGTAAGCCTAAATCTAGATTCTGAACAAAGCAAAGTCAGAAATGTGCCACATAGATAGTAAATTGGTCTCATCTGGCGTGCATTTATTTGCGAGATAAGTTTTAAGTGGGAAGTAAATAGGAGTCTATTGGAACCAATAAAATAAACCAATGATTGGCTATAAAAACGAGCTGTTTTTCTCATACATAGTTCAGAGAGATACATGGCATGAGTTCAATTAAATGTCTCGATTATGTATAAAATTGAAATGTGAACATACAGTATCTCCACCCCATAAAGTCCATCAGTATGTGTTAAAAGCACTGCCTCTAGCAGGAGTATACAGACAGAGACATTCACTAGTAAGTGAATATAGTGTAACACAGTTTCTAGCTCGAGTGCACAGCACTCAGCATGTCCATGTGCATCATCGCCGTGTGTGAAGCATCATCGGCGTGTGTGAAGCAGACATCTGTTCAGGGGGTGTAATGCACAGAGGTGACATGCCTTGTCGGGCTCCATGTAGAACTGGCAGTCCTCTGTGCATTGTCTGCACCAAGAGCTCGGGGGTCTTGAAAGCCGGTTCAGAAGGGGTCCAGGTTGTCCAACGAGCTCGCCTTGTGTTCAGTGTGCGAGGCTTCAGACCGCCAAGCTGCAGGCGGGGACCGACAGTGGGCTCTGGTTTAATGGCGTTCGACCAGGAGGAGAGGGATTTGGAACTGGTGGAATGCTGGCATTGAGGGATGAAAAGTTTGTAACTTAAGTCAAAAAGCTGATTTATTATTTACTTTCTTTGTGGAGGCGCCTTCTGTTGGTTGCCGTAATGTGCTGAAACATACCTGGCCGTGTGCCATCAAACGGCAGAGGAGGCTGGCGGCCATTAACAACGCTCCATAAAAGCTGCTCAATAGATTTCAGCAGGAAATGAGTACAAGTACATTACTCGTCATTGGTGCCAATCACCCAGAGCGCCGAGCATTAAAGCAAGTTTAGTTTTATGTGTGCATGTTTTGAGGATGATTAAACACGATATTAGAGTGACTGGTAACATTCATACAGGGATCCTGTGATCCTAAGAACCACCCAGTATATTCATTTAAGCATCAACTCTCTCACAACTGATGAAAATCTCTTATTCAATTCATCATTCAACCATGTTGTGTTTATTTTTTAAGTAATAATGTATTCTTATAATGTATTGCATTATTACACCATGTACAGAGCTAGTGGTTGTCTCACACTTCCTATTTATCACTTTATGATCTTTTATTATATCTAGACGATGCCACTATGCATAGTTACTACACGGCATACTACTACTACACACTACATACTACTACACTATACTGCACGGCAGCTAGGTGCTTACCTTGCTAACAGCAAGAAGTCCTAACAAAGGCAACGGTACGGAGCTAACAGACAACCATGTGAGCGCAGTGCGGCCGCCATTAGCCAACACGCACACACAGCGGATCACAGCAGCTGACACGAAAGTGCTGAACTGAAGCTCAGGATACGTCTCACACAAAGAAGGAGACGCGCTTCATCGTCTACGGAGAATGTTTTCTTTTGAGATATTAAAAGTCAGAATTTCGCATTTACTTTTAACAATAGAGGTTAAAAAGTGGCTTTGCAAATGGTTGATGTGAAAGGAAATGCATTGGGCATGTTTGTTAGGCCTCAAGGATAGACACAAAGAGTCTCAGTAAGACGAGAAAAATCAATTTTCGTCAAGAATGTGCAGCCTTTTCTATCCAGAAGGCAACCGTTGAGTCAGAAACAGTTATTGTTCATGGAATAATCAATAAAGTTATAAAGTTGCTGAACAACAATGTGCTCCTGTTAGTATACAATACACACTGCTAAATAACCTAACACATTAAACAATGTTTTCTCATTTCAAAAAGATCTGACAATGTACAAATATATTTTTGCTGGGTTAAGTAATATAATATTTTATTATTATACCATCCCATGATTCACTTTTCAAAGAAAAAGCTTTTAGCTTTAGTGCTAAATTGTAACTTTCATTCTTTTATGGGGTAAATTAGTGTCATTGTGTTACATTTAGCTCATCTCACTCTTACGCTGACACTAAATATATGCACGCACACACATTATCTAGCTAAGATTGCCAGTGAAATGCATCTTTTTATGAAAGTGGCACCAGCTTTGGTTTCTGTGCGGGAATAAGTCTGATGAGACGAGCAATCGATAACAATGACTCAGCTTTTTTCTAACGTCTGTCTTTTAAAATTCACTTTCTGGCTTCTGGTCTGAAAAAAAAAAATACTCAATTGAATTTCTGACTATCGTTATGACTGATGTACAAGTATCAAAGTCTGGAAACTACCTACCTCTCACTGCCAACTTTAAGTGTGGCGCAGGGTTTGTTCAATCCACTGCAGAAGCAGAACGCAGCTGTCTGAGCTTCGGACTCACTCTCTCAGGCCCAAGGCATTGCTCAGGGCCGGGGATTTTCCTGCAAAAGCCAGCGTGTGTTAATACATGCAAATACATGTTCCTTTTAAAAGAAATACTCACAGGACAGGTCTTGATTAGGGTTAAGAATAGATTGCGACCTTGGATAGGTCAAAGTCACAGAAACTCTTACTTCTGTTAAGGAAGAAATTGTCATTTAGGTTCAATTAACCCGTAGGTCAAAGTTGACTTCTCGGTTCACATTGAGAACAAACAGCCTGTCGGCTGTAAGATGTTCGTTGGAGATCCACAGCCAATGAACTGTGTCCTATCTACACTAATCAGCCAAATGTATAGTGTCCGAAAATGTATGCCCCCCCTCGCCTGTCAATTAACGCCCTTCTTCATTCTCAACGTGTCACAATCAAGCTAGTTGAAGATTATGAATATTTTAGACATTGAAGTCACCTTCATTTGGCATCATGAGCAGATTTCAAAGCTGTATCCATTTCTCTGTAAACGTTCATGCATTAAACAGATTAGTCTGTTGCTGCAATGGTCCGAAGCCAAGACAATACAACAGGAATTAACAAAGGGGTTAAGTCCATAATGAGTTCGTCTTTAACGGTGGCCCTTTTTAGAACATTGCAGGTTTAAAAAAAATAAATGATTGAGTCTTTCAACCCCCAAAAATAGCCTCAATAAAAAAGAAAAGAAAAAGGGCAGAAGATCCACAAAGTTGGGTCTACTTTTAGCTGCAAAGACGGCAAGAAATTGAATACGGATCCGATGACGAGGCAATTTAAGAAACAAACCAGCTTGGATTTTTTCAAGTAACCGCAAGATATTGCTAAAGTGATTTAGAGTTTTCCATTCGCTGCAGGTCGTCAGACTTTATCTAGTGTTTACCAGGAAGCAGATGAGCTCATTTAACAGAACCGGAGCAACGAGTCACGAGGGAAATGTCAGGAGAAACAATATGCACCCACTCGCCAACTACTGCGGTCAAGCTCAGACGCGCTCGGCACTCTCTCTGCAACATGCAAACCCATCGCCTGCATTCCAAGTAGCTGAGAAGAAACCACACACACACGTAGGTAGCAGGCCTGCAGAACAGCATTCATGAAAATGGCTTTTTGTTATGGATTTAGCAACTGATTCCAAAACATTCTACCAGCGCCAAATGGTGCCCCGATAATTGTCACGCTAAGCTTTGATCAGATGACAGCATGGCGGAGGAATCCCGACTCTCGGCCTGGAAGCACCAGGCTGTCTCGCTTTCAGAGACTTCAGCATTCAATCCAATTATATAAACAGGCGCGGGGTTAATGGGGAGGAAACGGCTCCCTCGCTGAGCCTCCACACCCAGCGGACACTCCGTGTCACACCGTGGGTTGTTTGACCCGTGAAGGCAGCGTTTAGAAGTGTTATGTGTGTAAATGTGGCACACATGTGAAAGTTGACACAGTGTCTGCAGTTCCACAACAAATTAAACCATCTGTTCTTTGTTTGAAATGTAGAAAGTAATAGATTGTTAATGTTGCGGTTTGGCATTTTTAGTGAATATGCCTAAATCCTAAGCTTCTATTCAGCTTTTTGAATGTCATCTGGATGAAAATGTATCCTCAAAATAATCCCGAAAGAAGGATTATATGAAGAAGGATCATTTTTTCTTGTTGAGTCAAGCTTTTTTTTTTTGATAATATGAACTCTTGCGTGCCGGTCTCCTATTGTGGGCGGCAAAATCAGAGAGTAAACACTCAAAGATTAAAGACGTAGAAATGCAAATGTAGAAAAGAGACACAAAGAGGGACAGGTGTGACAAAAAGCGGTCAGGAGGTTGGAACCACAGTGTGGATGTTGGCAAAAATATTGACACGCGCCATAACAAAAAGCTGCAGATTTTTGGACTTCAGCAAAAATGAAACAAAAGTGATAATTTTTTTGGATAACAAAACTATGCTATGCATTTCGTAATTGTTTAAATACATTAATCAGCAACATTTATTCCCAAAATATGTTAGACATACAAGGAAGATGGCGGTTGGTGCATAACATTAAGACAATGGACAACTAGACATATAATTTAACTCTACAGTATAAAATAGAAGGTTATGGTCAAGGGGGAGTTTAGAAAAATGAAGAATAAAAAGAAAATTAAATAAAGAATAAAAAGTAAAAAATAATACATAATAATAACATTTTTTCCAACATTTTTGGATTCTCTGAGGTCGGCGTGTGAGACAATCGTACGCAGCCCGGTTAGAATCTAATTCTACTAACAGCCCAACACTAATGAGCACCAGCATGGCCTGATCCTGATCTGCTTCTGCATAGATTCATCCTGTGTGGAAACAATGCGTAGACATCGCAGCGTTTAAATGTTGACGCAAACTGAAACGTTGGTGGCATTTCCGGGTTCGGCCCCAGCGTGCAGAATTGGCACAGGCTGGAGCGGCAGATAAGGTGACGATCCACCATTTCTCTTTAATCCAGCCCGTCACACATTTAAAATTCCCCCGCTAGCGCGAGTTATGGGATGCCGCAAGATTTTCGGAGCTCCGGGTAACAGCGAAGCAGGAGGAAGCCGACCGTCGTTCATTTGCTCACACAAATGGCAAGAAGATGTTGCAGAACATCTGCAAAGTTCTCCATCGTCATGTGAGAGGGGCTTTTACAGTGGATGCCATACACACAAGAAAACGATTGATTGTGGCCACGGGGACCTTTTAGTAATCATAATTATGCATTTTTATTTATAACTCACTTTTCAAATCTCATAGTGCCACAGTGTCTAGCATATAGTAATAAAACATAGTTAAAACAAAGAAAAAACTACTTTGCCACCACTGTCTCCCTCGTTTTTAAGAAAATATCTCATACAAATACAACATGTTTATTTGTCTCATTCAAATATTCCTCAAAAATTCTGCGTATCTGATAATCCCCCTGTCCGTGTTTGCACACATCCCCACACTGCAGTCGATGGCGGCTGGGACGAGTGGACCGAGTGGACCGTGTGCAGCAGCCAGTGCGAGAAGCTGCGGGGCAGAGAGTGCAGCGCCCCGGCGCCCAGACACCGGGGGAAGATGTGCGAGGGGAACAGTGAGGCCACCGAGAACTGCACAGACGGGCTGTGTACCCAGAGTAAGGCCTTTCTCCCGCCGGGCATCATCGCTCTCATGGTCCTCACCATTTTCCGCACCATCTCGCCATCACGTATGCACTCACGCAAACACGGCAAAACATCACAAGCATGTTTGAACAGGAGGTGTGTGCGCGGATTGACACGGATGCCCGGCGCATGATAATGTCGGCGCTCTTCCTACCGCGCGCTGCTCAGTCGACATATTGGATGTCATCCTGAATCCGTCACGGGGAAAGAAGGGCAGGCGTTTACTCGTGAATGACGCCCCCCCTCCCTCTCCCCCCACGTTTGTAATGAAATGTCATTGCTCTGTTTGGATCGTGCGACGCTGAATGTTTCACTCGGCAGCGCCGTGTGGACGTCGGGCTGAACGCTGTCATTTTTCAACTGGATGCTGATATGCGGTGAAGTCACCAAAGCACAAGGAGCCTTGTTTTATTTGCAGATGACAATAGTGTCTTAAATAAGGGATCTCAGTCCTAGAAAAGTACACAGCCGTTGAGCCTGAGAGGCAGCCGGTGACATTTTTAATCTGTAATTTAGCGGTTTACACTGATCACCAAACGGCTCTGAATGTGGAAACTAGCTTGTCCCGTCAGTCGGTGTGTTCAGCACATATTCGCATCCCTGTTTCCAGTTATTAACGTTAGCGTGAGCATAACACCACGTTAGCTTAGCAGCTTAAGTGTAGCGCCGCCAACAGTGGGAGCTGTCAGTCAGACGTGTTGACATTGTTAAATAAACCCATTAGCAGGTTGTCATCACAGCCATCAGTAAATAACTACGCAGCAAGAAATGATTTCCTCCACTTACTCCCGTGTAATACGCACCTTCGAAATGCCATGCTGTGTTTGCCGGATCGACGGCTACCTGCTGATTATCTCAAGTTGGCTGTTTAAACTACTTCAACTGATTCAGCAGCAGAGTCGCTGTCTAAACAAATGCTGCCGTTGTGCGTTTCTGCAAATCAACGCTATGTTGAATGTGACACAGCTAAACGTGCGGCGTGAAGAAGTGCAGAATACGTCGCGTGGCCGTTATAAAGCACAGCGGGAGGAAAGGAGCCGTCAGGGGGGGTTTAAAGGACAGACTTTCACCCAGGAGTCTGTTGTCTGTGTCCCTTAGAAACGCTTGTCCTGCACCGCTGAAAGTGAAAGATTTATACACACTTTGGTTACGTTGTTAGACTTGTTAAGTAATTTCACCAAAGAACGTCAGCTGAGGGAGGTTGTCTGTAAGCGTGATAAAAGGCTAATTGTGGAGCAAACTTTGGAAGGTTTGCAGAAAAGTACAAGGTCATATTTTTTTTCTGGGCACTATGTTGGACTATGTTGAAATATTTGATTGTGTTTTATTTTAAATTCAACCTGCTAGACACAAATTTATGGGTCGTACTTACTATGTAGAACACTAATAGTAATAAGGGGTCAAGTTCTAGAAAATAACGATAAAATTCCAATTACTTCCCTTCCACTGGTCAGAAAAAGCCCTACTTAACTGTGCATATTATTTTAGTGCCATAATTCACACAAAAGACAGACTTGCATAAAAGCGCTGGGCTTGAACCCATCCTAAAGAAAGGAGTCATGTGTTTTGGACTCGTGTGAGGAGATCATTAGCCCACTCAGAGGTACAGTATCTCAAGCCTTTGAGCAGTTTGCACCTGAACGCCTTCATCTATGGATACGAGGACAGTAACGATGCCTGCCTGGCCATTATCGGATGCTGTATATCATCAATGGGCTCAGTCAGCAGAAAAGCTGCTGCCCGCTTACGGTGTCGGATCTGACACACACACACACACTTGTTAGTCACTTCCCAGAGGCTCGGACTTTAATCACCACTTTCTCTCCTCTTTGTCTCATTCTATCTCTCTGTCTTTGCAGATCGAAAGCTGCTACATGACGTTAAACCTCAAAGTGAGTCTTCCTCTGTGGATTTCTTTCATCTTCGCCCCCACGGCTCGCCACTTTAGATGTAATGCCCGGGATTCTGTGGGAGTGAGATGATATATTCTAAATTTAAAAGGGTGATTGCATCCCTCTCAGTGCACACTCTCTGGAAACCGAAGCATTATGAATCACCGCCTCCACCCCCGATAAAGTCCACTCTAACCTGGGCAACTCCTGGTTAAACCCTGCAAGATGTGCTCATCACGCATTCATGCCATCAGTCAGCGACCCACTTTTCTGACACGCGCGACATATCTGCTTTGCCTGTCCCTTCGGAACGGGGAGATGTATTGCTTGTGACAAGGGAACATGTGCTAAGACGTGAAGCACTAATGGGTTGTAATCACCGCAAACGAGCTAATTGAACCAATTTTCAGCGGCGTCCTCACCTGGCTGAGGAGGCTTTCAATCACTCACTGGAGCCGGTTAAGTGATTGTCACGTGACTGCTTGAGCTGCTTCATTAACGGGCCGCGTTAATGTTAAATACCGGGGCTTTCCGCAGGCTTTAAGGAAAGGCCTGGGGTGACTGCACATGGGGGGGGGGGGTGTTAAGCTGCTGTGTGGCCGGTGACCGCCCTTGTAAGAGTACGGTAAATTAATTCTTCCTTTCCCAACTAATGCGGTGGCGCATTAGATCGGACCGCCTTCGCCATGAGAGAAGCATGGTGGCTATTGGATGTAGGCCGGTGGGTCTAAAGGCACTTATGCTAATAGCCCCCCATGTTAGCAGCTTGAATGTGATGTGTAACAGTTTAGAGCAACGGCTGGACGTTTTGGTTTATGCCTCATCTTCGGTGCATAATGTAGCATAGAGAGACGAGGCAGATGGTCCGCCCCATCTTACCACTTTCCATTCCTCTTGCTTCATTTCCATCCCGAAGCCGCTCTCACACTTTGTAAGGGCTGCCTGTTGTGTTTGACCTTGAATGCCTACATGAAAACAGTATTGTCTTCCCCTGCTTTTCTTCCATTTCCTCCGCACTGGGTCTTTATTCATGTAACAAAGACGTGGCTCTTTTATGCGTGACACTTTAGCAAAAAATATATTTTGTCTTTATTGGAAAAAATACGTTGTGACAAAATACAAGAATGCATTTACATCCCGAGAATTCTCAAAGAGTGATATACTTTTATTATTATTTTATTATTATTTTTTGTAAAGTTCTCCTGTTGTTCTACAAATTCCAAACTCCCTCCATCGTACGATGTGTATTTCCGCAGCACCAAATTCATTAGTGGTAAGAGTCAAGGGTTCCATCAATAGTTACCCCCCCCTCTCCCTCCACAACTACCACGAACAGACAATGGCCTTAAATGGTTATTAGGGGGTCAAAATAATAATTAGACGGGGCAATGTAGCGATCTATCGGGATTAAAGTAATTCATTCACGACTCCTTCTTGCTGTAGAATAAACATTGCAGCGTTCCAGTCCTGTAGCGATGTCGGTCTCACGATGGAAGGTTCAAAATTGATTTAGCAGAACCATAGAAATTTTCATCCCTTCCCCCCGTGTCCAGTGAAGCATGGAGTCGGCAGTGTCGAGGTGTGGAGCGGCCTACAGAGGCCGGCTGAGCTCGTTCCTCTCCACCCGTAAGATTGGCTTTTGTTTTCAGAGTTCGTCTCCAACCACAGCCGACGCTGACAGGAGGCAGATTATCCGACTTTCATCCGCCATCTCTTGAGCCAGCAAATACTCTATAAATCAGCACTACCCAACACTTGTAAACATACTTGTTGTGCTTTGCTAATCTTCCATCAGGACTGAGGCTAACAATAAATGACTGGAAAGTTAATATCACGTGCAAATGTCATTGACTTGATGTTGTGGAAATGGACATTATACCAATTCTCTACAATGTGACCCGTTAGGCTAAAGTTGATACTACCTCCTTTCATTCATTTAAAAGCGAATGTCCTTTCTCAACTGGCTGGTGTGCTTTAGGTATGGACGGCTCCAATGACGTGGCTCTGTACTCGGGCCTGGGAGCCGGCGTCATCGCCGTGGCGATCCTTGTGGTGGCCATCATGCTGTACAGGAGGAACCACAGCGAGTACGGCGTGGATGTCATCGACTCCTCCGCGCTCACCGGGGGTTTCCAGTCTTTCAACTTCAAGACCACCAGACAAGGTAAGACAGAGGGAGGGCCAATCGACTCCACACCGGGAACCACGAGGCCAAAAGAGGCAGCGCCATCGGGGGGGGGGGCGTCCGGCGACGCGGGTGATGGATGCCGCTCAGCCCCCCTATCGTCTTAGGGTTTATACTTCCACGACCAGTGAAAGGACCCGTCCTCCTATTTTGACGGACCTGCTTCTCTGTTGTTTGATTGATCGATTGATTAAACCAGCCGATAATCAATCTCTGTCGGCACCCGGCGAGGCTCCTCCCCCTCGACCCCGCGGGCCACGCATTTGACTGTCATGCAATCTCCTCTGTCCGATTACACCGGCCTAAGCCACCGATGGATAGATTCGAGGGGCACGTAGCGGTGGACATCAATTCAGTTTTCTGTTGTGCACAGCGATAACTTGTGTGGGTCATGTGACTGGGGCTGCACCTTCCCGCCTCGCTGCAGGCATTCGCATTACGGCCACTGACATTTCTGGGTTAGCCAGTGACAGCCGTCGGGGCGCCGGGGCCATCCGTCTCCGCTTATGTGACAGGCCCTGCCGGTGACCGAATTGCACCTTCGGCTTTCCCCTCTCGCCAAGGCCACCGGAGTCTTTCCGAAGCCCACTGTTCATCGGAAGGGTGTGAGGAAGCGTTTTTGCATCCAGCAGGCCATCAATCCTGAACTAAATTAGGCCGCCGTGCCTGCTGTGCCCTCCACCGGACACAAGTTTTCCTTTCCACCCCCCCCCCCTGTGAATTGCGGAACATTTCTTCGAGCTCCGGCTTTCTCTGGAGGAAGTTGTTGAGGCATTTTATATTAACCGACAGCAGAAAGCAAGACACCTGTTTAAACGCTAACTAGTAGCTTTTTTGCGGCTAATAATCACCAGACAAAACGTACTAAATACTAAAAGGAGCGGTGAAATGCCTCCGGATGGCTCTCGGCTGTAAGGCGATGTGCTGAATGAATCTTCGGACCTGACCCCGTCTCTCCGCATTACTTCTCCTCCTGAGTGATTTTTAATCAGAGGCCCAATTCCAAACCTATCCCTCAAGGTATTCAACCTGAGGTACATTTCATTAACTTCTCTCATCTCACCGCTGCCGTTCCATTTTCGCCGCGGCGTTCTTAAAGATGCACACTCCAGCGATAATCAGATCATTCTCCACTCGGCCCGGAGGAGGGGAGAGAATTCCGCAGTGATCGAATGTCAGCCGCAGAAGGGTAACGTCCACCGGGCTGCAGCTCGGACCCAGAGGTGGAATCTCCTCACAGTCCCTCTGTGAGGTGTTTGGTAATGGTAATGTTTGGAAACATAACATTCAAATAGTAAAAAATGAAGAAGCAGCATTATCTGAGAATGTTATCCCGTATTATATCTGATCCTTGTTTGCATGCAGGCGAAGTCATGGAGTATATCGGCGGTTCCCTAAATCTACTCGTACATTCAGAGTAGGTAGGACTCATGGCGGCAACAATACAGACGTCACCGTTTAATCACAGCATCTATACTAATGCGGTGTGCTGAAATGAAACTAAGCAACTGCTGTTAATGATCACATTTAAACATTTAAATAATACATTTTTCATTAAAAGCATCTGTCAAGGGAGCATTTGTCAAAAGGGAGAGAAAATCTCAAATGGGTTTCATTGTGTTTGATATTGAGAGTGGATATCTCTGTGTTTTTAACAATTGGTCAAACAATAAAAGACACTTGAAGATGAAAGCTTTTCGCTCTGGGAAAACTCCCGTCAAGATTTTTCACTATTTTCTCCATTTTCAGTTGTTGAACTCACCGAAAAACAAAAGGCTTCAGACGTGATTTTTAAGACGAATGATCTAAAATATAGTATTGTACAGTGTGATATAAACCATTAAAGGTGACCACCACTTAAACCACAAATTCCAACATATTGTTTGCATTGCTTAGGAAAGTTCTATCAATATATGTGAACATCTCGTCATCAAGTATAAAAGTACAATCCATAAACAATAAACACTTTCAATCTCTTTTTATACCAAAATAGAAAGATGTTCAGATGATGATCACAGTACTACAATGCTACTACAAAAACAAAGTAGGAATTAAGTAGGAATGATTTATAAGAGACACATTGTGGTGAAAAGTGAACTGCTCACTGATGAAATGATTAACGGGGAAAGATAATGAATGGATGAGATTATCCTTAGCTGAAACCATATTCCTGCTGATTTCATTTAAATATGATAAACAGCACAGTTAGAAGAAAAGAGTAATGGACCATAACATTGAAATGACACCGAAAAATGTATGGAAACATAAAATATGTCAAAAAAAAGAAGAAAAAAGAATGGATTATTAGATATGATATAGAATTGATTTTGTATGTTAAAAAAAGTCACATCATGTCATACTTAAGTACGTATTTTAGCATAGACAGAAAAAAAGAGCATTTAAATGAATACATTTGTGATTTGTATTAGGAAGAAGAAAGCTGGGAAAAGTTGAGTTTTGAAGAGCAAACCCAAAGAACGGGTCCCACCCCCCGCATTGCTCGTCACCAATTACGCCTCCGGTAATTAACGATATCCCTAAAAATAAAACAACATTAGCCTCCCGCCCCGCGCCCCTCGCCAGGCAACAGCTGGGCGGCAAGGACTCGGTGACTCCGCCGTTATCTTGGCACGGCCGGACCGCGCGCCCGGGGTCCGCCAGATCGATGCGCCGCGCTCCTTTTGGCAGCGCCGTCACGTCTAATGGCCACAGATGAAGACCCTCCCCCACCCTCCCCCCAAAAACTCCCTCCTCAGGCTGCTGGGTCCACGCTGCGAGCTGAAGGACTCCTCGTTTACAGAGCAGCCCCCCCCCCCCCCCCCCACAACTCCCGCCTGTCCTTCAGGAAGACGACTCGGGGTTCCCGGGAACAAATGGGTTATAAAAATCAATCTGCCCGGTAGCCCCGGAAATAAATCTTACGCTCTGAACGCCCTCCCCGGACGCTGATCTTATTTGCAAGTTGTGCTCTCGAGCCATTACTGTGATGCGCCACCCCGTTTTAAATGGTCGCTGCGGATTATGCGGAGTTCTTGCGAGAGCTTATCTAAGACATCCGAGTCAAAGATCCGGGTTGAACTGCGTTCGTGTCCTATCTACCGTATTGTGCTGCAGACAGAAATCCACTGATCGTTTTCGATCCATGCAAACTGAGCGGTACCTTTTACATGTGCTGTTTGTCCCAGGTGACCGTGTGGCTTCTCCCTCCATCTCTGCAGGAAACCCTCTGCTGCTCAACTCCTCCATGCAGCCCGACCTGACGGTGGGCCGGGCCTACAGCACGCCCCTCTGCTTCCGGGACGGCGCCGACAAAGACCTCTTCGACCCGCTACCGGACATCAAGATGAAAGTTCAGAGCTCCTTTATGGTCTCGCTGGGCGTGTCCGAGCGTGCCGAGTTCCACGCCAAAGGCCCCGCCGAGACCTTCCCGCGGGACCTGAACCGGGACTACGGCGGCACGGCGGACAGACGCAAGAAGGGCCTGCTCACCCTCAACGGGCCCTTCAGCACCTGCAGGGAGCAGCTGGGGACCAGCGGCGTGTTCGGACACCCGGGGGGACGCATGGTGGTGCCAAACGCCGGTGAGCTTCACGGGAAGGTGGGGGGGGGTGGGTGGGGGTAGTGAACGCTGCCGCCGTCTTTTGTCCCGTCGATGGAGGAGAGAGAGAAGCCGGCGTTCTGAGCTGCGGTAACGAGACGCTGCAGCAGCTGCTCGTTACGGGAACCCGTCCCAGGCCGCCGCGGGGGAAAGCGCCTAACGGCTCCCCGCCATCTCGTTCACCGCGTCCCTCGCGCTCGCTGTTAATTGGTCCGCTTCGTGTGCATCAGCGGCGCAGTGCGCACAAACGCACACATGATAAGTGGTACAGTCAAGGTGAAACAGCGGATCCAAATCAGTGGCTTCCACACGGAGAGCACGAAACACACGTGAGGGTTAACAGGCCATAATCAGAGAATGAAACAAATGATTCCTTTCAGTAGAAGAAGAAGATTCTCAAACAAAACGAGAAACCGTATCAGCGTGACTTCAGCTCGTCAAAAGTTCATACAAGAATGATTTTTCTCGCGATTAATACATACTGTGTATTGCAAGTTGTTGCTAAGATCCTCCAGTGCCGTTGCCAGGGCAGGTCGCCCTCGCCGGCAAATGGGGGCCAGGCTGTCATCGAGTCCCGCCAACACTAATGGACTAGAGGTCAACGGTCCGGCGAGTGCGGCCGCCCTCTCCCGTGGTCCTTGTGCGCGCCGAGGCGAGGTGGGATCGCCGTCCTGCGGCCGTCTTTCGGGGTTTGAGGGTCTGAGTGGATGCGTCAGCGCTGTCAAGTGCAGCACTCACGCGGCCCGATACGGAGGAACCGCCATCCATTAGAACGAGTAGCCGTCTGCAGCACCTCACCGCAGATCGCTGGAGTCACCTGGCTGAGATGGGAGCTAAATAAGAGCATCGCTCACGTCTGTGCAGCTTGATCGGCAGATCCAAGCAGCGGAGCTACCGAAAAGCATTTTTCTTCCAAGCATGGAGAAATCGGACTGCAATGTGGGTCTTCCCCAGAGCGACGGCAGTGGACATATTTCACTGTTAATAGTAATTAATAGTAATTGAAAATATCTTTCAAGCACACAAGCCATTTCAGAAGTGCTGGAGTTGGAAAATGAACTCCTTACGGTCTTGTTAGTTTGAGTTAGTGCTCGTGTTTCTGAAGGCGATCCTTCCCAACATGAAGACTAGAACTCAAGTAGTGAAGTTTTGCGCTTTGCCGTCAGTAATAATTGTTCATATATTTGACTTCAGCCGAGCGAGTCCCAGATGCTACGTATCATTTAAATACTACATAAAACCAGTGTCAGCGCACGTAGGCAGTAGGTGGACACGTTTGGTCAGCGTCTGATAACAACCGGAATCAGACGCTGGGCAGTGGGGCTTTTACATCTCTGCCTCTCCAGTCACACCGCTGGATGAACGGTGTCAGGCATCAGTGGCAGGGTCCTTGCATAATCAAACGTGTAGCGAGTGTCGTGTTTTGGGGGATCAGAAGGAATGGAGAGATTTCTTCCAGACGGTGGCTCATTCAGACAAAGACAATGTCATTCAAATCAAGTAATGGATCCTGAGCCTCTTATTTCCTTTCCAGGCTGGTGAGGTGAGGAGACCCTTGACTGGTTGTACTTGGCTTAGTTCTTTGTTAGTTTCAGATGTCTCAAATAGATTTAAGTCCTTAAGTAACATAATTTCTGTGAATAAATTCTATAACTAAAATGTCCCGTGAAGCCTAGATGGAATCTCTGTTAGCTTTTGGGATTATTGTGGAAAATTATATGAATATATGAAGTCAGACTGTGGGAAGAAACGAGAAATTCAGCAGATCATTGGTGCTCTAAACCTGTGCTAAGAACAACTGAGAGCAAACATCATGCATATGTACACATATATATGTTCCGACAGAAAATAGTTGTGTCATCATTCTATATGCAACGAACACTGAATGGAAAAAGAAAAAAGGAAAACAGAGAGGGGGAAAAATTGTCCTCCTACACGTAACAATAATAATAATAATATATCATATATACATATTATTTATTTATTATTATTATTACACTGTATTGCCTGTGAGGGTAACAAAAACACAATTGTCAAAGTGTCAACTACTGCTTTTTTTCATGTTGGAATAAATTCAGAATATTTAACTGCAATATAATATAATGTGGGTATAATGTGTTTTTGATACCTTAATTGTTTTGCATTAAATCAACCTGGGATGTAATACTTAACTAAAAGGGAACGGTAAACACAGTGAGGTAGGATTTATTCAAGCCTTTATCTAACTTAGCTTTACTTCAAACTAATAAATACATCCTCCTCCATTGTGTGACATATTTATGATGTTTACCGCTCAAAAGAAAGCGTTTCATTTTTAGAATCCCACTGCCTATAATTCACCACAAGTTTGTCTCACTTTTATTATAAGTCACCGGCTGCCGCTCATAAATCCTGCGGTGACGCCCACGCGTGGGACGCGCTGCGAGCCCTTGTTGTCACCTCCGCTGTCAGGCGGTGGGAGTTGTCGCCGTTGACGCGTTTGTGTGTGTTTTTCCAGGGGTCAGCCTGCTGGTGCCTCAAGGAGCCGTGGCTGAAAATACGTCCTGGGAGATGCACATGGTGATCAATCAGGGGGAGTCAAGGTGAGGCCGGAGTTTACCCAAATATCATTCCCAGCATCTATCCGTCTGTCAGTCTCCCGCTATCTTATCATCCATCTCACCCGACGCTCCATCCTCTGTCCTCTCCGTCCGCTGTCACTCTAATTATGTACCTTCCTTCGGTTGTTTATTCGCGCAGCGCTCAACAGCACCTCCGCCTTTCAGCACTTAGTCGTCCAACTGATGCAGATAATAAAGTTTCAAGTTTAATGCTGTCACAGGCTACCAAATTATCCCAGTGAGTAAACGTCCGCAGGTGTCACTGTCGAAAAGCGAATCCTGCGACGATTGTGAGAAAGTTCATTGTGTCTCTCAGCTCTGACTCTGACTCACTGCTTCCTGCTGGAGACTCACGCTGCATGTTTTCTGAAAGGCTGCGTCGTTTCATGGGTCCGCCGGACTTTGCCAGAATATTATTACAGATTCTAGCAAACGCCACTCTAAAGGAAATGGAGCCTTTGTTGAGGACTACTTATCGTCGGCGGATGGATCCACATTTGATGGTGTGGCGAGGTGCTATGCGAGCTGCCGAATGGTCAATGTGCCGAACGCAGATGATCCTGTGAATAAACGCGAGGCGCGTGAACACAAAGATTCAAATAGCACATGACATCGCATTGTTGGCCGCATGTTCCAATACTGAGAATATTCCCGCAAATGGTGATTCACTAAACATCCTGTGAACAATTGGATTCCTCCAGCAAGACATTCATTACAAAAGCATAGTTTTTTATTCATTTATTTGAATTAATCCACTCACTCACACTTCAAAATATAGTCTTTTTTTCCTTTATGAGTTATGTATATTAGATGAAGTAGGAAAAGAAAAGTTATCTAAGTAAGAAGACTTAAATACTGTTATTTAAAATATTATTAATATTGGTGTTATAAATATTATTACCAGTATTAAAAGTGATGGTGGTTGTAAATGTTTTATTTTGGTAAATAGGGTCTTTTTTGAGGCAGCCATGTATTGTTGGGCAGTAATGTGGTGGGTGGAGGTGTGACCCCCCCCTCTCTGTGTGATGTCAGGCTACGGGACCACTTCCTGTCCTGACTGGTCCTCTAGGTGTCACGCTTCAGGTGTTGCTTCTCCAGAAGATGCTCGTCTGGGCCTCGATGTCGCATCTGCTGCGGAGCAACACGAGCTCACGCCGTGTTGGGGTTGGGGAGTGGAGGGGGGAGGGAGGGGGAGGGAGGTTGTAATCGAGTCCTTCATTTAACCAACCGACTCGTGGGAGCTAAAAGTCACACCACCAACCTCTGGCCTTCTTTGTCCCGACTTTCGCGGCGAGTCAATATGTAGTTACGCACTCCACTCGGAGTCAGCAGCAAGGCGCCCTGGGAGAGAGAGTGGTACTAAACGCCGCTTCATCTCCGCGGCACGTTCGCACTATGTATTCCGATCACAGCCAGGTAATGACCCTCGGGTGGACTGAGCCTCCCTCCCCCCCGCGGAGCGAGTCACCAGGGCTTTTGTCTGAAGTGTCACTGGTTTATTCCCACTGCTCCCCCGCCGACCTCATACGCCGACGTCATGCTGAAAAAATCAGATGCAAACGGTGTCACTTTCAAAGGCATTTTTTCCACTGACCTCAAAGACTGCTAAACCTCTGCGAGGCTGCAGACCTCCACGAGAAGGATCGCGAGCTCCCTTCTTCTCCCGCCGCACCGTCTCACCTGCCAGCGCAAAGCGCCGGGCTTCTGTGCCGCTGGTTTGTCCACCTTGGAAAAACAATCTTGACAGCGTGTGGTTTCTGACCACAGACGAGCTCTTCACGTGCTTTTCTTTTTGCCGTCGCTCGCTGTGAGCAGGCTGTTGTTTGCTTTAGACACCTATATATCCCACCCCCTTCCTCCCCCAGGGGCTGTTGTGGCTGTCATCTCGCCGGCTGTCAATCACTGTCTGCATCCTGGGAGGCCAGAGGACATGCGGAGAAAGCGTCCATCCCCGTGCAGCCTAATCTCCCACACCCTGATAGAGTTCTGTTAAAGCTGCTTTTTTCTTTTCTTTTTAAAGATGTGTTTCTTGGAGCTGTCCGGACGGCTCATCTAAATCTTTTGACGGCGCGGTTTTGCTTGGGTCAGACAATTTCCCTTTTGCCTCCGAGGTTTTACAGGGCGCTTTGTGCAGCAAGATAAATCCCTCAATCTACCGAAGCAGAAGCAGCTTTGTCCTGGAAGGAAAAGAGCTTTTAACCATGAAGCTAGTTTCCATATGCGTGCTTTTGTGTAGGAGGTGGAGGTTTGGGACAAATAGTGCTGCTCGTTGTTTGTTGTGGTCAAGACGTTACGTTTTGTTCTATGAATCGATTTATTGCTGATGCTCAGGGAAAGGGAACTAAAAGCACAAGAACTGACACTCTTAAGGATTTTTCACAAAAGTAACATAAATTCTATCCAAATTTCCAGAAAAACTGCCAAATGAAACGCAATTGAATGCTTGTTTCTAACATCTACCACTATGCAATTATTAGGAGTTCCTTCAGTATTAGTAGGTGGCCAGTTATTCTGTAGGAAAAGCAAAGGACCACTGCTGATAATGAGGGTGCAGTTGCGCCATGAGACCGCCAGTCAAACCTAAAGCAAGAAAAGGTGGAGAGATGAGAAAAGTGTTACGATGTCCCACTTTTTTCCATCTCGTAGGTAGGACTCTAGTGGACATTGACGTCGCATACTTCACCCACGTCCTCATTTGTAGTGGTGCTAGAGGAAAAAAAATACATCATCGTCATCAGTGGACCACGAAAATAAGCAGCAAATTTCATATAAATCTGGAGAGTTGTAGAGGTATCTTGTGTAAACAGAAGCGCTGACTGCCAACCATCGATTGGCATCCCTGAGGCCCCACCGATGAATCAACCGAGTCTTCAGAGTAAGACCTGCATTGATGACATCTTTAAATGATTTTATCGCTTTATTTTCAGTGCAATACAAACTTGAAAAAATAAAGTTTGTTTTAAAGGGATGGGGATTAAAGTGGGCATTGATTTTCCGTACGGCCATCATCTTTTCCATTTGCGGTTGAAATAGACCCTTTGACTCTAACGTCCATCCAAGCACGCACGCACACGCCCACACACACACACACACACACACACACCTCACGTCACTTCACTGACTTCATCAAAACAAGAAGATCGGACTTTGGAGTGTGGAACAATCGACCGCTCGGCCTTCAGGTTCATCTGATGGACAAATATGCGCCTGACGAGTTGTGCCGACGAGGTGAGGATGGATGAGCCTCTGAAACAGCAGTTTGAGGCCTGGACGGTACCTGAAGCTCACACAGGCACATTTGTGATGTGTGATACGGGCGCTACACAAATTAAATAGAATTTTATGAATCGACCATCCCTCTGTGTAGCTCGGGTCCTCGGCCCGCTCTTGACTCACTGTCGCCCCTCTAGGTAGCTTTCACCACTTCCTGTTCTTTCCATCATGCATTCAATTAAAACACTGGCCAGATCGTACAGAATGTAGGGACCACGGCAGAGATTGCATACTTTTTTCTATTGTCCAAAACATGCTGCTGTTTCTATGTCCGCCGCACCGGTGCTTCAAACATTTATTCAACCTGTTGGGTGATTTTGTAAGTTATTTTTGGTTAAAGTAACCCTCTCAATGATAATTGGCCAAATGGCATAATGATTAGTTTGAAGGGTTGAACCTTGGCGCTGACATTCATTCAAGTGGAGTTACAGAGGGCCACGTTCTGGGATTACGGATGAAGTGCTATGAAAAATGGGTCCAGCGGGCGTACAGATCGGGGATTAGCTCAAGCTGTTGTTAATGTTTTACAGCGCCGTTCTTTCACTCTTGTATCTGCCGGAGTTGTTGTGATGCACGCCTCGCGGTTCAAAGGAGACAGTAGCAGCGCACGGCTCAAGATCACCGCATCACCTCCACAACGGACAAAAGCACAGTGGCACATGCGGATGGTGGACTGCAACAAGCCGAAGGAGCTACTAATGTGCTACTAACGTTTGCTAAGCCTGCCGCCTCCTCTCCACCGGCCCACTCTGCTGCTCCGCACGGCTCCCCGGGCCCCCGAGGAGTCACTCATTGCTCACTCTAACAATGCAGCTCATCCAGGGGCTCGAGGAACACGGCCCCTCGCCGCGATGGCGAGTGGAAGGGAGAGAGTCCGCCGGCCTCAGACGCTTCGCCAACCCGACCATCGCGGGCCGGTTAAGGAGGAGGTAATCTGCATTAAATGTGCGATCAGGCTCGGCGCTGTTGGCTGACGGATCGAAAGCTCCCTGGCGACCCTGAAAAAACGACTTTGAGCAGAGGGGCGTGTGTGTGTGTGTGTGTGTGTGTGTGTGTGTGCACAGAGATGGTGGGTTAATTGCGGCGGTAAATTGGAAGTCTGGGGTCGTTCTCGTTCGCTCTTCGCACATTCGCACATACGGCTGAAAATGAATACGTGATCATTCACGTCATCGTGAGCAAGGACGACAAAAAAACGAGCACAGGTTCTCCTCGCGTCAGACAGATTGTGTTCCATGTAAAACTAGTATTCCAGATCTGTCACATCATGCCGCAACAGTGGGTGCGTTGGTAGCTTGGCTGTGTGCGGCTCTGTAGGGGCTAAATCCATAACCACCACGGCACTGAGCTCACACAAAAGTAATCTATGAGAACCAGAGAATGAAATGAGTCTAGAGAATACGAGAGGAGTAGATGTGGAAATGCTTCTATTCACCAGCTACAACGTGCACAGCTGTATTTAGTGCATTTTTTCATCCCTCTAATGTTTTCCCCCAAACTTTAATACACGTAGTCGTCAGTGCGTGAACGCTCTACAATGGAAAATCATTTTAAAATCCAAATTAAGTAATTTCTTTTTGGACGAATGAAGTGAAATTGTACATTTTGTACGATACACCTGACAATCTCTCACAGGGATTGAAAATCACTGACTTGATCTGGTTGTTTGCAAGCTTTCTGAGCCTCCTTTTTCTTCCCTCTGTGATGCTTCTTTCCTTTAGTCTTACCGAAGTTGTGGTGCAAAACACAAAAGCAATGCAGCAGTTGTTGAGTCCAACACTAAGTACCATCAGTCTTCCCCGTTGTCAACCTGTTACGTTAAAGGAATTCTTCAGCGGGATGTGCGTCGAAGCTGCAGCTTACGTGACAACTTTAAATCCCGCTCCCCATTCAATGGAGGAAGTCGTGGCAAATCAACACTCAGATCTCTGCTCTGATGTGAGCTTAGAGAGCTTTGTCGAGGCATTGATCTGCTCCGTCACGATCCCGCCTGCCCTTTGTTCTAAAAAAACAACCAAGCACCGTCTCCGCCGGCAAGACCTGTTTGCTGTAAGGCGCTTTTTAAAGGAGCTCGCCAGCTGATCGCAGTGACTTTTTCACCTCTGCCTTTATCAAGTCTGTCAGGCTGCCTCTGTAACATTATGGTACATTCCAGGAGCAAGAGTCCACAGTTAATTATGTAACAGCAGCTGCTGCTGAAAGAGAGATATTACTGGGATGAGGTTGAGTTATATGAGGTGTATCTGCAATAGACAGTGTTCAGCATGCAGCTGGAGCAAAGCAATGTTAAAGATAAAGGGATTTTCAGTCCCGGAGTGTACAAATGTCATGCAATTTCGAACATAATTATTTTAAAATCCGTCATTTCTTCTCTTTGTGTGTTTAGTGTCCAAACACTGGAAGGCTGTGAAATCCTCCTGGGCCCAGAGGTGACGTACGGACCTCCAGTCCTGGACCTCTCCACCCCCGTGGCCATGTCCATCGCTCACTGCGCCGAGGTGGACGCCGAGAACTGGAACATCCAGCTCAAGAGGAAAACCCAGGACAGCAAGTGGGAGGTGAAAGTCCAGTACTGCCCATGGGCATGTGCGCTCGGCTCGGACGCGGCGCTACGCTCCCCTCCGTGGTCTTTTTCCTCCATGTATCGTTTTTGGTCGGAGCTAAATGTCAACGGGAACGAAGGTGAACGAGCTGAGCAGCGAGGATTCAGATTGTAGTTCACAGCCTGCTGCACCTCGAGACTCGATTAGAAGTAATGTTGAAGTGGAGATTCTGTAGAAAGAGTCAACACTATTACAGCCTAAAGGTAAAAGAATGATTCATGCTGTTAACCCCCACACCCCTCAAGGGACGGATCCCAGACGGACCAAAGATACACACGGGCGGGGTCACCGGAACACACAGAGGGGTGGGAGGGAGGGAGCCAGGGGACAAAGTCGTTCTCCGGAGGTCGGCCAGCTGGACTGGGAACTTCCCGGGGTCAGTCTGGACGACAGCCAAACAAACAGGGCGTCGGGGAGCCGGGACAGGGGACAGGGGTCAGGGTCAGGTGTTGGGGAACTGGGACAGGGGTCAGGCGTCTGGGAGCCGGGACAGGGGACAGGGGTCAGGGTCAGGTGTTGGGGAACTGGGACAGGGGTCAGGCGTCTGGAAGTTGGGACAGGGGACAGGGGTCAGGGTCAGGTGTTGGGGAACTGGGACAGGGGTCAGGCGTCTGGAAGTTGGGACAGGGGACAGGGGTCAGGGTCAGGTGTTGGGGAACTGGGACAGGGGTCAGGCGTCTGGAAGTTGGGACAGGGGAACAGGGGTCAGGGTCAGGTGGTTGGGGAACTGGGACAGGGGTCAGGGTCAGGTGTTGGGGAGCAGGGACAGGGGTCAGAGTCAGACGTCGGGGAGCCAGGACAGGGTTCAGGGGTCAGTGTCAGGCGTCGGGGAGCAGGGACGGGGGTCAGGGGTCAGAGTCAGTCATCGGGGGGCCAGGACAGGGGACAGGGGTCAGGGTCAGGTGTTGGGGAGCAGGGACAGGGGTCAAAGTCAGTCATCGGGGGGCCAGGACAGGGTTCAGGGGTCAGGGTCAGGTGTCGGGGAGATTTAATTTATTTGCTGCTTTTTTTCATTTTGCAGATTTGTGCAAAGCAGGTGTGTGAATATTTATCTGATAGAATATCAACCTTACAGCCTTCATCAATGCATCTAAACAAAAGCAGGAATAAGAACATATAATATTTCATGCCAGTATGTCAGCTAGATTTCATTTAACACTAAAACTGGATGTCAAAGGTTGCAGTTACAATTGTGTTTTAAAAGGAATTTTTGATCTCGGGTCAAAAATGGCTGAACGCTTGGGATTCGGTAAGATATTATAGAACACATGTCCAGGTCGCTTGTCTTTTATTGGAAGGCAAAATCCCGTCTCTTCCAGTGGACCGTCATGGGACCTTATTTTGGACAAAAAATGTAGGGGAGTCGATGGTCCTGGGACAAAGGATATCGTACGCAGTACAGATTGTAAAGGAACATTTGGGATTTGGGTCTTTACAGAGAAAATTGAAATTGAAAAACAATTGGAAAGTGGAGGAGCTTTGCCTTTCTGTTAAAGGGGGCTGGAGTCCTGTGAAGGATCCAAACACCACATTTCGTCGTTTAACTTATCGAAATAAGAGTTGTGAATAACAAAACAATGGGTACACAATGACATGTATTTATCCACCGTTTTTAAGGCTGCGCCTTTGATCACAGTTTGTATCTGAGCCTATATCCAAACAAGCAGGTCGCATTGAAGTGTCAGATGGAGACTGAATGAAGGAACACGAGTTCCAATCTGTCGCTTCCAATCACAAAAATGTGTGGTTTCCTTTAGTTTCCTTTTTTTCTTTTACTCTTTCACACACTAACCCTTGTCACTCAGTGCCGGACGGTGAGCTTTGTTCAAGTCGTGTTCCTTGACCTTACGTGCCATGTTGACTCCGTTATCTCTGCTTGCTGACCTTTTATATAAATGTGCTTAACGCGGTAAAAGGTTGTGTTAGCCGGCCGGTGATGTGTGTGTGTCCGTCGGGTTGAGTGTGTGAGCATTTAAAGGAATGTCGGCGTTGCTCATCCGGCCTCGTGCTCTCTGTGGGATCACAAGGTGACATAAGACCCCCGTGGAGGCAGCGAAATAAAGAAACAATTACAGCGCGTAATGTGCAAGAAGAGGCACGGCTGCTGTCAGTCAGCGGGGGAAGTACAAGGGGCAGTTAGACAAGGGCAGTATCGATTGGTGGATCAGACAGACACGGCACGCTGCATTTAACATGAGGCCAGCAGGGTCGTGGAGGTCGTTTCTTTTAGTGTTGTTGGAATCTCAGCTGATCACAGTTTAAAACTCCTCAGTCAATATTTACTGTTAAATGATCAAACTAATTCAACATCCAGTTCAATAGGAATCTTCTGTGATGTAACAATGTGGACCACAACCAGCATTTCCTTCTTTTTTGGGGAACCAAACTATTTGAAATGTAAATACAACTATTTGTGTCTTTATTATACTTTTATAATTATACTTTTAAAAAGTTGTTGTTGAAGGAAAGGAAAACAACTGATTAGTAACTTTCCAACAGCAGCGTATTAACACTTCAGAGTTAAAGAAAGTTTATCTTGCCACCTTTTACAAAGTAGGCGAATAAACAACTAAAGCCGTCAGTGCCACCATGCACAACAATACGGCATCTGAAAAAAAGCTCAATACCTCCCACTTAAAGTCACTGCTTGACTGTAAACAAATCCGATTAAGTTTCATTTAAAAAATATTGTCTAACTGACCTGTGCATTCAAACCACTTAAAAAGCCACTCAGCCGAACTGTTTAAAGAACCAGCCAGCTAATAATCCCGTTCTTTGTAGGCGTATGCCTCCTGCATTCAGATGCTTAGTCATCGTTCGGCATCCAGATGTTGGGATGTTGCTGCAGGTTTTGTGTCACAGCTTCCTTCAAACCGTCGTCGGCGCTTAAATTCTGCCGACATCATCCTGGAGAGCTCGTGTGATCGACATCTTGTTCCCACTCAGTTTTTAGTTCCTTTTGAGTTCAAGCTCATGTTTTGCTCACCTAAAGTCCAGGTTCGCCATTGTGTAACACAATACGTTTTGCTTTTCTCTGCAAGAAGGCAGTTTCTCGAGATGAGCAAGTGCCGTGAATGAGAAACGGGAGGGATGTGAGTTAATACAAGATTCATGTCGCCTCGAGATATTTCACTCTAATATTAAAAGAGGGCAGAGCTCCTCAGAGCCTCTTGCTTAGAAATAATAACTTACCATTGAGGTCTTACCCGGAGAGAGAGAGAGAGAGATTTTTGACGGTGCATAATACCTGCGGATGCACAACGCCATTAAAATGACCTCATTCCAGCTGCTGTTAGAATACACACGACCCACAGAACTCGCACACACGATATATATTGTCATTCAGTGCCACGTGGCTGCGAGTTATGCGCTCATGAGGATGCTGAAAGCCTCCGTATAAGCTGCATAAACATAAAGTGGAAACCTGACGCCGATGTGGCTGAACACATGTGGCGACATTTCGCACTTCACGTCGCTGCAAAAGTTTCTAAAACACTGGTAATGAGGTGAGTCCATAGATAATAAGGAATTTAAACGAGCTCTGTTGCCTTTACACGCAGCCCTGCGTGACGTGATGGCACGTTGACATGTGAATATTAGTGAGGTAATAAATACCGCTCCTCAAGCGGTGTGTTGCATGGCGTTTGGTCTCACGGCTCCTCATTAAATGGCATAACCGCATGTAGTTCATGGATCCCATCTGCCCGCGAGGATACGGCTCGCTACAGACTTCATAGAGGGTTCGGGTAATGATTTGAAGGTGGATTTGTTGCAGTTTTTCCTTCACTGGTGTTGCTTGTGTTTGTGCAGGAACAGCTCCACTCTTGGCTCCCACTGCAAAAGGGCGGCTTGTACAGCGATTACTCGCCACGTCCCTTCAACTCTTGAAGAGGTGACTTGAAGTAAATGGAGGCTGCGTTTTTACAAACGTAAAAGAAACCTTCACACAGTCTTATTGTAGACTGAGTGCTTCCCAAACACTGGCCTCTTCGCTCAAACACTATTCACAATTTAAATTAGTTTGAACACTCCGGCATAAACAGGTGCGCCTGGAGTCTGCAGTGTATTTCCACTGAAGTGAATGTTGGCTTTTCTGCTGGATCAGGCGCCACATCTGGAGGAAAAATCAAATCATCCACAACAGGATATTCATTAGAAGTACGTATTCAATGATGTAGTTTGGATGACACATACGAATGCGTCACAAACAGGAAGCACTTGAGATTGTCTGGATATTGGTGCACAAATGGTTTACACACAACACAACGTGTGCTTGAACACATTTCTGTTGAGAGGACTCACAGACTGCAGGTTTATGTATTATTATTTATTTATTATACAATTATTTTGGTTTTGCATCATTAGAAGCTCAGCGGGAAGTAGGTTTACTTCAAATGAACTGATTCATTCATTGAAAAAATTAAAAAACAAACAAAAGATGAGACATTTAGTTTGTCATTACTCGGTAAAGTAGAGCCCTTGTTTTCTACTGGCCAACTTCTAAATGCTTATCTTTGGTTAAGGAAAGCAAAGGAAAAGAGGATGATAGGACACTAAATATTCCTTTATTCCAGTTGGAAATAATGTAGTGCTTCACAGCTGCTGTTGTCTCCTAAATAAAACAAAGTACTGTTCATAATGACCATTTTGTGTTCTCTGCTGAACCATCACTCGTGTAGGAAGACATTTTTTCATATTCTCATGAGACTGCATACAATCTGAGTGGGTTTACACCGCGTGATTTAAAGCACGGTCGTGTGCCACACAACAAGCACGCTCGTATTTCTAGTCCCAGAGCAAAAGACAAAAGGACTCACGCCTGGTATTACAAGACAGGCTAGCTGGTTAGCACGCTAATCTCTGCAGATACCTGCAGCATTCTACAAGGCCTCCTTTGACACACCGTTAACCCTGTGAAGTTCATTTCATTTCAGTGTCCTAGCTCACCGACAGCCGGTACACACTTTTATCGTATCTTTTTGGTTCTGCATGAATCCGTGGTGAGTTACAGGCCTCGGCCTACGTACATCTTGTGTTTAAGTACGAAAGAGCCACACGTGTTGATGAAGGGTGCCGCCGTGTGGAAATGTTTCCTTCTTTAAAAGAGTCTCGAGTGGGAGTTTGTGGGGCGAGTGTTTTTTTTTTTATTGAAATGTATAATTCAATGTGCTCCATTTCGGTCTCAGCAGCCACGTGAACAAGGGATGTTGAATGTGCTGCTCAGAGGGACGTCAGGGACATCACCTACTGTGTCTTCACGGGGAACCGCCTCTGTGCTTCACTGCAGGAAGTGATGTCGGTGGAGGAGGAGTGCACTTCCTGTTACTGCCTGATGGACTCGACGAGCTGCCACCTGCTCGTGGGCCAGCCGGGCTCGTACGCCCTGGTGGGCGAGCCGCTGACGCAGGCCGCCGTCAAGAGGCTGAAGCTGGCTGTGTTCGGCAGCATGGAGGCCGGCTCCATGAGCTACGGCCTGCGGGTGTACTGTGTGGACGACACGCCGCACGCCTTTCAGGTACGGGAAGGTGCCGCTTAGATGTTTTCTCCTTTGGTCAACAAGGGTTTTCCACGGTCTAATTTATTCAATCAAGTGTGTGATCTCACCGAGGTCTGAAACCCCCCCAGCGAGTCAGCGCCTGACTTCCTTATTTATGCTGCTTCCTGCAGCAGCACACAGTGCCAAGTTAAAGCACGTAGCAAAGTAGCAACTAAAGACACAGGTATTTCTCTCAGGAGATGGAAGAGCATGAAAATGATCAGTGAAAGACATTCGACTCACGTCAGGTTGGCAAAAAAAGTGAGTCCAAATGGGTCCAAAGGAATGCTGATGCTGCTTTGTCTCTGCCGGACGTGTAAATAGGAAAACACGCTCGGTACATCGACTTTATGAGGTGATAGACGAAATGCAGCTCACCCCTCAAATAAGCCCAGCATGAGAGACATCATGTCTTGTTGCGTTTAATTTTTTCAATTATTTATCGGTCTCTCAAAGAGAATGTTGAGTGGAACTTGGTTTGAGATACTCAAAGCAATACACATTTGGAAGGTTTAACATTTTCTCTCCAGGTTGGCCTGGATTACCCACAGTGCACGCTGTTACGCAGTGAAGAGGACATTATCTCTCAAGAGGCATTTTGCTTTTGAATGACATTCCTCCAAGCTGTGAGCTCCACAAATTAGAATCCATTCGTCTCCATTGTGTTTGGGCGGAGACAGACATCTCAGAGAGAGGGCGGGAAAGCGTTGCTCATTTCCCCCCCGAAAGTCGACACTTCAAACCATCAAATGGAGTAAAATGTCTCTAAAGCTGCACCGTATTGTAGGTCACGGCCCGGATTCAGACTTTTGTCTGAGGCAGCTCCGGTGGCGGGTTTCTCCGCCGCGGCCCGACCGATTCTCTTCGTGAGGTTTCAATCGACCGAGACAAAAGCTGCCGTTCCGTCATCATCCCAACGTTAACCCCTTTTTCACGTCTCCCTCGGTGACCTGTAGGGTTATTTTCAGCCCTGAGCCTGGCGTCCTCCCCGGAGAGACGAGACTAACAGAAGAGCGGCTCGTCGTGACTGACTCTGCCCCCCCTACCCACTCCCCCCCCTCCCCGTCACGCCGCAGCCGTCAGCGGCAGCTGGCTTTAAAACGCATTCTGGATTTGGTGTATGAATTTCCAGCCTGGCGAGCAGATGCCAGACTTTTGCGGGTCCCTCGGGCTCCTGTCTGTTAGCGCCGCTTCTCCGCTGTGTGTTTTCCGAGCTCGGGCGCGATCTCAGCCGGGCTTCTGGATCGACAGGAAACCCGAACACAAACATTTCTTCAGCTCCGACCAGTGAGGCGACGATGAGATTTACTCTGATATTGCACGATGCTGCGGTCTCATTTAAAAAGAGTTCCTCCCCAACGAGCTTTCTGGATAATTCAATCCAAATGTCATCATTTCTTCCCCTCATTTTGAAATCACCAGAAAAGCGTTCAATCAGAGTGAGGATGAGGTAACACCTTTTTAGATTTAGCGTGATTATTTGTTTTTTTCGTGGGAGGTCTTGTTGCTTAGGAATGGGGCCAAAATAATTCCCCGTTCCCAGCCAGTCCACTTCCAAGGTCACAGCAATCTGTACAGGAGACTTAAGGCATAAAAGCTTCTTACCTGAAAATACCCCCATATTAGTATTCTGCAGGCAGTAGTTATCTTCCACAGTAAAGGCTACCAGAAAGCACCTCGACCTTTAGCTCTTTAGCTCTTAGCTCGGGCAAAGGTTCATTCCTATAAGTCCATCGTCAACCTCCACAAAAATGATGAACACCGTGGTTGACACATTTTGTGTTTCAGTTAGATATCTTACTTTTGACAACAGCAGTTTCCAGAAACCGATGTCGCCACGTTCCCACACAACAAAACTGCGTTGTCAATTCGAGATAACAGCTTTAAATAATTAGACAAAGAAACTTTTTTAAGGCAATGTTTTACTGAACAGGAGGCGTTTTGCTGAAATATTACCATATTTTTATGTGTTTTTCTTTATAATACACAATGTTGAGCAGGTGTTTGTTGTAAAACTGTTATCCAGGACAAAAAATCTTTCCCTAAAACGTAATTGAGAATGCGGTTAAATTGGGTTGGAACTTGCTTCTTTAGGAAATCCCCAAAGAAGCAGTGATTACTTTGTAATAAGCTACCTGCTAAGCACTGGCGGAAACAAGAAATACAGCATTTAATGATGCTATTTTAAGTATTAATCAACACACAAACCCTGGAGCCGCCCTGATGATATAATAGGTTCACATGCATATTTTTGGCCCTTAGACGTAATTGTTCTCGGTGTCTTTCACGTCATTTCGCCGTGACAGATGGCTCTGAATGCGATGATACCCTTGTGGCTCAGTTAAATGTACAGACTAAATTGGGTTGTGGGTGGAAGTAAACACGATGTCATTACTGCGTTGGCATGATTTCACTTTTAAACTGCTTATTAACTGCTCTTCCTAATAAATATGTCCAGAATCACCCGTAACATATTCATCAAAATGCAATTAAAGTGATGGTAGTTATCTTTAAAAAAAAGACGTGGAAATTCACAGAATAGACTGATAGCACCACGGATTGCTCATCACTTGGGACCCATATGCGCTCCGTCTCAAGGTCCCATTAACAAAAGATATTGCACTGATTACGTTACATGCACATTGTTATGCACATTGTTACATGTTATTGCAATTATCCAGGTGGGAAATTAGAGATGATGTATTTTCAACAAGAACACAGTAGGCAGAGCGAACCTTTTCCAAAAAAAAAAGATTTCTGCAAAGACTGTGGAGCTGCATTGGTGTGGTTCTAATCTTCTAATTTTCTGAAAAATTAGTTTAATAATAAGTTTTGGCATTTTACCAAACCTGTTTTAAAAACACATTTACTTTTGGAACCCTGGACTCAAACAGCTGGATTGCGCGCGTGTTGTGCGTCACTCAGCCGATCAGCGACAATCCTAATCCCTGCGAAATTTCAACCGTGGCGTCTCGACCACTTTTGGGTTCAAATGAGGGAAGGTAATGGAAGTTAACCACGCTGCAACGTGCCGCGCGGTTAAAAGCGGCGGAATCCAGCACCGTGCGAAGCGCTCCCTTCACACTTTCACGTCAGCGTCTTCCATCTGCGTTTGATGGTTTTCACACTTGAAGCAATAACAATATGCTGCACGCCACTTTTCTGCAGACACAAGCGTGATAGAAGTGCATTCACACACACACACACACACACACGCAGGCATGCGCAACCCAGCTGTTGCACGTACGGACCCTTATTCAGAATCAATCAGCGTGGCCCGGGATTAGTCACAGCTCTTTTCCCTTTGTGATGGAGATGGCTAAGGAGAGACGGGCCAGACACCCAACCATCCCACCGGGACGCTGAACAATGATGACGGATGAATAACCTGCAAGCGACAATCAAAGTGCTCTTTCATCATCGCAAATTCAATTTGGGAGATGGACACTTGCGTATCCCCGCAATTCCTCCCTCCCGTCTCCCCCGCGCACGTCCTCCCTCCCCCCGCGGTGCACCCATTTCGTAAGCATTAAATATGAGCTTCAATCTGTCACGTCGGGGCCACGAATGTGATGCTAATGTGCGTGTGAGTTGTGCGATTTGTTTCAGCGGCGCTTCTTGGCGGCCTTCTCGCCGCGTTAATATTTGTGATCAATCAATTAGTGGATGTGACAGAGGAAAGGATTTTCAACAGCTGTTTTGCGCTGATATGCAAAGACAGTACATGTTCATCCTTTCTCTCATTTCATTTTTCTATCCCTCTTTTTTTCCCCCTTGTGACCCTTTTCCTTCCCTTCTGTCCTTCCCTTGCCCCGCTCCCTTTTCCCTCACCCCCCCTGCAGGGAGTGGTGGCCGCAGAGAAGAGCAGAGGGGGTCAGCTCCTCGAGGAGCCAAAGATGTTGCCTTTCCGAGCGAACACCTTCAGCCTCCAGGTGTCCATCCAAGATGTTCCCCAGTTCCTGTGGAGCATCAAACCCTTTACCACATGTCAGGTAACCATGGCAATGGTAAAACAAAATAAACTGCAGCAATATGTTAGATGCATTAAGATTCTGTCTCTGTTTAGTGGGTTTGGGTTTTAAAGCAGCAATATATATTCTTATACATTACGATGCCTCTGTTTGACTTATAGAGCATCTGCGGGAAGATTGTCTATTTCTATACTGGTGTGCTTAATGCTTTTCACTGGGTCTGATTCTCCTTGACAGCAGACCAAACGGTTTCCGGCATACAGAGGTTTGGCAGTAATTAGTGTGTAAAACAGTTTAAAGGAAGCCTTAGGAGAAAATAATAAATGATAAAACATTGTGTCATAGTGACACTGTGCAGAGAAACATAGTGTTTCTAAGACATTCTGTTTCTACATAAGAACCTGTGCAGCGAACACGAGCAGAGCAGCTTAGCAGCTGATTGAGCAGCGCTGTGCTACACTGTATCTTTACACATGCTCCATTGGCTTTTTGATCGTTGTACCAGTGAATAAAGATCTAACTGGCTCCACAGAGCATCCTCATTCCGTCAATCGCTACGTGATGTGTTGGTTCCCTTTCACACTATGATCATCGGTGTTACATCTTTCTTATACCTTTATCTTTTTAACCGCTAAATCCCATCCTGCACATCCTGGATATATCGCACATGTCAAAGACTATTCTGTCTGCTTCTCCAGGAAATTGTCTTCTGGTTTTTTTTCCGAAGAGATTTGGCAATATTAGATCAGGGAGTGCCGGTAGTGACAAGGTGGACTCCACGTTCGCCGTGATTGTGTTCGGCGAAGTAGAGGCAGCGTTTGTGGCTTAGCGAAGCTCTAAAGACTCGTTTCAACCAGTGCGTTTATATGTCGATTTCATTCCTCAAAATAGAGACGTGGTTTTACATCAGTGAGTGAACATACTTCACGTTGGTCGCTGAAACAAAGCGAGAGCCGGCGCCTCGACTGACGTCGGTGGTATGCGGCTAAAGTCAGCTGTATTTGGGGAACAGCGCGTTCTTGCTGATGAGCGCGAGCGTGATCACCGATGTGCACCAGGCAGCGCGGCGTGTATAGAGGTGCGGAGCGAATCCACTGCATCACTTTTGAATCCTACAAAGTCACAAATAGATGAACGAGCTCATCGGCAGGCATCGGGTGAACAGCTGTGTTGAAAGGGAAAAAACGAAATTGGCGCAACTTCCTTTGACTCGTTGATCCAATGTATTTATCAGCACGATAAATGTAGTTTTGGGCTGTAATGTTTGGCCCCATTGTTTGTACATAGGCTACTACAAAGAAGTCTGGCTTCATGATAATGATCCTTTTCTGAACATTACCTGGTTTTGATTCACTTTATATTAATGTTTTTTAAGCTGCAACGCTGCTCTTTTATTGTGCATCCTGCCGCCACTTCAGAATCAGAAAGACGGGCGGACTTGAGAGTAATGGCTTTGTGTTGGTCTGGCTTCCGGGAGTATTAGGATGCAAACGGCATTAGATTAAAGTGATTAAATGCACCGGCGTGAGGATTCACAGACCGCCGCGGTGTTGTGCGTCATTGTTGCCATTCAAAGAGACGCTGAGCTGTTACGATATTGTTGCTTAAGGGGCTGAAAGCTTTGAAGACAATCCCGATAGCCGAGCGGCGCACGATCAAATCAGCTTTTAGTGCTAAAGAGCGTCCCGGTGTTCCACGTCAAACCCCCCCCCTCTCCTCCCTCCCTTCCTCTCCTCACTCCCTTCCTCTCCTCACTCCCTTCCTCTCCTCAGCTCCCGACTCGTGTGCGGCTGTGAGCAGCAAAGCCACAAGGCGTTGAGTCGTCCCCAGGCACACCGGCCGCCACTTTTAATGACTCAGCTTTCACTAACAATTGTTTATAGGTCCCTACTGACGTTCCCCCCATAGATGAGCCTGTTATCTGGGAATGAATTATGCTTCAGAGTCATTTTCCCTGTTTCTCATATTACCACATGCAACAACTATGAGTTACTGCACAAAATCATCTTATATTATCGCGAGGCTGTAACCTGCCTCTGCCCGATGTCACCCGTCGCCCCGACCCTGAATAGGAATAAGTTAGAGACATCGGGCAAAGGCTGACAATTCTATGCAATATTTGTATATACATGTTATTTGTTACAGCTAGCCACCAACTGCATGTTTGGCCACCGGTCATCCTCCTCCTGGAGAAGATGAAACAATAATATGAGTAGTTTCCTGCCACGTTGCATCAAGCCATTAGGCAAAGTATCACTGGTAATAAAGGGAGTGAAGGCCCTGGCCAGCTCGTTAGCATGCTCATATTCATTTCTCCGTCCGATGCCCCGTCCCTTTTCCTTCTGCCTCCTCAGGAGTTCTCCTTCCCTCAAGTGTGGTGCAGCAACCAGCAGCCCCTGCACTGTGCCTTCTCCCTGGAGAGATTCAGCCCTGCCACCGCCCAGCTCTCCTGCAAAATCAGCGTGCGCCAGGTCAAAGGCCACGAGCAGATTCTGCAGGTCTACACGGCCGTGGCCGAGGTAAGGCTGCGGAACTGCGGGAGGGAGGGGTGAGGTTTGTCGTCTTGCTTTCCCGCTCAACCTTTATGTGACCTTCCTGGCGTGTGTCAGCTCTCCTGAGCCTGCGTTGTGTATTAATAGAGCAGCCAGGACACTACGGATTCCTGCTAAACACAGACCACCGAGGTCCAGCTGTCCACCGTGTTTACTGCACATATTCTTTTGACTTTCATTCGTCCAGGGAGCTCCAGCACACATCGGGACACAGGGCCCCCTCCCCCCCCGCTGAGCGGGTGGGAGGTCGAGATCCTCACTCAAGAGCGCCATGACAGCAGTTGTTAAGCCAGAAGGGAGTGTTGGTCATTGACTTTACCTGAATGCTTTTTTCATAAGGAGTCGCAAACGTGCTTGTCACAGCTCAAGGCCACCAAAACTTATGACTGCCGCAGTCAGTCGCTGGTAAAATACTATTTTTAATCGCATTTTACGTTTTTTTTATTCCGACCCTCATGATTAGTTTGGGTTTCGACGGATAGGAGGAAGAAATAAAAGTGTTTATCGGCGCTGTGAGACGAATACAAATCAAATCACACACACACGCACACAGAAGAGCCACCTGACCGCCTGTATGTTCGTCCACACTGTGTTTTACAGTTTGAACATTTCAGTCGGATTTACATGAAACTGTCTGACGGATTAATGGCGGTTACCATTACGTAAACAACGGGCTTTGGTTCACGGTCCTTTAAGCATTGAGAGACGTTACAGGGGACCTGATGCTTTCTCAAGACACCTTTCCACATTTTCACTGCAGCCAAGCGGAAAGTGTGTCTGCGTTGGGTGGATCATGTACAGAGCGCACAAAGAAGGTGGTTTATTTGTTGGGGAAGAGAATAAAAGATATCCACCGCTGACTTCATTGGTTCCCTGTTGTGGTTTCATCTCCAGCCAGCTGTGTAACTGTGGCCGGTGAAATGAGAATTAAAAGGAACACCGGGAGGCGACGTGTGCGCTCCGGCGAGCTCGTGTGTGCTGCTGCTGGTTCACTTTGATGCGTATCTTCTCCGTTGTGAGGCAACAAACGGAGTCAATGATGGACTCTTAATTGGCAGATGGAACAGTCGCTACCAGCATAAACAGATCAATTCAGATTGTTTTGTTGTGAGTTTTGGTGACATGTGCACTTTTGCAATTAGATTGGTAGAAATAAAATAGTTCCTTATCTTGAATATCCGGGTCATTCATTCTGGAAAGACGCATCGCTGTTGAGTTTTGCAAATATTATTCTCGTTCCGTTATCATCACCTAAAGAACCAGTTTGATTGATTAATTGCACTCCGGGGAGAGAATAAATACATGCCATTGATTTCGGTGTTGAATTGTCCCTTTTAAAGGTTGTAGATTTCTCCTTTGTAGAAATGGAACAAAGGGTGCTGTCACCTTGGATTCTTGATTGATTGCTGTGTAGTAAAGTTCAATATTTACAATATGGTCAAATACTGTGAGGAAGTGATGGTGAGGATAGAGGAAGGAGCAGTTTTGTGATGAGGCACTTAAAATGAGCCTATACATTTTCCCAACACTTGCGTGTCGTAGCCAATCAGCGAAAAATAATAGACACTTACAGAATCTGGATGGCCAATGAGTGAGCTAGTTTATTGGGGTCACAGCCCATTTAAGAGGTGGACGTGGCGCTATGATGTGCGCACCTCGACCTTGTTGGAATTCATTGCGACTGATCAGAATTCAAACTGACCGCAGCGTCTCGTGCCCCAAAGGAAATCCGTAACCCGTCTAATCCGAGCCTGTTTCTGCTCTCCTCTACTCCTCCAGGCTGAAAAAGAGTCCGTTCCATTTTTTATGCAGGCCGACTGCACCATCACGTCTCAGACGGGGCCCAAGGCCTTCAAAATCCCCTCATCCATCCGCCAGAGGATCTGTGCCACCTTCGACACTGCCAACGCCAAGGGCAAGGACTGGCAGCTCTTAGCCCAGAAGCTCCACTTAGACCGGTGAGTGTGTGGTGTGCGTCCTCTCTGACGGGGCGTTGGCATCTTTTATATCCGTAGTAGCCTCGGCGGCAACACACTCACACAAAGTAGGATTATTTATCGTGCGCGCCGCTGACCTCACAAGTTTTGACTTAATCAGCAGGACTGCTAATTCATTGTACAGCACACAGTGATTGTGTTTATTGTCTATTGAATGCTTACACTGTGCGCATGTTGCACAATCTCCTTCAAAGGAGTAAATGTGTGTAGTCAAACGCTTCTTTAGCATTTCTGTCGGGTCTGCCGGACATATTGTTCATCACTTGTTTGTCCTACTTCTTTTTTATCTGATCACAATATGCATTAACGATGACACGCTAATATTTACTCAATCCAGTTGTTGTGTTGCTATGGCGGCTTTAATCCCCCAAGTGCATGATGCATGGAGCGCTGGTATCTGGGAGTCATTCGGGATTCCAAATCAACCAGATAAGCTCCCCGATGGGCGGCGTTGAACTGACCCCGATGTGCCCAGCGGCTGCAGGCTGCTACGTTGTCTGTGCTCTTGTGTAGCGTTGAGGAGCGGCAGTGAAACACTGCCTCCAACTGGAGCCGGCAGCACATGATGCGTGCACACGTTGCACTAACGTGCATTGTTTTCTAGTTAGTGAAAGATATAATGAGTGGATTGCATAACAGTCAAATGAAAACCAAGGACACATACTGTAGGGATTTTGTATTATTCATTCAGGAATAAGTATATGTTTTATTTATTACATCAAGTGGTCGATGATCCATAATTTATAGCAGTTTGTTCAGTGTCCTCCTCTCCCCCATTATTCTTTATCAGTTTATTAATTCTAAAGTAAATAACATTTATTGATATCATTTGATGTATACAGTACATTAGTGAGCCACCTGTCAGTGGTAGACATTGGTTTTCATGAACACTGTTTCCAGGCAATGACTCATTAGCTGTTAGGAAATGTGGTCAGTAACCTTATCCAAGTATCACAATATTAAAGTAACATAACTGGATTATTTTCCATTCCTTTTGGATCAAATATGTGAATTAATGTGACAGAAAAGAAATGTTAGCCTCCACCTGAGAAAATGTATGTCATCATCCAGGGACCCATTTGACACATTCTCAACCTACTTGGCCAAACTGCTGCTACACCTCCTTATTTTAAATCTATTGTTAAAATGTGCATTTCTATAACTGAAACAGAATGCGTCACCTTTTTTGATCTGTCCTCATCATGTAACACTTTTCCAAGGATTGCCTTACTTCCCAAGCCTCTCCTACAATACTCACTGAAGCACCAAACGTTTTTGAGTTAATATGTTTTTTGATCAGATGAAAACGATGCTTTCAGGACAGTTTGAGAACTTTTGAGAAACCTTTTTTTGTGTGCATCAAAATTGTCCTCAACAAGACGAATTTGACGTATCCACAGAATCCATCGGACTCATTTCATTAACAAGATGAATGCATCAGCAAGCACATTGCCCACGGCCAAACGCCCCCCCCCCTCTTGTTAACCCAGCTTTGTGTGCTCCTCCTGCAGGAACCTGGCGTATTTTGCAAAGCAGCGGAGTCCGTCGGCGGTCATACTGAACCTGTGGGAGGCTCGCCACCAGGACACGGCTGACCTTGACTCCCTGGCCAGCGCCCTCGAGGAGATCGGCAAGATCCACTCCAAAAGCTCCCCCAAGGACCAGGACCAGGACGAGGCGCGGCCCAACTTCGGTCACGCTGAAGCGGGCTGCGCGCGTGGAACGGCCACGCTGACCAATCAGACGTCAGAGGACTCGGCTCCTGAATCCACGGGCTGAGAGGGCGGTGGGGGGGAAGTGACAAACTGAGGCGTATTCCTGCGGAAGCACCCAGCCGGTAAGGGACGACGCACTGTGGCCGTGCACTGGAAGGTCAAGAGGTCGTGAGCAGACGGCGCGAGCAGTCTTCGTGCCGACCAGATTCCACCAGATGCAGACGAGGCGGCACCTGCGGTGGCTCCACCCCTCTGAGGAAGGACTGTAAATCTTTTTCTGCCTTTTTACTCCATCTCAAGTTCCCTTTTCATGTATTTGTTGTTTTTTTTTAAGTCAAAGCTGCCCTTCCGCCTGTGTTCATCTTCCAGCTCAGAGGGTGAGTGGAGTGTTTCCCGACCTTTAGTGCACATTGCAGCATTTCCTGAGTATGTTGGACGGGATGGGACACGCTTTCGCCCCCCTAACGCCTCCCATTCTGTTCCCGGTGGTCCACGCGGCAGCTGAACATATTTGCATAGACGTTCTCATCTGGAAATAAGGTGATACAACTGTGGAGTTGTTGTTGCAGTGACATCTGATTTAACTTCCCCATCTCAACCCATGAATGAGGACTTAGAAGCTACTTTTTTGACATCCGATACTATATTTTTCAAAAGAAGCTGCCGATTGCTTAAATGCTGTGATTGTGAACTTTGAAAGCCAAGTATCCTAAATAGGTGTGTGTTATAGGCTCTGGATAAAAACATGCGCGTGCTGTAATGTGGCAGAGTGACATTTTTAACCGTGGCGTTACAGTTAATTACAGGAAGTGATGAAACATCATTTCCTGCAACGGTAGGGAGCACATGCCGCATTATCACACAATTGCCCACAATACATCCGGCCCACAGTCGGCATATCGGACCCACACACACCAGTCTGCCCCGTCTCTCTTCCGGTTGGGGGGGTTGGTGCTCTCTGCCCCGCGGCTGCGAGCGTCACACGGACATATTCGCGACTTACATCATGTCAGTGTGGATCTGCCATGCGTGGAGAATAACAAAAAATAAAATAAAAATTAACTTTTTTTCTTTTTTAATTGCAGACTTTTCCACGTTATAATCGGTTATGGGAAACACTCAAACAAAACTGATTCATAGCGGGAGAATGATAAAGGGAAGAATGTTCTGGGTATTTGAAGCTAGAAATCTAAATGGCAAACCCTGTTTTGTGTCAATCACTACGGTAACGGCCAGTGAAAGGTTTGCCGGCATGTAGTACTGCCTGACAATCCCAGTTGAATCATCATAAAGGACAATATGACGGGGTGGCGAAATTGATTACAGTGAAGAAAACCACTTTGAAACTTTAAGGGACAGTGTGTAGGATTTGGTTCGGTTTTAACCTCCGGGTCAAGTTAAAACCGGAAAGCCTCTCTCCTGAGTTCATGGTTGTGCAACACCATGACGTGACGAGAGGTTTACAGCAATGAAGTTATAGTTAGGAATATTAAAGGTACACACTGGCCCTCTAAATCATTCTCTGGTTTTTATACTGTGCCAAACTGAACCGGTCAAGCTTTAGCCAGCTATTTGGGGACTAGTTAAAACCAGAAAATGCATAAAATCCACATTGGGATTGAAACTTTTTACATGAAATGCATTCAGAAACAACATCCAGGGTGCTGCTAAGATGTTAACATGTTTAACCTCAGATCACAATGGATCTCTGTCAGAGAGATGCTGATTGGGTTATTAAGGCCAGCCAAATTATGCGAGAACACATTCTCTCACTTAGCCCTGGGTGCATCTAACCATGCAAATAGTTTTTGAGATATTTGCACCTGAGATTTCTGCCTCCACCCATGGTGATCCAAATGTAATTTGGGCTGCTCAGTGTTGAAAGATTACTTTGAAAATAATGAACAGCAAGATAAATGTCCCAGTTACTCCGGAAAATCCAGAGAACTTTGAATCAAATGATAAAACATGTCCGACTGACTGGTGCTGTATGTCGGAAACAGTCCCCACACATCTACACCCATTCACCTCCACTGTACTGTCAAGGCAGGAACATGGTCCTTGCTATGGGACCTATCAATACGGAAACAGATGATAGCTAGCCAGTGTAGCGTACCACAGACAGGCGAGGAGCCGTAGGAGCAGCTGTTCCATTTTTAAAAAGAGCTGACTGACCGCAGGACTGGAAAGAAAATGTAAATTTAATAAAAAGATTGTAAATGTGATACAATCAATGAATCCCACATCTGCACCTGGCGTGTGCTACTTGGAGATTAGTTTGTGACCACAGCGCTCCGTATGTTCCTCTGGGATTCGGAGACACAGCGTTACTAACATTAGGGGGAAAATTACATTCACGAGTCTACGTACAGGAACGGCGGTGGAACGCCGACGCCATCGGGCTGCTGCTGTATGCTAGCAGGACCTGATGTTCTGTCTCAATTCGGATACATGTGGTACGCTGCGTACGCATGAGTTGTACATGAGTTTTGACTCGTATCAAGGGTCTCAAACACGGCTCTTACACACCTGCCAGAAAGACTTTCACAATATTTGACCCTTCTTCGTTTTAATGGCCAACGTCAATCGGAAGGAGCAGTAGCGCCGACATTTGACCTTGATCGTTTCCCGCCAAAATATCTGCCAGCTTGTTTGCTTCCTTGACTTGAAATGTACTAAAACTGAATAAAAGTGTACGTGATTTTACTTTTAGTTGCTTGTGTGTGGCCCCTGTTTCATGTGAGGTGGAAAATACGCCGCCTTCTCGGGGGGGACCCGGGACCCTCCCTCCCCACAGGTAGCATGAGAGCAACGATTGAGGTGGACAGTGTTTCACACTCAGCTTTTCAGTCATTATGAGAACACCATCCCGGTGCTCATGGTTTAAGTAAGTGTAAGTATGGAAGAGCACAAATTAAACACAGTCCTTCTACAATATAGAATACAGAGTACAGTTCACATTAACAAAGAAGGAACAAAAAACAGTTTATGTTGAAAAGAAACCCTGAGTGACAACAGACATCAGAATGACAATTTCAAGCTCAATGAAACATAGTGTGCACAAATGTTGATCTATTATTTGGTATTATTCATACTTTGTACCACATGTTGTGTGATGTGCAGATGTATAGTGGCACTGGGTCAGATTTTAAAAAAGGAATGAATTACAGAGGCAGACAGATGTGGGGGTTAATATGAGCAGAAATAAGCAGGAAACTCCCCTATATTAAGTTTAAGTCCTATATTTACTAGAAAAAAAACTTGCAAACAACGTGTTTTGTTGGTTTTTGGGGTTGCTGAATACAAATAAACAAAAATAAACAATTTTGCAATAAGCAAAGATAAAATGGCATTTTATTCAATTATTGTTTCTCACCAGTATCTAAATATAGGAAATGAGCTTCACTAAAACAATAAAATCATACAGTATGAGTAATGTGGTATGTGACGCTTTGGCTTCTTTGGTATTCTAACGCCGTATTTTCATAAAACACTCAGTTTTTGCATTTAACCACTCTAGGACCTATTGTGGCCACAAATCCCCAAAGAGTGTGGACAATGTCGGTGCTGAGACTCTCAAAAAGTGAGATTAGTATGCGATACTTTGACAAAACGAGAGACCGATTCTTTATCCTAAAACTCAGCTACAGAGTTGACCTGAATAAAAATTGGTACTTTCTCTGCAGTCGGCTCAACAAACTCAACCCACAGCTCCTTGTCAAGGAACTTGATTCTTTCAATTGATTTTCTCTTGGGATGTTTTTAGTTTTATTTTGAATATGTCTCGGTTTTATCAGGAATGATATGATGACTCTGAATACATCCTTATATATATCAGACCTGACACATCTGCATGGCTTCATCCTGCCTTGATAAAAATAACTGCATCGTCACTATGCATTTCTGCAAATAAGTTCAAATAAGTTACATCTTTTAAATAATTTGAGCTGGTATGGGAGGAATGTGAAAGGTATTTTTTTCTTCTTCTGCCTTTTATGCTTTTTCTTTCCGTAACTGTGTATGGATTCATCTTTTAATTCCTGCAAGAAAAGAGTGTCAAAAAATGGAAATGTTGTCTTTTGTAATCCTTTGCAGTGGCTCACGTTACACTAACAGCATCCCATCCGTGCAGTACCATCATGCAGCCCGTTCTCCCTCCCTACTGGTCAAGTACAGCGGCTCGGCCGCGTTGCACAGTGTGATCGGGTCCGATGGACCTTCAAAGACTAAAAGACACCGTTGAACCAGAGTTATGCATCTTATGTCGCCCATATAGTGTAGCCTACTAAGTATTTATTATATACGTTTATAATGCGGGTAGATGAAATCCAGCGTTCTGATTGGTTGAGAGGGGGTCACGAGGGGAACATTATTGGGCGCTAATGTGCAGCTGTGGTTCGAGCGTTCCGTATCACTGTGCACTCAAAGTTGCAGGTTAGATTTCACGTGACCGTTAGTTTACATTCCAGCTTTTAGCTCGGTGGCCATCGCCAAAAAAAGGGAAATCCCACAAATTATCAGTTTCAAGCAATGCGAGCTCTCGCAACCGGACAATTAAGGTGGACGTCAATGGCGATGTGAATGAATGACGTCATGCGGGACCCGACGCTGTTTACACGCACGTACGGGGACTATTTTTTCTCTAGAATACTAATTTCGATGTACAACAATTGGTGGCTCCAACTATTTTGTGCTAAAAGACAGATATTTACTTACTAAGTATAATTTCGCTGCTAACCGTATTATAAAAACAATAAGGTACCTGAGGCCGTAGCTTATCTTCAGTAATGTAACTGTCACCCAACAACGAACTGTGACATTATTGGAGGATAAAGTACACCGTCTCGTACCTTATTGCATTAGTATGCACTCGTGTATTTATTTCACACAAAACGCAATCTTTTCCTAAACCAAACCAAATGGTTTTGTTTCCTAAACTACCCATGTTGTTATTATTTATCTTATTTTATTATTTATTTAATCTTATTTAGTTATTTAGTTATCTTATTTATTTGAAAAGCTTATATGCATGTAGACTAGATATCAAAAAATGCAGTGACGGTAAATTCCTCAAACAACAGTCATGTATTATTCTGAGGATTGCATTATAGCTGATGGATTATTGGCTGATACGATAAAGACTGTTTTCATTACCATAACCTGCTACTATCACCACACTTCAGCTTCTCTTACCCTCGGGTGTGCATAGTAAACAACTGGTTAAGAACTTATAAACTAAGATGTTTTTTTAGGAATTATTTTGTGATGAAGTTTGATGGATAGATTGATAGTTACTTTATTAATAAAAGAAGATTTTTTGCTGAAGCAGCATTTATACTATAAATACACACACAGGTACATTCATTACAAAGTAAAAGTATATTGTATGAAATTCAATGTTCAAAGAAAACAGAAATATTTTCAATTGACAAACAAAATTGCACATTTTCCTCAGAGGGCTTTACAGTGACGTCCTCCGTCCCAAAACCCTTTCATCAGCAGAGGAATAAATCCCTGGAAATCCCCTTTAACGGAGGAAAAAGGCTACTAAGACGGGACCACTGCAGCTCTCAACTACTTGAGATTTATATTCCCCTGACAAAATTCAGTTGTGGTAAAACGTTTACATACACTTGTAAAGAATATATCATAAGGTCATGGCTCTGGAGTTTGCCGTTATTTCTACAACCCTGATTTTTCTCTTAGAGTGATTGGAACAGATACTTTGTCACAAAAAACATGGATGAAGTTTGGTTCTTTTATGACTTTATTATGAGTTGACAGAAAAGTGATCAAATCTGCTGGATCAAAAATACACATACAGCAGCGCTAATATTTGGTTACATGTCCCTTGGCCATTTTCACTTCAACTAGGCGCTTTTGGTAGCCGTCCACAAGCTTCTGGCAAACTTCTCGTTGAATCTTCGACCACTCCTCTTGACAGAATTGGTGCATTCAGTTAAGTTTGATGGCTTTCTGACATGGACTTGATTCTTCAGCATTGTCCACATGCTCTCAATGGGATTTAAGTCAGGACTTGGGGAAGGCCGTTCTAAAACCATAATTCTATTACCACTTTTGATGTGTGTTTGGGGTCATTGTCCTGTTGGAACACCCAGACACAACCTTCAGGCTGATGATTTTAACTTATCTTAAAGAAGTTGAAGGTAATCCTCCTTCATTATTCCATTTGCTCTCTGTAAAGCACCAGTTCCATTGGCAGCAAAACAGCCCCACAGCATAATACTACCAGCACCGTGCTTGACGGTAGACACGGTGTTCTTGGGGTTTAAGGCCTCACCTTTTCTCCTCCAAACATATTGCTGGGCATTGTGGCCAAACAGGTCAATTTTTGTTTTGTCCGACCACAGAACTTTCCTCCAGAAGGTCTCACCTTTGTCTGTGTGATCAGCAGCAAACTTGAGTTTGCAAACAGTTGAGCCTTAAGGTGCCGCTTTTGGAGCAAGAGCTTCCTTCAAAACACACTTGACTGTGGACACTGACCCCTGTGTTCCAGCAGCTTCTGATTCTTGGCAGATCTGCTTTATTGGTGGTTCCCGGTTGACTAGTCAGTCATAATCACTCAAAAGAAGTTAAGAGGCTATGAAGCTCATTTCATTGACACTACTTTATAAGTCACCAAAATTGCTAATTCATGTTGCTGTATGTATATTTTTGACACAGCAGATTTGATCACTTTTTAACTTAACTCATAATAAAGTTATGAAAGAACCAAACTTCATGAAGGATTTTTGTGAAAAAGACGTACCTGTTCCAATTTCTCCATCAGAGAAAAACAGGGTTGTAGAAATAACTGGCAACTCAAGAGAGCCATGACATTATGTTCTTTACAAGTGTAAACTTTTTACCACAACTGAATGTACAGTATCTCGCATCCCTTCGTGTAGGACCGTAAACAGCCAGTTGCAAAAGCGCTGAAGAAAGGGCCCTGAGTGTCATGGTTTGATGCATCGGGCCGTGAAGAGTTGCCTCATGACCAGCTGGGAGTGAGAGCGAGCATCGCCCTCAACAAGCCCCTTCATTCTGGATTTCTTTTAGCTTTGTCCTCTCAAAAACGTGTCGAAATGCAGTTTTTTGACTGTGAGCTCATACACACCCAAACAAACATATTCTCAGTATGTAAACTGCTTTGGTGTAAGACTAACCCTGTTTCATGAGATAAAAAGTCCACTGTCCATGACTTTCTGTCCCCTAAATTAGTCGGCCCCATGCTCTTTTTTGCTTTACGCATGGCCTTCGGCTTCATATCACTATTCTTGTGCCTTGTTTAACTACTGTAAATGGTGAATGTTGTAAAGTACCAATGCGGATGAAAAAAAATCAATAAAAAATGAATCATATTGACATACATTTAAAGGTATTAGTTGAAAAAGTATTTAAGATTATAATATTGAATAGGCTGCAAAGCTTTTCTAGTGCTGAAAATCTATGTTTGGTAATGCCAGGCAGCTTTGTGGTATATTGTATCTATAATTATGAAACTTTGGGATGTTTTCTGTACAGTAGAAATTGCAAATGTATATGCAGCCTTTTGGAAAATAAATGTACAGTTGAAAGACCTCAACTTGACTAAAGGTTTTTTGAAGCACGCAGTCCCAAATTACTTCACAATTATTGAGTAGGCTCAGGCATTCTGGTTCCTTATGCTAACAGCAGCTGATGAAGACCTTTAGAGAATGCTACAGAAGCCTGTTGAAGGTTTTTATTATCATTTTGAAACCTGTAGTCTCCAAACCAGACCAACACTCGATGCTCTTCATCAGACTTCCTCTGAAGCGAAGGCACAGGCTCGCGTTTGGACGAAAAAGAACCTTCTTATGGACACGATGGTGCCGGCTACTATCTGAGCAAACTCATTCGCTTCGTCTTTGGAGTAAAGTCCAATGGAATCATTCTGACGTCCACTCCCAGAGGCTCCGTCTCCAAGACTGCGCTCCCGTTGAAATGGGCTGTAAGGGAGGCTGCTATCTGATGACGCACTGCTCGGTGTCCTCGCTTGCTTAGACTTTACTCCAAGATGCTTCCCAAGCGGCCCTCTGCTACCTTTAATCAAAGATGGGAAAATTCTATTTCTGTAAGCAGTAAAAGTGCACAACCCCAATAAACACAGACGTACTATCAGTGGAGTTCCACTGTGATCCAGGCTTTGATGAATAAATGAATAACAACACATGGAACTACTATACTTATTGACAGCCTTCCTCCTTAGGTTAGGATCCTAGAAAAACAACAACATAGTCTATTCATACAGATTTGTGCACTCGCTTGAAGCTTTGTTATTTCTTAAATTATCATCGTTTAACCGAGACAACGGCAAGACGCTGAATTTGCCGTTGAACTTCTCGCCCAGCGACAGTTCGACACGTGGACCAGGAGGGGTCAAAGGTCGAAAAGCCGATCACTCAATTGGAAGATGATCCGTCGTAGCAATCACAGCTGCCACATTGAGCAACACGCACGGTCTGGTTGGATTTGGGGCCACTGGACGCATCCTCCCGGAAGCGGGTCGAGCTCTACTCAGCGCTTGATGCAAATGGAGCTTTAGCGGTAGTTCTGGAAGGAAGACTCCCTTTCTGCCACGCGTGATTTAGATATGCCTCAGCCGGTCTTCCGGAATGATCCGATCAGCGGAGGTGTTTAGGACCAACAGGGGCGGCGCTGTGGCTCTAAACCAATCATATCGTTGCTGTCAAACCTTTTAAGGGGTTCTCTCTGTGCTGTGAAACCGGATGCGATACGTAACCACAAGAAACCATTATCGTGGTGCCACAATACAAAAGAAAACAAAGACGCAATCCAATCAAGGACATTGTCTCTTCACATTGTCTCTGTGTTCGCTATTCCTGACATTGTCTCCTGAAAGCCTGCATGGTGGTCATACTCTATAGAGCCTTACGCTCTAGAAAGGGTCCGTGTGTTTCTCCTCTAGCCTTCAGAATCAGCTTCGGCAGCCTGAAGACCTCCCGATCCGCGAGACCTCCTCTCCCTGCACTGCTCATATGGGCTCTGACAGACCCGGAGAAGGCCTCTTTGTCAGAGAAGTAGTCTTCTACTCGAACACGTCTTACGCCGTTAGGGGCTTAGACTCGGTAAGTCTTGCATATGACTGATGGGGGTGGCCTCGACCGTGACCTCTGCGGCCTCCGGGTAGAACGTGACCAGTCGGATCTCAGCACATTAGTGTAAACCATTTATCTAGTGACTAAAGTTCTCTTTTGCTTAGGACGCTGCGGCGGATAAGCGGCAAGATACTGTTTATTTTATTCATATAAATTCATCTTTTGGGGGGATTCTGCCGAGACCCTTTTCCCTACAGTACAGCGCTCTTTTTTTTTGCCGATTATCCCGGTTTAGGATGGAGTCCAATCGCCAAAGATTGTGCACTATTTCAATGTTATACATGTATAACAAATGTTTGGCAATTCGGACCGAGTCTCTCCTGATTGAACTGTAATTATGTGACGCTGCAGCCGTCTGATCTTGCGTGTAAACCTCCATGTTCGTTGGTCGGCGACTAGTTCCTCGTTGTGTGGGTTATCTTGACGTTTGTACAGAACAATTCCCCCAGAGAAAAGGACAGTAAGTTCACTTCAGCACTTTGCACTGGATCCAAAAGGTCCTGCTAACCCCACACCCCATAGCGCTCCTCTCCGAATACACAGGAGGGCCTGTGGGAGACAGATAAATGATATGGTCCAAATCGCGAGACTTGATCTTGACCTTGGTGCAACAGAAAGCAGTACAGTCGCCGCTGCAGTGCAAAATAGATGCCTTATCTGGGAAAAGGCGGCTCAGAGGTTTCATCCTCCTCCCCGTCCTTATCACCGAAAACAGAAGTCGCAGCAGCGTGCGGCGGTAAACGGTAAATCCTTCGGCGTGCGGCGGACTCTGTGGACCTGAAGCTGAGCGGTTGTGGACGTGAAACGGGGAAACACAGACGTGCAGGGCGTTCGCACCAAGATGTTGACGGGCTGAGACCACGGGTGGCCAAACCAAGTTCCCCCACGGCCGTGGTTTTCGCTCAAACTGTGAACCCCGTTTCGGCAGCACAGCCCCATGTTAGCTTGTTAGCTTAGCATCCCTACGGACGCCGTGAGGCTTCTGTGTGCGTATTTTCGCACGCCGGCGTTCAGCGGAGCTTCCTGTTGCCGGCGTATCTGCGTGGCTGCAGCACAACCGCTCCTCAGATATCGCTGAACTGCCACGCGCGCACAAACGCAAAAGGGGAGGATGGTTTAGGACGAGGAGGGCGTCGTGCAACAGCATGTCCGGTGTGTCCCGCTGCACGGCCTCACAGCCGAGAGGAGCCACTCTGAGCAGTCGCTCACTTCACGCCCTACAGCGCGGCACGAGTGGATCCGTCCCCACTCGGCCACTGGAGGCACTTGTGTACTTGTATATGTGTGTTATCACATGTGCTGGATTTATAAACTGAACTGGGGTCAGACTTCATTAAGCGAAGGTGGAACTGTCGCTTTAGAGGAAATTGGTCGACTCAGCACAAAGAATGACTTGGATGCTTCCGAGCGACACCACTCGCGTTTCCTTTATCAATCCTGTGCAGGCACACGAGGTGGGGGGGGGGGGGTTTACCCAGCATGCACTGAGCAAGTCTGGGTCCGTCGCCCGTCTGCTTGTTCATGGAGGTGACGCGTAGGCTGCTGTGTACACAGACAACCACATACATATTCACACACACACACACACACATTTAGACCTCTCGATGTCATGCTGCCGTTCAGTTTCTTCCTTTTTGGTTTAGTCTCCTTTAGTTTAGTAACTTACAGCTGCTGTCTGTCAGCGATGGCCACAAATTGGCCCATTTTAAAAAAAGTCAAAGTCAGGTTGTGTTGTGTTATATTGTTACGCTGGTGATGAGAGTACTGGCGTCTGCTGCACGCCGTCAGGTGTGTTTAGAGCGCGGCGGGGCTGTAAGGACACAGACGTCTGACAGCCTTCATTCATGCAGGACAAAGTTATGTTCTTTGTTAGATGCAGTACTAGTGAAAAAGTCATATATTTTAACACAGACACTTTAAACGGGATTTTTTACTTATATGATGTTAACAGCTATGTGTTTTGTAATGCAATCGTAGACAATCATCTTAAGCGCCACGACATCTTGACCCAGAACACAATGTGTCCAACTGATATTGACTGACACATTATTTAATTAGATACATTGTTTTCCAAACATAAGTTTAAATTGGTGGTAATCTAAACTAAGAAAAAAAGGCTAAGGCAACATCCACAAAGTAACTCTCATACCTCCAAATCAGTAAACTCTTCTGTCGACGGGCTCCTGCTCCACAGCCAGAGATAATCCCACTGAGCACTTGCAGAGTATCATCACTTTAGCCTCTTTCCTATTTTGGAGGAATATCGGTCTCATGTATATTCCTGCAAAATTCAAAAAATCACCGGCTCGGGCCTCCGCAACACAGACAAGAGATCGAAGGAAAGTATTTTGGTGCAGTTATCCACAGCGTGAACGAGAGCACGTCCAGCAGCGTAGCTAGCTCAGGTAGTCGATCGCTGCACCTTGCCCCCCCCCCCTTAGTCTAAAGTCAGAGTGACTCAACCTGCTGGAAAAATAAAAGGTGCGGCTGGATGAGCAACAACCAGCATGTGACTATTGGCAATCATCCCAGCATATTAACAATCATGCATTGCTGACTCATGTCCAAAGTCGAGTCAGAGCTTTATTTTTAGACTAAACAGGTACAGGCTAAAAATGATTCGACCTGTGATCAGTGATCAGTTATTTCCTTACATCGTCATTTTCAATGTGCTACTTAACACCATACTCAACTCATTCATATCCAGAGTCCAGAGTTCAGGTATGTCAGGGATTGCGGGAGGTAGGACTCAAGACGCAGAGTTCAAAAAGAAAAGGCACTTTAATAGTAAAAAGCAACAACAAAAGGGCAAGGGGCAAAACGGGAGACAGGAACTGCGAACGACGAGAGAAGAACATGCGTGGCGAAAGACAATGACGCGACAAGTGACACAAAAGACACACGGCTTAAATACACAAGGGAGGTGCAGGTGATTGGACACAGGTGGAAACTATTAGACGATCACAGGGGATGACGGGACAAGGCAGGAAGTGAAGTTACCCGGGGACACGAGTGGCAGAAAACTACAAAATACAACAGGAAGTGAACCACACCGTGACAGGGTACAGGTACACTTTAAGGGTCATAAAATACAAAGGAAAATGTGCTTCCACTTGAACTTGTTGCATGAAAAATACTGCTTATTATTGTACATTCCATTAATAATGTAGCCGAGTGGTTCGGGTGCGCCTATACTTCGAACAAAGGAAACAACTTTATTTCTCTTTCTTTTTCCCAATAGCCCCAGTTCAACAGCACACCAACTTCCTCTCCCCTTCACAACAAAAGCCCCCACACCGGAACACAATAGCTTACAATAATAATAATATATTATTGTAATGAACATAATTTGTCAAATTAATAAGTCTTGACAGGATTACTGCAGCAGAGTGCAAACTAACAAAGAAACGGATGTAAAAGAAAAAAAAAGAAAAACTTGTTAATTTTATAGTACAGCACAGTGGATACATTAATTGTGTAGGATGTGTTCATTAGAGACAAATACGTGGATAGATTTACAGAAACAAATGCACGGTGCATTTATCTGTACATGGCGTTTAATGAGTTTCGTAACTTGTATGTGGAAACCTAATGAGAACGTTCTAACCTTAATGAAGCATTAATTATACGCATGTATTTTCTTTCCGTTCAGGATATTACCGTCTTCACGATACATTTACTGAATGAAGACTTCTTTCGTGGAGAACAAGTTCTAGAACGTTTGGCGTGACCCCGCCCACTGGATGACGTCATTGCCGTAGGCGGAAAGCACCTGCGTGGCTGGAGTCCTTCACTTGGCAAATGCACGCCGGAGCCCGCGTATCTCTCCCGGCGACATCACCACGAAGAAATGGATAAACGCTTGGTAAGTTTGCTGGGAGGCAACTTGTTGGCACTGTTTGATTGAATTTGTGCTAAAGTTTTATAAATAATGACACTTCACGTTAGAGTGAAAAGCCGCCGAGTCTCCGTTCGCATGACGTCCTACGGGACCGTAACTTTCTGCCCGTAAAGCTTCCTCCTGTTACCCGTTAAAAGGGGAGCTTTTTTCGGTCAAATCGGATGAAGTGAGCGCGTTTTGTGGACTGAAAGTGTCCGTGGGCTTTTTCCTCCTGTCCAACGTGTGTCCTCGCGGAATGTCTCTCTGTCCTGTGAGTCCCAGGTGCGAAATTCCTCATAAGCTTCAGGGAGCAACAAGTTAAACAGCCATTCGTGCTCCTTGTCCCGGTGACCGCGACGCGTCGGTTCTAAAGTCGCCATAAGTTGACTTCGGGCGGCTCAATACTAATTAGAATGGACCAGTTCGTAAACAAGGTTATTTTACCTACGTTATGCCCAAACTGGCCCCGACGCCTCAAAGTGTGGCTACAATCTACGGTTAAGAATACGTGAGTTGTATATCTTATAGATATAGATATATAATTTTGTATATTTCATAAATTCCCGTAAATTTGCACTTTAATCAATTCCATAGTAATTCCTCTTGAAGTCGGCGCTGGGGGCGTCTTTTAAACGGCATCACAGCTTTTAAAACCTGGATTTTGATATATCTGCTTTACAAGGAAGCAACCGTGTAAAATTTGTCATCAAATTAAATGTTTTGGGAATTGTGGACACGCTGGTTGCCAAAATCTCTTCTTAAGCTTCCAAAGTTGTCTCTTATGTATTTTATTATTTATTATATTGTTCTATTTATTTGGAATCAGCCTTGACGTCACGATCAATTGTTTGAGGGCACGTGACCTGAAGGGTGTGAAACAAATCTGGTCGTGCAGGTTTGCCTTATTTGGTTATTTCCTGCACCTGGCCAGGTGTTGACATTGACATCTGTGTTCAGCTGACAAGTGTTTGTCTCCTCTCTTGTAAAATCTGTTTGAGATGGTGTCAGTGAAATCTGTAAGTTTGAGATGGTGTCAGTGAAATCTGTAAGTTTGAGATGGTGTCAGTGAAATCTGTAAGTTTGAGATGGTGTCAGTGAAATCTGTAAGTTTGAGATGGTGTCAGTGAAATCTGTAAGTTTGAGATGGTGTCCGTGGTTGGTGGTTAGTGAGTGTAGCGGATTTCCTCTTCCTTCGACAGGCTTAAATCTCATGTTTGCAATCACACCTACCTACGTTATCGGAAGTGCATTCCATCGGTCGGGCGCAGCCTCACAAAGAGTTGCGTAATCTTAATCACGAGAAAATGACTCATGTTTTTTGAGTATTAGAGCTTTTGATATCAGTATTCCAGTGTAAACGAGTCGCCTCCGGACTGAACTCAAAGAAATTGCCTATGAAATGTACACTTTTTTGTTTAATGCACATGCAAAGATTACGTCGTTTAATGCCTTTTTTATGAACATATATAGAGGGTTGTTTTCAAGAGTTTGAACGTATGAAAATACCCTGTTTTTTCAGTGCAGTGGTCTAAAGATCAAACTTTTAGTTCACTGTGTTCCAAAACAAAGAACCACGTTGGAGATTGCGACACCCTTCGGTTATTTTATCCTTCTCAATGTTGTGGCTGCGACTGACGATAAGTCCTTATAGATTAGTCTGCTAATATTCACTCCATTAACTCTCTAGCAAGACGTGTTTTAAGTGTCTGCACTTAAACACTAAACATGCTAATTCTGACAATTTCACCCAAGTTGATTGGGATGACATTTCTATTTTGGAAAAACTTCAACTTGACTGGTTGTGGCTGATACACTTTGTTCATCCATTAGCTGAATGGCCTCAGATCTACAGTCAACAGAACAAACGATTACAATTGTTTCTTTTTTTGTCCCCTGTAGGTATTTTGCATTTTGATCGTCTTCCTCAAACCCTCGGGGGCTTTTCCGCAGCCCAAATGCAAGGACGGCCTGGAGAACACGAACGGCGTCTGCTGTTCCAAGTGTCCAGCCGGTAAGACGCATGGACACCGAAGCCACTTCAAGAGTCAATAAAGTGGTACATTTTGTGGATTATTTGTGCGTTTTGTGTGCGTTAGGAAAACGTCAAGCGTCGCCCTGCACCCAACATGGAGAGGAGGGGAAGTGCGAGGAATGCGACGACGGGACCTTCATCGAACACGCCAACGTGTTGCATCACTGCCTCAAGTGCACGCAGTGCCGCCCAGGTCATTCTGCTCCACCGCGTTACACCATCAGATGGAATCACAACAAACATCGTGAACCATTTCAAATTGCTCTGAGCTAACGACCACTTTTCCCCCGTCACTTTCTCAGAAGATCAGGAAGTTGTACGGCAGTGTACTCACACTCAGGACGGCGAATGTCAGTGCAAAGCGGGGGGCTTCTGTGCCCCCGACCAGCCGTGCGAGGTGTGCAGGAAGTGCTCAAGGTAACTCGTTTCTCAATCGGAGACATTAGTCCCTAAGACGAACGCACCCATTTGAAGTCCTTCATCTTTTCCTTTCTTCTTTCCCCAAACTAGGTGTAAAAAAGATGAAGTGATGGTGAGGAACTGCACCGCCACGAGCAACACAGAATGCAAGAAGGGGCAGCTGGACGCTTCCCCTGCTTCAGGTACACGACTGCGTGACTCCTGAGACCAGACCCATGGAGGCATGCGGACCATTTGTTCTGGACAAATGTCTTCCAGGCCAAAAATGCATAATTTTGACTTCACATTAATGTGAAGCTGCAACACCAGAAAAATACCAAAGCTCAACATGTAGTATTTTCATAATCTGGTACTAATAGTTGTCAATTGTTTTCTTTGTTGTTCTCAGGAAATGCCTTGTGGTGGCTGCCTGTACTCGTTATCGGAGTATTCGTTGCCATCGGAGTACTCGGATGTTTTGTGTTGAAACGTCGAACAGCAACAGGTGTGTGTAAAAAAAAAAAAAAAAAAAAATCTGGGTAATTGAGAATGTACAAATCCTCCATTTTCCATGTGTAAATGGCGATAAAGAATAGTGATGAACAGCTTTTAAAGATTTTTATTTATTAAGAAAAGGCTCTAGTTGAATCCCTGATCCGCTTTTACAAAGCAACAGGTCAACAGGTGCCGTATTAGGACCTGCCAAAGGAAATCAAATGTAAAAACACTTTTACACTGCTGCCTTGATTGGTTTTGTGGTGTATTTTTGAAAGTTAACACCGCACCTTTTTATAAAGAATACAGTGATTTACAAGAACAAATAAATGCTTTTTATTTGATATGTGCCAAGCCAGCATGACTTGCTTAAACGAAACAACAGACCGAGCGAGCAAGCTTTAATTATACTAACAAAGTTTTTGTCTTCATTATTCAGCCCAAACATGAGACTCTCCTCTTAGTCATGCTGTTGGCAAACTCATCGCTGTGGCCACAGGCGCTATTACCTATGACTGTCATTAAGTCTCAATTTATCCGCCAAAGTACATCGAAGTCACATGTCTGTGCGGTGAAACGGCTGCTCGCGGGTTTTGGGGAAACTCTTTAAATTGCGCAATTCTCACTTTACTTTCCCCCTTCAGACTCTCCGATGAATCCACACGACAAGCAGAAAGCTGGAAACGTGAGTCCCTTTTTTTAAATGCTTTTATTTATTTACGTGTATTGATATTTTTTATATATCTATATATCTCGTATCTTCTCCCCCCAGTCTGACAGCGACGAGGACAGCGGCAACGAGCGCAGCAGTGGAGAGGCCCAGAGGCTGAGCTGCCTGGGCGGGATGATGCCGTGGCGCCTGGTGAGAGCCAGCGGCGCAGAGGAGGAGCGCAAAGCGCTGCGCGACAGCCCCGGCAGCTCAGCCAGTAACTCCCAGCACAATCTAACCGCCTTCCCCTACCCCTACCCCGGCTTCCCCGCACCCCCCGCCCAGGCCGGCCCCACGGCCCCCGTGCAGCCCGACCGCAGGGTGAGAGCGAGCGCTGATTTCCACCCCTGCCTCTATCCTTTGCTCCCTTCCTCGCTTCCTTCCCTCCCGCCTGCTTATGCTCCTGGTGTCTGCAGTGAGTAGGGCTTTGCTTGCTCGTGCCGGAGTCCTCATTATTCATTCGAGACATGCAAAATAGTGTAAAATAGTGCGTATCAGAGCTTTGAAAAGGTGTACTCGAGGCAGTGGCCTGCATTTTCCTTCCACTTGACCCTGAAATAAATTCTGGGCGAGGAAGTTGTACTCTGGTTATAGGAATTTCGCCAGACTTCTTTGTATTAATGATTGTTTGTCTTTTAGGAGGAGGAGGAGGAGGAGTTCCCCGAGCTTGTTGCTGTGAATGGTAAAGTTGTTCTTATTCCCCTCCTTGTGTTGCTGCGTGTTGTTGCAGCCCTGCTGTGACTCATTCAATGACTTGTGGACTGGCGGCTACGCGGCTCCCAGCTTGACTGAGCGTCTGTATTCTCACCCGCAGGAGAAGAGTCTCTTCGGAAGTGCTTTGAGTATTTTGAGGACGTGGACGTGCGCCTGCACAGTCGATTCTTCCGCCACCTCGATGTCGCCGACAACGTGATCAAAAGCAAGGACCACCTTGCCTACTATGACAGGATCCACGAGTTGCTCACCATTTGGGTGGAGAAGGCGGGCCGGGGGGCCACCTTAAACGACCTGCTGAGAGCGCTGCTCAACTTGAAGCAGAGACGGACCGCCGAGATCATCAAGGAGAAGGCGATTCGCAACGGCCATTACGTGGAGGCTCAGGGGTCTCCCTGACTTGGTTCACCTTGGTCTCTGTCTACTGAACCTCTCTGGTATCACTAATGACTTCAGGTGTCTGGTGGAGAAACCTTCTATCGGCCGATTCTGGTCAGATGTCGAGGCCTTCCCACCCCAAACACCGCGTGGGCTGCTGAGCATGTTGCCACGCTGTACAGCTCTGATGTGTGAGCTTATTCAGCCAGCCAGCGTTAAACCTTCTGACTGGATGAGACTTCCTCATTTCCTCACAAGTGTTTGCAGTCTTGATTAGAGGCCGCTTATTTAATCAGTTTACTCCGTTCCAATAGCCCCAGCTTTTTAGATGTGTCTATAGTTTCAGAAAGTGACTGTGATGTTCGTCAGACCTTTTATTTATGATTTTTATTTCTTAAGATGCATTTTATTTATTCAGTCACACGCATCTCAACTGTGACTGTGATCGAACTTGCAGCTATGAAACAAAAAGCTTCTGAATCAAAGGGTTAAGTATGAAGTTATTAAGGTAGAGATCAACTATCTTTGACTCATTTGAAAGTGTTCTGCTAGGATGTTAAACGACATTGCGTGCCTCATGCCAATGCATGCGCTTCAGTCCTGATCCTGGTCCTGAAGACTGACATCAAGGAGGTTTACAAAGCTCGGGGAGAAAGAGATCTACTTGTTTACTAAGTGTCTTATCTGTCATTTTCTATGAGGATTTAGTCGTGTTACATTTCACTTTTATCTCTTATCTCAGTTCCTGTCTTTGTCGGTGAATTGTTTTTTTTATTACAAGTTACAAGCTCTTTGTCAATTTAAAAAAGGGGTTAAAGAGTAAACAAAATTTAAAATGCACACTCCAGTTGTGTTAAAATACGCACTCCAGTTGTATGTTGATGATTTTGTTGCATTTTTCCAAATATTCTTTTGGGAAAGTTCCACCATGAACTGGGATTGATCGGTCAGTGTGATGCAGCGCTGCTCTGTTATTCCACATGTTGTGTGAAAGGTTGGAATCATATTCAAGTTTACTTCCTCGCTAAAAGCCTGTGTGGCTAACACTAGATTGTTAGCACACGTTAACTACATTTGTTAATGGATTTAACTTATGCACACATTTTCCTTTTAATGATTGTAATGGAATAAATACTTCTTCCAGCCAACGTGCCTCAATGATCTGTCTGGAAACTGCATATAAATATCACCACGCAACGTCTTTACACCAAATCGCTAAAAGGTACCAGCAACTGTAAGACTTGTCCAGGTATCCCAGTAAACCATCACGCCAATGCTCTCCAGCTATCACTACGAAATGGACTCTTGCCATGATTAATGTCCCTGTGCTTGTCCTCCAGTAACATGTCAATGTCTGCCCCTTTATAAATCAAATACAGTGCCGGATATATCGTTTTTCACTGCGAGCTTTATGATTAAAAACCGTGACCAAATGCTCAAACACAAAACCATGCAAAGCAGAACAAAACCAAGCAACACAACACCATAAATACAATTAACTTGAATAATGTAAGCAAAGCAGAAGAAAAAACGGGCAGTGGCACTGTGACCCTCTCTGGGCTGCTCCCTGCAGAACCCTGCAGACGGCTCAACTCCGGGCCGAAGCCCTCGAATCAGAAAGGAGACAGAATAACTCAGAGGGGACATTTTCCCGCCCGCTACACATCCATCGAGATTGGGAGCAATTGGGGATCATGTGTCTTGGCCAACAGAAATGATTCGTTCATTGATTCGTTCATTTCCCGACCGGGTTCTACTGAGCCTGTGCAGGTCACGTGAGAAAGGATCCAAAGACTCGTACCCGGCAGAAGAACGAAACATTGATCCGAAGACGCGGTCGGGAAGGGAACGATTGGTCCGGGTACGAGAGGAAGAGAGAAAGAGGGATTTGTTTACCTCGTCCACTTTTGCGTGACTACAAGGCTGCAAACTTGTCACCAAAATAGGTCAGTTGTATAATTCATGGGAGAGAAGGGGGGGGGGGACGGTTTCATTAAAACAAAGCATAGTGAGGGCCCGCAGCGGGTGTTGACTCAACGCGATTCATTTTCCTCTTTCCCTTGTTCAGGGATCAAAGACACGTTAAAAGAGGTTGTGAAAGTTGAAGACCATCCAAGCTAAATAGCCACAGTTTATTGACCTTTCACACAACTTCCGTATTTGTTACCGGAAATACCGTTCAATAATCGTCGTGGTAATCTTCTTCCCGTCTGGTCAGGCCAGCGGCGGTGAACAAATGGCCCAAGCAGCGAGCAAGACTTATCTTAGCGTACCGGGCTGTTCTTGTTATTCCCCAAAGCAGCCATATCGGTTGTTCCTTCCCTGATGATGGTCATGTTCGACGAAAATGGATTCAGGACGGCGGGATGAAGAACCAAACTCCAGCATTAAAAAGGGGAGCACTTATGTCTGCAGCAGACACTTTACCTCAGACGACTACGTTCATGGATCACTGATCAACCAGACGCTGTCGCTGTGGATGAGCGGTGCCAAAAAGGAATAAATATATAAAGGAAATAGCAAAGAAAACTTTAAAACTGGACCGCGACTATGAGACGCTGTGACGGAGTTTTCCTCCACCAGTCTTGCAACGTCAGCAAACGTAATCTCAGAGTCTCGGATCCATTTTCTCCTGATGTGTTGACGCTTGACAGGAAGTCCGCTTCCACATTGATTACGCATTTACGGTTATTGTGAAAAAGCTATATTTGTGTTTTACTGGAATAACATTGAAGCACATGCAAATATATATTTAAACATTTAAAACATGTGTTTGCAGTGGACGTATTTAGGCCAGGGAATTAGCTATGAAATGTCTAGCAACCTCCCCGTCCCCCCATCACTAACACCAATTGGTTACCAGGAAGTAAGACCCACCCACCCCTACGGCAGGTCAGCAGGGACATCTCACTGCCCGTTACACAGCAACTTGAGGTCATGTGTCTGTGAGAATGTTTTTCTGACACTGTGCCATGGAGCGGCACCACGCTCACCGGTTCCAAAAGAACCTCTCCCCGCTGCCGTGCGCCTTTAGGCCTTTAAGGCCTTCAGGCCCCCGACCGCAGCAGCCTTGTGTCGCCACGGTGACTCGGCGTCGAAGGCCTCCCGCTGAGCTTGCGGAACCGTTCGCGCGATCCCCCTTTGTCCGCTGCGTGCGACCACATTTCAAAGGGTGTCTCGCGCAACGCGACAAACGTGCGTCCTCACTCGCCCACTCCGCCGCCTCGCTCTCTGCGTCTATCACCTCGGAATAGCCCCCTGCGTTAGCAGCCCATTTAGGCCGCGGCTTTGCCTTGCATTACCATTACGGATATTGATGTGATAACCATGCCTGTCAATGCAGACCCGAGAGCCAGAGCGTTCCATCGAGGTGTCGCAGGAAACGTTGAGCCAAATGGTGCCTCAGCTGTCTGGCTCCCATGCATCAGACTAATGCTCGGCGAGAAGAGCGTTGTTAAACACGCTGAGGCGGCCGTCTGGTGTGGCTGACAAATTAGCACTCAGGAAAAAGAGGTGATTTCAAGGTGCGTATCTATTACACATCTGAGAGCCGGGCTGCTCTGCGGCAGCGTTGTACTTTGGAAATAGGAATCAGCCTGCGGTGATAAAGAGCTCATGCCTTTTCGATACCAAGTATTATGCTTTTTTCAAGCAGAAAATAAATCCATATCAGAAGCAAATCTATTCATACACAGAGTAAAAAAAAAAGACCTAACCTATAATCAGTCGATATGCTAATGGCTGGTAAGTTGGTTATGAAATCAAAGGTGAGCGATCCAACAAGCCAACCGCTCACATTTAATTGAGATTCCAAAAAGATACTGTATGAATTCTGAACACATTCATATCATTTTCTGATTTTGTGACATGCTGTGCAGCAAAAATTGGGGAATGAAGTTGCTCAACACCAAAGCTCTGCTTCCCAAGATCACAGGCTTTGACTTTCATAACTGACAAGGCAGCATTTCACTTTCATTGGAAGAGGTCAAGGGGCACCGACCCAGTGGCCCCATTTGACAGGTTCGGTTCAAGAATGTATATATTTCATCTTAGAACTTTACCCACTCACAGTATATTTTCAGTTCATGAAGGTTAACTATAATATTTTGGTCGACAAAAAAATGTCTTCTTAGTTCTGGTCGCAACAAACAATGTACGTATGACGTATGTACAGTCGTGGTCAAAAGTTTACAGAGAACATAATGTCATGTCTCTCTTGAGTTTCCAGTTATTTATACAACTCTGATTTTTCTCTGATAAAGTGATTGGAACAGATACTTCTTTGTCACAAAAAACATTCATGAAGTTTGGTTCTTTTATGACTTTACTATTTATGACTTTATTAGACAAAGTGACAAAATATGCTGGGTCAAAAATATACGTGCAGCAACATGAATTAGCAATTTTTGGTGACTTATAAAGTTGTGTCAATGCAATGAGCTTCATAGCCTCTTAACTTCTTGTGAGTGCTCATGAGTGAGTACAGCTGGTGACTCGGAGGCCATTTAAATAGGGCTCATTGGATACAAACGCCACAATGGGGAAGTCAAAGGAGCTCAGCATGGATCTGAAAAAGCGAATCATTGACTTGAACAAGTCAGGAAAGTCACTTGGAGCCATTTCAAAGCAGCTGCAGGTCCCAAGAGCAACAGTGTAAACAATTGTTTGTAAGTATAAAGTGCACGGCACTGTTTTGTCACCATCAGGAAGAAAACGCAAGCTTCACCTGCTGCTGCGAGAAGGTTGGTCAGGAGGGTGAAGAGTCAACCGAGGACCACCAATAAAGCAGATCTGCCAAGAATCAGAAGCTGCTGGAACACAGGGGTCAGTGTCCACAGTCAAGTGTGTTTTGAAGGAAGCTCTTGCTCCAAAAGCGGCACCTTAAGGCTCGACTGAAGTTTGCTGCTGATCACACGGACAAAGGTGAGACCTTCTGGAGGAAAGTTCTGTGGTCGGACAAAACAAAAATCGAGCTGTTTGGCCACAATGCCCAGCAATATGTTTGGAGGAGAAAAGGTAGTTTGTAGGAGAGAAGGCTGGGTGTTCCAACAGGACAATGACCCCAAACACATCAAAAGTGGTAATATAATTATGGTTTTAGAACGGCCTTCCCCAAGTCCTGACTTAAATCCCATTGAGAGCATGTGGACAATGCTGAAGAATCAAGTCCATGTCAGAAAGCCATCAAATTTAACTGAATGCACCAATTCTGTCAAGAGGAGTGGTCAAAGATTCAACGAGAAGCTTGCCAGACGCTTGTGGACGGCTACCAAAAGCGCCTAGTTGAAGTGAAAATGGCCAAGGGACATGTAACCAAATATTAGCGCTGCTGTACGTGTATTTTTGATCCAGCAGATTTGATCACTTTTTCTGTTGACTCATAATAAAGTCATAAAAAAAAACGAACTTCATGTTTTTTTGTGACAAAGTATCTGTTCCAATCACAAATATTGGCAAACTTGAGCGCAATGACATGTTCTTTACGTGTGTGTGTGTGTGTGAGTTTCTGAGATTTTAGTGAGTAAGTGAACCTGTTGAATTCTCCTAGTGGTTCCAACCCTGGTGCCAGTTGTGGATCCACAAAGTCACCAGGAGTAATCAACCAGTACTGACAGACCCTGGTGCCATGTCCGTGGAAGGCCAAAGGGTAATTTAGTCATTACGTTTTCTGAAATAAAAACCTGCCAATGCACTCAATCGACTGCAGCACAATAAACCACTCAGATGACTTGAGTCACAATTGTACGCATTCAGAACCTCTGTCTGGAGTATTTTAACATGTTGAGCACTTTGGCTCAAACCGGTTCACTTTTAAAACAGTATTTGCCAGATCACATATAATGCTCGTGTCCAAGAGGTGTCTTTGTTCCACACCAACAATCACTATGGAGCCTTTTGGTGAACAGAAACGTCGGATGATCCATGGCAGCTGAATGACAGAAATATCAACTTCCCTCATTGGTAAGTCAGCTTTACAACCCCCTTTAAAAACACGGACCTCTGCCAGAGACCACGCACACCTTCACATTGTGAGAGACAAATGGAAATAAGAGGTACATGGTGACTGCAGAGCTCAGGAGGAAAATTGAGAGCAATGAAGCACCTGCTGACCCGTCTCGCAGAAAAAAAAGATTACCCGGGAAAATAAAGCAGAGATTGCAACAAGAAAACCCCCAAAGGAGCAGACGTGCAGCGAGAAACCAGTGTGGTGCAGACGGAATCCCACATAGATCACGGTTGTGACTGTCCTCTTGGAACTTTGGGAAGGTACATATTATTTATCATGTGAAATAGGAATTGCCGTATTGAAAACATTCAAACCGGACATTCATAATCGTATCCCTGTCTTGCTCCATAAGATTAACACAAATGCATTTCAAAATAAACCAAAATGTCATTAAACATGGAAGGTGGCGGATGAACTACGGAGTGTAGCCTCAAAAAAAAGCTAAATTCAAACATATTTGTCATCTTTGGAAAGTGATAATATATTAATGTTAACCAACAACCAACTGAGGCCGTCCAAAGATCCGATTTGATCAAACCGTCAACAGGAACCGGACTCACTCCTTCACCGACACGCCCTCCACACCTTTTGACTCCTTTGGCCTCCAATAGTCTGTCTCCATTTTGCTGCAGTTTCCTGACATTATTTGGTAAGACCCCAAGAAGCCCAGCTGCCTCTCCAGAGAGTCCGTTCCCATTCTGCTCATAACAGCTCCTTCGGCTTTCGTGGAGCTGAGGGCAGAGATCCAAAACCTCCAGTGTGTGCGTGGCATCGGGAACCAAAAGGCCCTCTGGGAACACAAAACCTGTAATAAAGCACTGTTCAGTTCACATCCCTTCAATTTGAAATCCCCATTTTCATCACCATTGTGCCCACGTTCATTCGAGGATGATGACTTACATTTTCTCTGACACAATTCCCGTTGCATGCGTGTAAGTGCTCCTCAAACAGGATGCTGGGTGCTTCTTATGTGCAATTTTGGACTGAATAGCGCCTGATTTTGAAGAAGGCCATGGTGATCACTCCATTCAGGCCAAGTAAGAAGAGGATTAAAACAGCTTGCCCGTCTTTATCCTCGGAACTCTGTTAATCAGCTTTGAAAGAGAAAGATTCATTCTCACTTTTTTTTAGCCCTCAGGGTTTCTTCTCAGGACATAAAGGACAATGGAAGTGAAATGTAGCTCTAAAATATGGAAGAGAGAGGGTGTAAAGTTTAAGCTACTGCCTCCTTTGATGGAAACGAGGGGAAATTTGCCGCGTCCCTTAATCTGAATTTGTGATACTGATGTACGACTCCGCGGAGAAAAACTTGTGAAATGAAGAAAAGGTCACCGTGACAGGATTCAGGATGACTGTTCCACAATGAGCAGACATCATTTTTATTCACTGAGTCTAGTCGCCACCGATGGCGACGATGCGCAGATCAGAATGACATCACAGTTTTGAGTCCGTTCCACTTATTCCACAGTTATTAATAACCAAAATGTGACGCTGTGAGCTGGGGGGGGGCGGGGGGTGTCCGCTGGGGGGCGAAACCGACGTGCACAGTGAGGAGTGAACGATTGTAAACGTGATGAGGCGATGTATACAGTTCACCTGCGTTTCGTCCCGCACCATGATGCCCATTTCTGAACCACGTGTTGGATGAAGAAGCACTGATATGGAGACGTGCTTTTCAGACGTGAGAGGCTGTTTGGGGACAGATCAGACCACCGTGAAGCATCTCACCATCCCACAGACGCTCTGTATGGCACTGCGCCTTTTTTGCAAGCTGCACATGTTTTTATATGCCGAAATGTTTGGCACTGAAGTCCTTGGCTCACATCTTTATTACCTTCCCTGGCCGCAGAAGAATGTGTCACATCAAAGAGGATTTCCACAAGACGGTCCACATGTTCCGTACAAACGGGTGACAGTGTTTCATGTGCATTATGGAGAATGGGGCATATATGAAGAGGGCAGTTTCTGCAGTAGCTGTCTCACCCTGAATCCCTTCCACCACCGGCCTTCCTTCGTTTAAAACAAGGGTCAATTACTCAGCTGGGGTGAAGCAAAACTGTTAAGGCACCAGCTTACAAAAGGTTTTTATATTTTATCTTGACCTGTTGCCAGGATTTTTTTTGTCCCGTCATGTTTGTTCTGTATGAACATTTATTGTATATTAAGATATTTGACACAGCTTATAGGGAACTTTCACAATGGATATTTTCAAATCCCTCCGCATTCTGTCGTCCGCGGTCAGGCATGCTGTCAAGACTGAACTACTTCTCTTCCCAGGAATAGATTCTTCTACACAGGACCTGACTTTTTGCAAATTTGTGTTGACGGCAACTTGGACTGATAGGAGCCTCGGAGCCTTCACATCTTCCACCGCAAACTAAAGACACACCTCTTCAGACTCTACCTCGACTACAAGACAAACAATTTGTAGCACTTTAATTGTACTTATAATGGCTCTTTTCTATAGCAAGTTGTAAATCAGCTTATTTGATGAAATTGCACTTTCTTGTTCTTTTGATTTTGTATCCTTATGGTTGAAATGCACTTATTGTAAGTCACTTTGGATAAAAGCGTCGGCTAAATGACATGTAATGTAATGTCTTTTTAGTGCGTCGGCCATTCTGCAAGCCAAATATCAGTCTGTACTACAAGTGGTCCAAAATGCAGTTAAAATATAAAGGGAAAATACTAAAATTAGTACTATTAAAGATAATACAGATTTTCCAAATCAAGAGTTCAAATAGAAATATGAATTAATCAATGCATGTATTACTATGAACATTTTGTTTTACTTGGTCTATTGTTTGTCTTATTGCCGTACTCATAAGTCCTTTGAATTTAATACAAGTTTATGTGCAAAAGCACTTTGAAGTGCCCTTGTTTTACACAGACGCTGTGTTTAAAAGCTTTTAAATGCATGAAACAGCACAGTCAGAAAAACGGGCCCACGCTGCCTGCAGGTGGAGCTGGAATACAACAGATCTCTGCAGGCCATCATGCACCCAGAGCCTGCTGGTTCTTCTGGGGTCATAAGGTCACTCAAAGCACTGAGACACAAATCATGTATGAGGCAAAGCAGTTGCATGAGTCATTTCATCAGTAGTGGTAATTCATGTGTTTATAAAACGTCAGCCTTGTTTATTTACTACAAATGTCGTTGTGTAAGTCTTGTTGGGTTAGATTTTTTTATTTAGCGTGTGTTCATGTTTGTGCTTAAAACTAGTTGTTCATTTCTCCCTGCTGTGTCATCGGGAATTATTTCTCCCATAGTTGATCAAAATAGTCGTATCTTCTTATTTAATAATGAAGGTTTATTCCGAGGAGGAAGTGTGGGGAAAAGCATCCCCGTAAAAAGCGCAGGACTTTGAGTCATTTCAGTTCAAATGTTTAATGTTAGTGATTATCTGACGTTAAAGTCCGGAGGACAAATTAACTACACTTCCCACAAGGCCTTGCGCTGTCAACACGGAAATGGTTTAGGTAAAACGCTCTTCCTGAAGTTATTTTTCTTAACCTGTGTATGCGGTATATTATCTTTCCTCTTCATAAATATGGAGTGAGTCTAAACGAGGTAAATTATTATTGGTGTTTCCCAGCGGCCGCGTTAGCTGCGAGGCTCCGGACCTCGCTTCAAAAACACGCTATTTAAGAAAGTCCGCAAAAACGCCGTCGTGCGCCGCTTCTAAACTGAACGAACCTTTCGTCATTTCTGTTTTATTGCTCGACCACGAGCCGCTCGTGTGTTTTATTACTCCGCAGCCGGAATAAAGTCATTTCCGTGTTCTCGGCAGGCAGCAGATGCGGCAGGCGGGCCCCTCGTCTCCCAGCTGGCGCTCCCCCCCCGACTGCCTCCCCCTCAGGGCCCCGGGCCGCCGGGCGGAATGTGGAAGTGACCCCTCGGGGGACCCGGAGAAACGCGAAGTGAGAGCGGCGCGCGGTGAGTGTCCGTTGAAGAGCAGCTCGGTGCGGGGAAGCCCGACTTGTTGGTTCGGTTCGGCTCCGCGCTGCGCAGCACGACGTGTTGTCGGTGTCCAGGTAAGACGTCCAGCTCCGGGACACGTTTATTTAGGCAGTTTCTCGTTGTTTTGACGTGATTTCGATATAAATAGTCGCAGTCTGAGGAAACGAGAAGATTTTATTGCAGTTTTAGCTGGTTTCCATTGGACAAACTGAGATTGTTAAGTCATTTATTTGAAGTTACTCAGGCTTTTGTATTGATTACTAATGCTGGTATTCGTTTATTTCACTTCTTCATGTGTCTTGAACCAGGAGCTCTTTAACTTTGATTTATTGCACAGTATTTAAACCGGGTTAGATTTGACCGATTTAACGATGACTACATTGTGACCCTGAAGTCAAAAGTAAAAAACATGACAAATATTAACCAAACTTCGCTCTGTCTTAAGGGTGGCCGTAGAATAATTCTGTTTTAATAATAAGTGTACGCTATATTTTGAATATTTTACCCTCCATCTTGCCTTCAGAAATCCATTTTCCTTCAGATAAACTGCAGCTATTATATTCATATAAACTTTCTTCAAAAGCTTCAGTGTTATGTGGCTTTAGTGAATCGAAACACCTAACAGATTCTAAATGATAATCTAAAAAACAAGCACACACGCATAAACAAATTTCAGTGGCTAACTTTGACTTTAACTCCACACCGGCTATGGAAAAGAACCACATGCAGACTATGCTTCTTCTTTTTTAATCCGGGCATCCAGAAATCCTTCAACTTGCTCATGAAATCAGTGCTTCCTGTTCAGCGACTCGCCCGTGTTGGGTTTGAATCTGCAACAGGTCCCCTCTTCACTGTGTGTACCGTCCTGTTCTGATTCAAGCTCCTCTCCTGGGTTTAGCCCGCGCGTCTCTGCAGGATGTGGTCCGTCCTGAGCTTCTACACGTGCTACCTGCTGTGCTTGGGCCTGAGCCTGGCCTGCGTGGTGTGCGTGTGCTTGTGGAGCAGCCAGTGGCGAGGCGGCTTCGCCTGGGACGGCACGGCGCTGCAGTTCAACTGGCACCCGGTGCTGATGGTCACGGGCCTGGTTGTGCTGTACGGCAATGGTGGGTGCCTCTTTTGGGCGGTCGGGGTGTGAAACGGTTTCCTTTGTGTTCCTCGCTTCTGTTTTACTTTGTGTGACAGTCGTCCTGTATCAAGATAATTAAACGTTACGGGCTTCATAGAGACCAAGCGTGTAATTAAATGCATCGTTTCGTGTCCACGGTTTTGAAAAAGAAAAAAGAGAATCCAGGCAGAAACGTCACACCTTTTCCAATAAAAATGCCATTAATTAGTCTTTGTGTGTAATGCATATACACGGGATCTCTATAGTGGACAGATGTATGTATGTCTAACAGGGCGTCCTATAGAGCCACATTCACAGAAGCTTTCAGCACTAAACGGAACAATGGCCACGTCTCAGACACGGTCCGATACAGACACAGGAGATGTGTCTTTGGGCTGAAATCAACTGAAATGTCTACATAACACCGCTGACATCGATTTCCCGCAGGCGCTGTGTTGTACCGCGTCCCGCTGACCTGGGGTCAGAACAAACTGCCCTGGAAACTGTTGCACGCCGCCGTGATGCTCCTCGCCCTGATCCTGTCCGTCGTGGGGCTGTGCGCCGTGTTTGACTTCCACAATGCTCAAAACACTCCCAACCTCTACTCCGTGCACAGCTGGGTTGGAATCGTGGCGTCTGCTCTTTTCGCCATGCAGGTGAGCTTAAACGTGCTGTGCGCCTCGGGTGGAACGCGGTGGGCGCGTGTTTCGATCGGCCTTTAGTGTGTTCACTGCGTCCCCGGACGTCTGTCCTTGGTGTCCGTCCAGTGGGCGGCGGGCGCGGCCGGCTTCCTCCTGCCCTGCTCACCCCCGACGCTACGTGCCCTGCTGAAACCCGTCCACGTGTGGATGGGAGGCAGCATCCTGTGTCTCAGCATCGCTGCCTGCATCTCCGGAATCAACGAGAAACTCTTATTCGTTCTGTGAGTCACGCCACACTTTGCATTTATTTAGCTATAACTACTTTTCCTTTTATAAAGGATTTATCGATTTTAAAATTGGCGTCTTGAATGTCTTTTCTCCACAGGAAAAATGGTGCGAATAAAACGTACGCTGATCTTCCGCCCGAGGCCTTGTTCGCAAACGTTCTGGGAGTTTTGATCGTAGCCTTCGGCCTGGTCGTCCTCAAGATTTTGTCCAACCGAGAATGGCAGCGACCGGACTCCAGACCTCCGGACCTGACTTACACGGTGAGAATATATATAACAGACCAGGTCATTTATTTGAAACATAATAATCATCCATGTCTTCTCTCTCCCACAGCCGTTGCTTCAAGAAGACAATGAGTGAATGACAATTTTTAATCGCTCAGCCAAAACTGTCACAAAATCAGTCACAATTCACTTCAACAATCCAAAAGATCTACTTTGAATGTACAAGCAGCTGTCTGAGACCTGTGCAAATTATCTAATATTAAATTATGTATAATCTGTGTCTGTTTTGAGTAAATATTTATTTGGAATTATATTTAAAAAAAAAAAAAAACTTCCCACCAAAAAGTTAGAGAATCTTTCAGAACATTTTTAAGGTGAAGCATAAAGCAAAAGCAACACATATTGAAAGCTGGCGTTGCTTCATAATCAGCTAAATGCCCGATTAAGTCGATGAAGTATTGCTTCTTCAATGACCGTGTGGTCTGTCGTCTGCTGTGGTGCCGCTGATCTCGTCCTCTCAAGGCTGCCTCTAGTATTTCCCTCAATGACATAAAATGTGGCGCTGAACCTCAAACCGGACAGAGACATTCTGGTCCACCAACAGACGGGCCGTCCAGAGCTGATGCCGCAGAGCTCCATGTGGGTCTCATCTGACCTCGTCGCCCAGACGGGCCTGTACGGGCACAGGACCGATGACGTCGTAGTGGGTCACCCACCCACGCGGCCCCAGCTGTCTTGAGATCCTTTAAAGTTCCTCTTGTGGAGCTTTTGGCTGATCGCTCACCTTTCTCAGGATGATGGTCATCATTGGACGTTTGATGGGTTTCGTCTATGTCTCCCCAAGAGAGGTGATGATTTCAGAGAACTTTCTTAAAGCGAGAGGACCAAACCAACCGCTCTGGGGGAGCCAGAATTTTTGCATCCAACAGATATTTTTAAGTTTGTAACCGTACAAAATGAGGAACGGGGGGGTTGCAGGTGCGCCTGTAATATGTGAAAGTGAAAATATTCATTGTCACATGGAAGCAGGAAAACAAACATTTAAGTAACAATGCTAATAATCCAGATTGCAATAGCGGTAACATGGAATGGCAAAGCTGTATTTCTGTCTCTCCCCTTCAGTCCCAAATGTGCAGAAATGAAAGTGGGGAAGATGAAGAGGACTCAAGCACCACCGGTCATGATCGAGTCTCTGTTGTCTTTGGTGCAGTCTCGTTTGGGGCTGCAGAGGCTGAAAGTGAGAGTGAAGGAACACATGAACACCGCGTGACACAAAAACCGCAACAAAAGCTGTGAGTGGTACAACGTACCTTCTGAAAGACACAATAGGTGTCAGAGGACTCGCACAACAAAAAAAAAAAAAAAAAAGATTTTTTTTCTGTGGTACCCAGTTGTGTCATATGATGGGAAGTGTGTGTGTGTGTGTGTGTGAAACACATTGTAGTGTACACAAATTGGAACATTAGCTGAATTTTGTTAGATTTGGGAGCCACAAACTTTGCAATGTTGTGTGAAATATAAAATGTCACACAAGAGGGCAGCAGGCCGGAGTCCAATGTTCAAACACTTTTACTGCGTGTTTTGTTAAAAGTCGTCCAAACCTTGTGCCAATAAAGGAGAGATGAGGGGGCAGACATGACCCCACCAGTCACGGGTCAACGTTGCCTTCACGCGCTCACAAATGTATCCGAGGAGCCTGATGAGTTTAGCAATGCAGTTTAGAGCAAAAATCATACGCCGTTTTGAAACCAATATTCAGTGAACTGCGAACAGGTGCGCGTGTCAGAAGGGAGCGCGAGATTCAGTGAATTGCGAACAGGGTGAGTGATGGTTTCAATCATTTTAATATTTTCTGGTATAAGTTAAGTTACCCAGGAGCTTTGTTGACATAGACTTAGCTAACGTTAGCTACAGCTGGATGAGTCGAGTCATTTAACGCGGCAGGAGAGAACGCGGCGTTGGCCAGCTAGCTAAAGCTCCGGTAGCTAACGCGACCGTTCTTGAGGAGGTAGATTTTGAGGTGAGGGGACTGACCCACCGTTCTATCAATACGCAGACCTGCCAACCTGATACGCATTTTGACTTCAAAGTACGTAAACATTTGTCTAAAAATTAGACTAGTTGACCAACACACATTATATGCAATGCAATATAATGCATGACGAGTATTTAATGACTTGTCCCCTATTAGTTGTTGTCAATTCCCATCCCCCCCTCGTCGGTACGCAAAAAATGATCCCTGGGACAAAACCAGTTGAAAACCCGGAGAGGGTTAATATCCTTCTCACCTTTTTCACCCTTGACCCCTTTTCATGCCTGCATACTCCTTTGTTTTATTTGCACATCCCTTGTGTTTTAGTTTGAATTGTAGTAAAACGTTTCTAAAGTTGTAAACGAAGAGTTATTACAAGATAATATTATCAATGTAGTTCTATTATTGTGGTGTAATATAAAGGGACAGCTTTACTGTGCTTTAAAAAAAATGTCCTAATACAACAAATGACGAAACCAAACCGGGTGGGTTTATGTATATGTGTACACTGTTCTGAAATCAAGTCCATTAAAAAGAAGATCTGCCTCTTTTCTTCAAGGTTATTTAATGATCACCTCGGCGTTGTTTCCCATTTTTTAAGGCCGTCTTTGAAGGCAGCACGGTCGCCCCTCAATCATATTTAACACTGCGCTCTGAGCTGCGATCCCCCCGGTGCCGCTACTTCCACGTCCCGGGCCGTCTGCGGTGATGTCATCGTTACGGTGGGCGTCAGTGGGCGGGGCCACCGCCGCTCCTCCGCTCGGAAGCTGCAGCTTTGAAGGAGAGCGAGTGAAAGTTTGCAGAGAAGGGGAGGCAGCAGCAGCTGTCGGTGGGCTTTTGTTTTGTTGCTCTGCAGCCCGCGGAGGGACACGGAAAGTAAGTTGCACTCGAGCTAGAAACACAAACAAGATCTACCTCAGGAGTCTAACATCTATAGCTTACAGCTTTTGCTTTTCAGTGTCAGGTGGTATGCTGCCCAGCGACGATGCTGCAGTTTGCATTGTGTTTGAGTTTTGGGGATTATGTGTCACGTCTCCCTAAAGCTGGCTGTGGGTGGATCTGAGCTGAGAATTACGTTGTTTAAACATCTCAGTGCATCGCATTCTGATCACTACTTACACCAGACTCTAGTCTATTTAACCGATTTCCAGAAGATGCACTGTAAGCAGTTTTGATGTTAAATGTTGAAGTCATTCATCAGGCAAACACACCGAACATGTGCTGTATTGTCCGTTACTTTAAAGTGAGACTTTTCCTCTTTGGGTTTTAGGGTTAGACAACATAGGGAGACCGGAACTTCCAACTTAGACTGGAAATTTTCTATTTCATTTCATTCACTTAACGATGAGCGAACAAACAATTTTTATTTATTTTGTGTCGCTTAAAACGCTTTGAAAAAAGGTCTGTTAAAGGGCACTTCGAACCTCTTTGGTCTACTCAAAATGAGCCCTGCTCACACACAGTGAAGCTCTTCTAAGAGGGCTTCAGGTAGCGCTGGAGAAGAGCAGCGAACATTCTTATAAACTGACATTTTGACCTTTTTTTAACCATCGTCCCCTCCAGCAGAAGGTGGCCGACCCTTACAGCACGATGGCTCTGGCAATAAGAACTTTTTAATGCACAGTTTCTTGACATCTGTTTCCTGGAGAGAAAGACAGCAGATGTTTCAGATTTCCAGGTCCCTGGTTCAGAGGAGATCTTGTAAATCTTTTTTTTTTTGCTGAATGCCAAAGGGAGCCAGAACGTCCTGGATTCGCTTCTCTGTTTGGATTAGATGTTGATAAGTGGCTGAAGCTTTGTCCAATCCCCATCCTTTCTTTGCCTCAACTCTTCTTAGTATAAAATTGGTTGTGATCAGAACGTTTGGTTCTATAAGCATCGGGCGTACCGCCCATGTTTTGTCTAATGGAAATATTCCCGTTGGGACTGACCCATTGAATGTGGACCCAGAGTCTCTGGGCTCAGTTCCATCTGTTCGTTTTGTAATGTGTGTGTGTGTGTGTGTGTGCTGTCTCTAGCTTGTGTAACCACTGCCACGTTACTATGAGGAAAGTAGAAACCCTCCACTGGACGGATCATCTGCCTCCTTGCCAGATGTTTTTACATAAAAGTGCAGGATTTGGAGCATGTGACATTACACATTAATGGGTGGTGGAAGTACGGCTGTTGATGAGTCTCTGGATGATTTCACTTGTGTTCTGAGTCACGTTTTGTCCGACCACGAACCTGTGGTTTGAATTGTGATTTAGGGGCCTGTAGCCATCAATCAAGTGTTTTTCTGTGGGAGTTGAGCATTACATCACCTCGCAGCTCGGCTTCAGGCTTGAGGCCAGATATCTGTTTGACTCATTTCATGAAGTTAGTGCGAAGAATATCATCAGATGATTAGCTCTTTTAAAAGTTTCTGCAACTGTTTGAGATTAAGAAAATACTGAGCCACCTTATTCCATCTATTGACATCGCGATAGTAATATAATAATAACATGTTCTAATAATGATTCCATTTGGTGTCGTAAAGAGGATGGTCTCCATCATGGGACCTTTTAGCATTTGCGTAATTTACATTTTGATAGCTATAAAAATGAATGCCAAATATTTAGCGTAGAAAATCCAGTAGAGCAACATTTGCAATTTGGTGTAGTTTATTTGAATTCATATTCACTTAGTTGTGTGGTCTGCATCTCCAGAGGGAAATATCTTGCTTTTGAGATTCTAAATGCTAGTTGCTAACTTCGTCTGCCGATTGGCGCTCGGCGAGAAGCACGCAGAAGGTTTATTGGAGCCTTCTCATTAAAAACCGCCTCCTGTGATGTCGATGAGGGCGCAGAGAGGGAACCAAAACATACGTTTCCAGGCTCTAAAAACCAAAGCAATGGGCTGAAAGAGTCGGCTGATGACTTTCTTCCCGACCTCCTTCCTGCTGCACAACAACACTACATCGGTTAACAGCATGAAAACATTGACGAGTGCAGCTTTAATATTCAAAGAGGATGGTTTGCGTTTGTCGGCCTCTCTGTGCCCGGAAAAAGGCAACTCCCCATCTCAATGCCCCCAGTTTGTACCACAGGCTTCCGGTTACTTATCAGCCGTCTCTCAGCCCAAATGGAGACCATGATGATCATTAGGAGCTCTTAGACTGTCAAATTGGGGAACTACTCATATCTTCCGATACATGTTCTTCACTCTGATTCTGATACAATCGATTCTCAATGAAAGCTTCTCTCTCTCTTCGTCTTCCCGTCAGTTCCGATCAACATGCCGACCACCCGGTGTCGGCCCCGCTGCACCGTCATTCTCCTGGTGCTCCTCCGGCTGGCTCTCGCCCAGTACGAACACCTCGGCTACCCTCCGGGTTTCCCAAACCCAGAACAGGAGCAGTACACCGCCCCCCAGCTGGCGCCGGACACGCCCAGGATCCAGCTCCGCTTGGCGGGAGACAAGAGGAAGCACAACGAGGGCCGCGTGGAGGTTTTCTACAACGCCGCGTGGGGAACCGTCTGTGACGACGACTTCAACATCCACGCCGCTCAGGTGGTGTGCAGGGAGCTGGGCTACCTGGAGGCCATCTCGTGGTCCCCGTCCTCAAAATATGGGAAAGGAGAAGGTAGGGAAGGGATTGGCCCTGTTTTGTCAATGTTTGTCCCGTTGTCGAGGTGGAAACATTCAGGATGCACCAAGATGCCCTTTTGGACTGCACTATGATACGTATAAACTTTTAATCGCGATTAATATATTTCAATATTGCGATTAATTCGTTATTTTTTTCTTAACAGCCCTAATAAATAAAATCATAAAGCTTCTGATTACAATGGATAACATTACATGTTTAATACAAGGAACACGCTAAACCATGTGCATCATCAATTCAATTTACGACTAATTTGTTCAACAATGTGTTCAGACGGCTTCATGGTAAATGTCTCACAACTCTCAATGAAATTCCTCTCCATTAATTCACTGATGAATTTCTCTTTCAGGACCCATCTGGTTCGACAATCTCCGCTGCACAGGCAAAGAAAAGACCTTGGCGCAGTGTCCGTCCAATGGAATCGGCGTCTCCGACTGCAAACACAGCGAAGATGTGGGCGTCGTGTGCAGCGACAAGAGAATCCCGGGCTTTAAATTTGTCAACACTATGCCCAACCATGTCGAGGTAAACTCTCCTTCCTCACTCCATCAAGCACTTGCACATCTTTCATCAACTTTGTTTTTTTTTTTACTGTTTTTATTTATATGGCATATTATTATATTATTATACTGCTCATATTTGGACTACGAAAGCAATACTTCCTTCCTCTGTTGGTTTTGGTAATGTTTTACACTTCAGAGGGAGTCTGTTACTTTACGTAAATCTTGGTATCGTCTGTAATCAGGAGGTGGCTTTATGGAAGAGGTCGCGATGCTCATTATATACTTAGCATCTGGTTTCCAACAGAGGCACAGCTGGATACAGTGGTATCACCACACCATTTATCTCATGGGCCTTGATGGATTTCTGAACTTATTGAACTACTGAAGCCCAAATGAATAAACATTTACTGCATTTATCATGCATCTCATCAACCTTTTAAGTCAAACAGTAAGTAAAACAGATCAAAACAGAATGAAGAAACTCAGTATGTAACTGTACTCAACGCATCGCTTTATTGCCTGGTCATGTTCCAAATTGCTGGATTCCACTTTCCCACCATACAACTTTGTACTGACTTCTCTATCATTATAAATCAGACCAGGTTGTAACAAAGGCTATATATAACAACTTGTGGAAAATCAGCATGACCCTCATGACCTCCATCTGGGTTTCCTTTCAGACTTGACATCGGTCCGTTCAGCAGCACTCCGATTACCCCTTTGAGGGATACATCTTACCTCAGTGTTGGCTGGAAGCCCCTCCGGTCACTTACAGCCAATAACTCACCCAGTGACTGTGGTTTACTAACAGTCCTTTCTGAATAGCGTGAAGCGAAAGTGTGTCAGCGAAAGGGAAGTTAAACTGGTAATTGTTGGGTGTTGCACTCATAACCGTCAGAGTCCGGGCCCTTGGAAAAGGCTCCGCCGAGCATCGCCCTCTGGGCCGCCCAATGAGCTCCAACCTAATTACCACCAAAAGCACAACGCTATCTCTCTGCTCGCTGTGCAGGCCTCACGAGTCCACATTCCAAAGTTATGAGCAAACTGCAAACCAGAGCGCTCTCTCTGACCCTCTCCTCTACTTCTTTAAAAACTAATAAAGCATTTTTCACAGGGCACTCTAAAATTTGTCAGGATTTAGCGGTTGTCTAGTTGGCATGAATTGAAAAACTAGTAATTGAGTGCCGGACCCTGTCAGATAAGCCCCCCAGCCGCCTCTTCCCTGATCAGAGACTCTGTTAAGGCGGCAAAAATTGTTATATCACAATAACGAGATACCAAATGCCGATCAGAGAACAATGTGAAAGGGGTTTCTTGTAGTGACGTTACATGTTTCAGTGGCTTCTCTCTGCGCCACAGTGATTTATAGTGAGTTTAAGCTCATTATTGTCTCGCACACGACCCAAAGGCCTATCAGTGTCGAGCTTCTCCCTCTGCCGGCACTCACACCCCCGACAATTTAACTACAGTAGATCCCAATCCAACCGCCGCCTGTAGGTGATGTGTAAAGTCAGTGCAGCCCCCCACCACAGCTGCATCATGGGGGAGGATCCATCCAGCCGGCTTCCTGCGGGCAGGTTTACGGAGGCAAATGGTAAAAAGATTCTCTGGAGAGCGCCGGTCGAGAGGTCTAGACGTCTAGAATGAAATCTACCAAACTTAGAATGAGACTCAGCTTTTCCATCCACCGGGGGGGGGGGAAGTCAAACTCAGCCTGCCCTTATCAAAGAAAGTGGCAGTGACTCATTCCGGCGCGTAATAACAGCCATGACGACATGTTGCGGCGCGGGATGATTGGGACCTTCGGTGTGGTTGGGAGGCTGCCTGGAAAGGCACAGCCGCCTTCTCAGGTGATGCTGACCTCATTGCAGCGGCCGGGCCGGTCCAACGCAGAGGAAAAGCCCAGTTGGGGAGCTGAGGGGGAGGTGAAACGTTAACCCTTGCATGCGCCTGTCGTTGACCTTTGACATGTGCTGAGGTTCCTCTCTGTGACTTCTTTGTCCCCTCACATTGTTGAAGTGTTGAGTTTTGGGTCGAGTTCATGGGTTTTGCTTGGACTCCATCTTCGGTATATTTATCTTTGTTTCCCAGTCCGTGCTGCATCTCTAGAATATTTACAGTCTCCACTGTTTATTTGTGTGTCCCTGTGATGCTTCGAAAAGTCTGTTGCTTTGCTGCAACATTTGGGTTTAGACAGAAATGGCTACGGCGGTCGGACCTGAGATTTTGCACATGCATTCCATTCCATTTCAAACCAATTTCAGCATTAAGGCATTCCAGCGCTTGGGAAATGTGATGTTTGGCAGTGCCTGTGTTGCCGCTGGTCTCGCAGGCCGCCTTATTTATCCAAATTGTATGAAAAGCTACGCTTTCAGGTTTTTCAACCTTCGGAAAGAGGCTAAAACAGCAGCCAGAAATGTCTGAGTGGCGGCCTGTGAAAGAAGAAGACTCTTAGTCATTTGACTTTGTGTGGAAATGTTAACTGGTGGGGACACTCGGAAGGGAGCATTACTGAAATGTCTGTGCGCAGTGGAGAACGGCTCCACAGTTGTAATTAGGGATGAGTATTGTAATCTTTGTAGCTTTTTTTGGTGCAATGTATTCTCCCAAACGGGTCTGGTGGCTTTATAAAACAACTGCACTGTGAAATACTGTTTATTGCTGACTTAGTGACTTTCATCCCGGGAATGTGTCCCAGTAATAAAACTGTCCTTTCTCCAAACAGCGCTGTTTGATTGTCCAGCAGACAAAATTAATCATTAACTATTATCATTAGCAAGCGAGCGAAATCTTGCTCTGGTGTCTCATCTGCATCCGTATTCTTGTCTTTGTCATAAATAATGTAAAGTAAAGTTATGACTGGACAAAAACAAACAATAAAATTGCAAATGGTTTGATATTATTATAAGTTACTGCCCTTTTAGAGGAGAGTAACTTGCAGTTATTACTGTGCATGTATGTATTGGAGCCATATTCCTAAAGCTAAAGCTGCTTATGCCTTTTGTATTCTTCTATCGCAAAGGTGTAAAGGGGAGATAATGCGTTCCTCTTATGAGTGTCTGTCTGTCTGCAGCTTATCTTGCACACTACCTGGCCCTTGCGCCCAGTATGTCTTTGTGCGCATTTCTTGACATGCTCAAGGACCTCTCTTGGTTGCAACGTTTCACAATTTTTCAAAGATCAATTTTATTCATTGGCGCCGTCATCGACTGCGGACGCCTCAGTCCTCTCAACCAATCAGAAGAGGACGCGAGTGATCAACAACTGATTCGGTTGCAAAAGGCATTTCCTGAAGACATGACTTGTTGAACCCCACATTTCGGGGCTTTGTCATGGCTCAAAAATGTACTGGTCCGGAACTCTCCTTTCCTTTTGCATTTTCTCCTCTTGACTCCTTTCCTCTTTTCTTCAGCCCTCCCTCTCATAAGTAGAATACAAGCAGCCATGAAGTCACCCCAAGCAGAGTTTACAGCTCTTGTTTTCCCCTCTTTAGTCATTTTTTCCCTCTTTGGCCTTGAGGTCAAATCTTCCACTTCCCTCCCTGTAAATCTCCATAGATGTTGCAGTAAGGCGCCATAAATCGCCCTGTCAGCACATTCGCACAATGAACGCGGATTAAAACATGTCTTCCTTTTGTGTCACAAACTGAAAGTGGTTTCAGCTGTTTAATTATTTCCCACATAGCTGTTAGATGTTTCCTCAGCTATGTAAAAGCTTTCGCCCCCAGGCATCACATTCCCACCGTGAATGGAGGATCTGACTCCAGGCAGAGCGTCCTCTCACAGACAATGCAGTTATTTCATGTTTAAGAAAAACCCACATCAATGTCATGAGAGTTATGCCTAAAATGATGCTATCAATGCTTTTCTCGCCATGCGCAGAAGGGATTTGTCTCATTTATTTGACGGTGATGTTGAAGAGGAACGCAATGTTTTCTGAAAGTTTTTTTCCTTTGGCTCTTCACCACATCTTTTCCTTTGTTTTCTTCTTTTCGGTGTTCTCCACAGCTTTTGCTTTCTTTTCTCTGTCACATGTGCGGACCGACTTGTTATTTAATCAGCCTTGTAAGTAGTTAGCTCAACGTCAAATGAAGCTAACCCTAACCAACAAATTCCATCCTATGACTTGTCTGTAGTCGGGTTGTATGCTAATGTGCACAAAGCTACTGAGTGGACATTTAGAACGTTTTCTTTTAGCTGCTAGGAGACTTTAGTAATGGCCAGTCGGCCCCTAATGGAATGGATTGAGTCAGGTCAGCCCCTTATGACTTGACTTTCTTGAAATCCACATTTGTAGTTTTGAAAATAATGTTTTTTCAGTTGTCTGTTGACTGGATTTCCATGATATTTGGAAAAGAAATGTACGCAAACCGTGTTTTATTGTTCATTTTGTCTAAATGTTTGATCAAAATTTGTTCAAAGCCGTGGTTAACAATAAATTACAGAAAGTTAGCTTGCTGATGTTATCATTTAGCTCAAATTCAGATAAAAATGTTTGTTTGTCAACTTTGTCTGCTCTAATAATTATTTACTTTTTCAACAGACAACCGGGCTAATCATTTTTATTTTGACATACAGAATTAGACCAGCAGCCAAACCCTTGAAATCACTCCCAAGTGTGTCTTTATTAAGTGTTGATGTCACTTGAGCTTAATTGCCACATGAAAGCAGTTTATTTCCATTCATTTATTGTCCTTGTAATTTGTAGGGTTTTTTTGTAATGACTTTACGATACATCTTTCAGTTTTAATTGATTGTTTAAGAGGAACTTGACGCACTATGACATCCAGCATTCTTTAAACGCTATCTCCATAAAGCATTGACAGCAGACGTGCCTGAAAAACGTCTGGAGCTCATTAGAAGTCTCAGGAAAAAGGCACGCAACCAAATCTCAGACTGCATGTGAACCGGCGTCTTTGTGTTTTGCTGTGGACGTGAGGTGATTCCTGCTGGCTGACTTGTTGAGGACCTCTATTGGAACCATATGTTCCCGGCACTTTTATTTGTTCTGGCAATGGCAGCTTCAACTCCTCCGTGGATTGTAGGGGAAACGTGTTCTGTGTAACTCCACCTGGTTTCAGTCACAGATGACTGCCGGCAATGTAAAATAACCAAAACAACAGCCCATGACTATGGAGGGTGTTTGGATATTCTGCTATGGATGCTGTGGTTTGTATCCCACCTGTTGGGAGGGAGAAAACTGACTGGGACCTGTTGTTGTTGTTGTTGTTGGGCCTTTGGTCTTAGGCCTTCCTCCTTGTTTCAGAGACATGGTGAATCCGCCCCACATCAACCACAGAACGTACCGTTGGTTGCCCTTACCAAGGGCTTTGGGGAAACTTTATTATTGTGCGGAAAAGGTCTTAACTCATTGATGATCATTTTAAAACTCCATCCTGACGCTGACCGTAGCATGTAGTATTGATGGTATTATGTTATTCATGACCATAAGTGTAGTGATGTGATTAGTCTTTTAGAATTAAGGAATTTAGGCTCAAAGCATACCAGCATAATATCAACGCATGTATCTCAACCTTGAAGTAGCTTCTTTGAAACAAAGCTGAGTTGCAAAAGATTGAGGCCCCACTCTGGTCCAACTGAACCCGCTAATGGCTTTTCCATCTGTACCACATTTCTTCCTGAACAAGCAGAGATCCAGCAAAGGCCCCCTGATCCCAGAGTGTTTCGAAACAAGTACGTCTCTTACTCTCTGCATTCAAATGACCATCCCTGACAATCTGGAGGAAGGAAAGGAACAACTTGGACCTGGAAATGAATCAGAAAAGTTGCTTTTTTAAGACTCTTCTAGTATAAGTTCTGTTACACGGGCAGATAAGGGTTTGGCTTGTTTATCTTCCACAGGTTTAGGGTCAATCTGTTTGAGGCAGAGAGGAGAGGGTTTTGTTTATCTGTTCATGATACATTCAATCTTGATGTTTAAACACCAGCATGTCCAACGCAATGGTCGCCAGTTCCCCATTGTCCTGTTTGGTTGGATCTTTGGTCAGTCAGTCTTACCAATCCAACTCAAAACCTTCAACTGCCACCAAGTCATGTACTGTACGTCCACTAAAGCTACACACGGTCACCATCGCCACATTTCCAGTCATCACCGTGTTCCATGATTTCAGCCTCCATCCAGTTTCGTACCCTCTGCTGTTCAGACCTCATTGCCTCTGACCACAATGATTAATGCGGTTATCTTTCGGAGCAAAAATTGGTGAGTACAGGGACTGATGGTTTGTACCTTTCACCCCCGGTAGCCTCTGCCCCTCCCCAAAGGCAAATTCACAAAACTGTACTGTGTCATTATTTGATGGTTCTTCTTGGCTGTACATGTGAACTGACTGAACTGGCCCATCTGTTGAGCAAACCAACGTGCCCCCCCCCACCACCACCAGACTGAGCTCCCTTCCCTCAGTCTGTACAGTCACGTAGTACAGGAATGTGGGTTCGGTGTATTGGAGGGGAAAATGTTTATTTAATCCCTACAAATAGTCTGAGAGGAAAGGCTCTGAGCGGAGTTCTGACGGCCTCGTACTGCCTGCAGGGTGATACGCTGCACACAGACGCTCAGAGGATGTTTACTAGTCTGACTCTGATAAAAAAACATCCTTGATTGCTCTGTTTACCTCAAAAGCAAAGATAGAAAACTCTATCAATGTTCCTAATAAGAAAATAGACACCACTGATACTGTATGGGAATGCTGACATTTCCCCCCCCCCCTCAAACAACGGTTTTAAGCAGGAAGCAATTTTTATTGTTCAGAATCAGGAGTTTGCTAGAGACATTTGAATTATAATAGAATAATAATGGAATAATATAATAGTAATAGTGAACCCAACAATGAAGATATGTACCATAAATAAAACATTGATGAATTTTTTCTAGAGCCCAAATCCAAACTTATAAATTTCCCTCAGGTTCTTTGCAATCTGCACGTATATGAAAGTCTGTGGCGGAACCCTCACATCAACATGGTAAAAAGATGCTTAAATAGAATTATATTTTATTCCTCGTGCACTGTTGTCTTGTCGTACTGTCTGCTCCTACGCACCAACCACCAAGTCAAACTCCTTGTATGTCTGACATACTATGGCAATAATTGATCACTACAAGCCACTCGTCACTCACATTCAATATGTCAATTCTATATTCTGTGAAGAAGTGCGGCTAGGATCTCAAAGTCGTCTGCTTAGAAGGACTTTGTGTAACCACGGGCAGCGTGTCGCTCATCGGGCATGTTGGCCAACTGGGCCAAGTGAAAGTAGCCAACACAAACCAGCTGGTGTTGGTGCATCGTATGGGGCTGTGATGGACCGCGGGCCTCTTCTGCTGAGGTCGACGTGGAGCGTCTGGAAAGAACGCCCCGTCCCTTTTTATAGCTTCTTACTGCTCGTGGGCTGATTTGGTTCATTTTCTTTTTTTTCCCTGATGCCTTCCAATAAAATGTGTTGTACATGTTGCCACGGAAACGCTTTGACACTCTCGGCTTTTAAAGGCAAACAACACTTTCAGGGCAGCTAGCGGTGTTGTTAACAATTAATAAGGTGATTTGTCGTAAAAATGTTTGAGCAATCTGGAGGAGATTTGCAAGCAGCGCACACGGGGAACGGGGGCTCCAGGGGCTCTGATTGCGTGTTATGTAAAACAGGAAGTGCTGTTTCCAGACCGATGTATGGCCCGTCTATACCACCAGAAATGGAAAACACTTGACCCTTCATGGCCCCTCTGCAAAACTAATACGTTTCTGAAATGAACCTGCACGGTGTGTCAACTTCACATGAACAGATGTACATACTTTGACAAATGACATGTTGGTGAGAAGAACAGAAATCATTTGTCAAAGGCACCAGGTTTTATATTGCTATGCCGGTGATTAAAGCAGGTTTCTTGACGCGTGTGCACATTTTGCAGAGCCTTGATATTCAGGTGGAGGACGTGCGCATAAGAGCTATCCTGTCGTCCTACCGCAAGCGGATCCCGGTGACAGAGGGCTACGTGGAGGTCAAGGACGGCGGCAAGTGGAAGCAGATCTGCAACACGGAGTGGACGCAGTCGAGCGCCAGAGTCATTTGTGGCATGTTCGGCTTCCCCGGGGAGAGGAAGTACAACGCCAGGGTTTACAAGTGAGTGCTCCACTGCAGTAAGTGTAGCCCCGTGTAATCAAGGAGCAGAGGGAGGATTTAGGGTGAGGATACTCAACTCTCATGGGCCCGATAAGACAATTATATCTGTCAGATTAAATGAACTCATCTCTCGAAATTGTTAGTTTTCAAATTTGGCTTATTTATTAAGTTAACTGAATTCAAACATCTCCGCTAGTCTATTTTTTTATTGACTCCCATTGAGAATGAATTAATTTTCATCAGGAATTAGAAAATGGTCTGCAGGACATTCAACAAACTGTTTTCCCCCACAGACGGATGTTTAGTATCAATGATTTAACATTTAACTCCTGAGTGGCAATTTGCAAGAATTACAATAACACACATATTGTAATTGTTGTCATAAAACAAACACTACTACCAAAAGTCTGTGTAAAGGGTTCAACTACATGGTTTCACGTTCAGATATCTGGGTCGAGTGTTTTACATCACAAGCCTTATGCAGCACAATGCAACTCAACCTGACCCTGGCACATCCAAACGAGTGCATTCCCTGAAGCGACTGCCGACTACATCTCGCTTACATTGAGTTAAGTTTTCTAGCCAAACGGACACAAGTTAATCCCGGTTTACCGTAAACTTGAATTTCCGGCCTGTGTCTGGGCTGGAGGTTTCCTCTGCGTGAGGTAACCACAGCAGCTCCCTAACTTTCCCCCTACGTGTCAGGCCCGGGAAACATCTGTTTTCACAGGCTGCTGCTTGAAAGAGCCGGTCAGAGCCGGTCCTGATGCAGAAGCTCACAGCTTCATCCAGAAGTTGCCTGTTAAGGCTGCCGTAGGCACACATGTCTACAAAACAGCCTTTTTCACACTTCTTTAGTAGTTGTCTATTTTCTTCTTGGTGCAACAACATCTGTGTTGCAAAACCCTCTGTACGGGCGACTCCCCCCCCCCCGTGCAACCCTTGCCTTGTGCTCCTCGTTGGTCTCTGCTCACTGACAGATCAAGATATTTAGGTATCTATGTCTTTGAGAGTTCCAGCACGACGGCCTCCAGAATGTGATGATAAAGAATCGCTGCTGGAATTATTACTATTCATTCACTTGCCAGATTTCAGGCTGTAATCCTTGTTTCTTAAACTTGTACGGGAACATTTTGAAAACACTTCCATATGCTATGATAAATATTACTGCCTTCCACAATCCATGCTGAAACTTTCTGTAGATTTTCAGTCTCAAAGTTACGAGATTCTGGTGAGAAGCCAACTTTCTCAGCTTCAGGACCAAAAGTTTATTCAATCATTGCTCAATTTGAACGGCCCTGATATGCATCACAGCTGTGGTCAAATTGCATTTGAGAGCATTAGTTTCCGGTCTGGAGCTTCTCTCTCACAGGCTCCCAAAGGAAAAACAGATCGTCGCAGTTTGATCCATTTCTCTTTTTCACGTACACCTCAGACAGGAGATACTTTGATAGGATGCGCCGCTCGGCAAATTGTGCTCAATAAATACTTAATAAGGGCTCGCTAATCTATTTTTTGGGGGGAAGAGATTGTTATCCCACCAGGCCTGAGGGAGAATCATTATCGTAACATTGTTCAAGTTCATATGGAAAAGTGTGAATTATCTCTTAGCTACGTGTAGTGTTAATTATACAATTTATTAATAGAATTGATCTTGTCTCATTCATGTGGCATAAAGATAACGCTTTGTGATGAGTCTCATAACTTAACTCCAAATGTTGATTGATTGATCTCAAATTTCTATTACAGTTGATCTTTGTCCAAATGTGTGCAAACCTTTTCTTGCCACTTGGTCGTCTGACTCCTTAATCGGTAAACGTCACACACCCGTTTGGCGAGTTGCTAACGTGTTGAAAACAGTTGTTTATTTACACATCACGCAGACAAAAGTCCAATACTCACTCTGTTTTCCCTCAGCTCTTAAGCGACGCTATACTCTGTTCACAAACCGGCCTGTTAAACTGTAAAACTGTTGAATCAGCCGTTTTTTTGTTCAAAGGAGCTCAAAGGAGCTTTGTGCACCAGCTGAACGCTACGATGAGTTGGACTTCACTCAACCTCATCAATCTTCTGTCTATGTTATGTTATTAAAAGCTGTGAAACCTTTAAACAACTGGCTGGAAGACTTTTCCTTTACTTGTCATTTCGCTGGCAGCATATCGCACGTCACATATTTAGCATTTTAGATAACGTGCAGGGGTCTTATTAAAGAAACATTGAGTTTGATTGAACTAGTTGTAGATTAAAAAAACTCTTTTGTTAACCTCCTCCTCCATCCCCATCTGTGCAGGATGTTCGCCCGCCGGAAGAGGCCCACGTACTGGGACTACGCCGTCAACTGCACGGGCAACGAAGCCCATTTGTCCAGCTGCAAGCTGGGCCAGGCTCCGTCCACCAAGTCCAACGGGACCTGTCCTGAAGGGCTGCCCGTGGTGGTGAGCTGCGTCCCCGGCAGAGACTTCGCCCCGACGCCCATGACGGGATTCAGGAAGGCTTTCAGACAAGAGGTAAAGTCCGTTCCGCGGTTCATCTGAAATACCCCGCTGTCGGTTCATTCCGCAGCCCCATGCAGCACACTCCCCTTTGATTAGATATTATTGGCCACGCAGCGTAACAGTCAGTCCTCCAGTGGCGGATGCAGGATGTGAATGTTTATGGACGGTGTCAACAAACCGAAGTGGTAAATAAAGTTGTTTTGCAGAAATAGCGGCGCTGGTTCGTTCATGGACTGCGTGCGGAGACGCTGATGTTTGCGCTTCGCGGCCACGTTGTGTACCGCGGCCGCAGCCCATTCGGACTCTCGGCTCCCTTCAAAATGAATTATTGTCATCTTGGGGTTTCAAAGATGACACAATGTAGTGAAATTCTGGGAACGCGTCAAGGAAAAACAACACGTTTCTCCAGAGAGCAGCAGCGGTGTGAACTTTTACTCCTTGCAGATAAGCATTATCGCAGTCTTTAGTTTACACTTCATTACTATCAACAGTCAGATTGGGCTCCTGACACATTTGCAAACCGGCTGTAGATATTTGGGGATTTGGTACTACGTCTGCTATTTTAGTTTTTAAACAAATAACCCGTGGGCCCAGTGTGTGCACAGACGCATGCTTTCATGCACTGAGCTTATTAGGGACGCAGATTTATTAGAGAGGCAGATTTTCAGTTAACTCAGAAATCGTTTTCATCATTTCTTCCTCATGATTTCATTTGCAGCTGTTGTGACAACAGTTTGGTCCAAACCATCTCGAATATGGAAAACGTTGTTATAAGATACGGGAAGCTTTCGGAATTCAAACAGTGTGCTTCTGACTTTTTGGCCACACGTTTGACCGGTAGTTATTTTCAACTGCCGCAACATAACAACAGCCGTATGAAAATAAATGTTTTTCCCAGATTGGAACCTCATCAAACATGAGTGGGCTGACTGGTCCGGCATCAGGAAGCGCTTCAGCCTGCTGATTTAGGCTTACACAAGTGTTTCATGGCTTCACTTGACATCCCACTGCTTCTGGTGCTGTTGTCTTTCTGATTCTGACCTTTGACCTCGCCAGTGGGTAAGAGAGATTTTCTATCTCCCTCATGCCCTTTTCCAACGAAGATAGTCTTTATTTTTCCTTCAGATTTCTGAGGATTTAAAACTGACTGACAACTTTTAAATAAGAACCTTGTTAAAGTGATGAGAATTCTGTGTGTGTGTGAATAGTCCACATTCCCCTGTGAGGTTTGACCTCGCCTGCCCTCCGCCGCGTTCCACAGCAGAGCGCACGATCGCAATTCTCCAACATAACTGACTAAACTGAATTCGAACATAAAACCAAATGTTTACCTAAAAAGACTCCGAAAGCAACAATTGTACAACCGAAAGCAATGAAATACTCCGGCCTCAATGATGACGATACTTTTCTCCTTTTTTTTGTTAAACATTGCTTCAGGAACAATATAAAAACTGTACTTTTATAAAAGCCAAACTACTTTCAATAGTCACATTAATAGTATTATCCGGAGGGTGTGTGTGGCAGCAGTAAGGATCTTATGACCAGGCTCACACATTATGATGTATATACTGATACCAGTGTGTCAGATTAACCTGGGACTAATGTGTTTACTTGTAAAACTAAACACTTCCAGTTTGTCTAAACTAGTTAAAGAGAAAACCACATTTATAGAACGTTCCATAAACAGAAAGCCACCCAGTCTGCTGCCTCAGCTCAGAGAGGGGAAGAGTCCAGGTTTCAATCCTCCACCCAAGTTCATCCTTTTTTGAAAGGACCACAATTCGATTTTCAGCTCCCACAGCGATTGTCTGCGCATTTTTTCTCTTCAGCAACCGTTGGTCCGTCTTCGCGGGGGCGCCATCGTGGGCGAGGGCCGAGTGGAGGTGTTGAAAAACGGGGAGTGGGGCACCATCTGCGATGATAAATGGAACCTGCTGTCTGCCACCGTGGTGTGCCGAGAGCTGGGCTTCGGTACGGCCAAAGAGGCCCTGTCCGGAGGTCGATTGGGTCAAGGTACGCCGGATTTATATTCTCACACTAACACAAGTTAATAAAAATACAATTTTTCCAGCGTCTCCTTGCTGCACGGTCACATTTGCGGGCGAATCATAAAGCAAGAAGAAAGGGCAAAGGGCTTTTCGACTGAAACTCCAGTATTAAAATATTCCTCATCTAAGCTGGACTGCTGCATCGAGGGAAAAACGTGAAGAAGTGTATTGTGGGCAGCAACAGCCTGGAATAAATACATGGCTGGCCTGAAACCATCCCATGCCAACGGCCTCATAATGACTGTCTTTATTGTTGGAACGACCCAGCATGTATATTTCCTACATGGCACAAAATGGAAGGTTATGTGGCATATGTGGCAAAGCCCCAATATCCCAAACATTTCAGGCAGCTTATCTAGACTTTGAGCGTTCCTCCTCCCGGCCCCCCTGCATGCCACTGGTGCGAGTATCATGAGCTCACAGACCTGATGGTATGAACTCCGATATGGTTCGGTTTGGATGCATTGAGATTCCTGTGCATTCAATTTGGAATTGACTTGCCGAGGAAAATAAGGAACAAGTCAAGGTTATGTCTACCTCACCTGGACTGCGAACAGAGCCCCTGTGTACCAGAACTTGGGGTTCCATTTATTTCTGTTCTGATGCTTGAACGTAAAAGGCTTCCCATGTTGGGTTGCATTGATCTACCTCCACAAACGTTCTACATTAAAGCTGCATCCCTCTGACAATCTGAAATCCAAGCCCCTCAAAGCCTCCGTTCATGAAGAGTGAAGACAATGCCGAAGTGCCTTTAACCTGCATTATGTCTAGTGGCCAGCAGGGGGCGACTCCTTTCGTAGCGAAAATAAGTAAATAAATAATAGATTGTTACGTCTATGAGACAATGACTCTACGTCTTAATTGATTTATTACATCAGTAAACACTGTTAGCTGTTAGTTTAGGGTTTTCCATACTTATTTAGTGTAATGTCAGCGTAAAACGTCTTACAACTGGTTCCAAAAACACACAACGATGACGATTGGATCCATTCTAATGATTCTAGAAATTTTGAGCAGCTTCAAAGGCTTGAAACGTTGGTTCGTGGCTGCGGGAGAAGCTAATTCGATGAAACAAAACAACTACTTGGGGTTTTATTTGTACATTTACAATTGAAATAACATATTATTGTTAACAAATATCTTCTGTCCCTCCCTTCTTAATTGACACTCCCCTTTTCACCACGCTTAAGAATGATGTATGTGCTTGTAAATGAATAGAAAAATGTATAATATGATAAATACGGGTCTTGACATTTGTTATTTATTAGTGTTTCGTACTTTGAAGGATAAGGATAAGTTTCCCTGCTCCTAATGGAGGCCTTCGCTCGAGCTGTCTCACTTTACGGTCTCTTCCCAGGCGGCACCTGCAGGCTTCTAACATGTTTTACAGCAGGTTTGGGCCCCTCCCCCCTCCCCATCAATAACAATGTTCCACTGACCCACTTCTAAATTACACACTCAGCAGATTCACTGGGTTTTAAAGCCTGAGCTCACCTGTTATCAGGATATACTATGGAAAAAATGTGTAGGGGTTTACTTTTTTCAACCACTTCAAAGACACATTCCAGTGACATTAGATGTGAAACAGAGGGTTTCTTTTCCAAATACCATTTTCCATCATGACTTCTCATCAATGGTTTACCTTGATAAAAAAAACTTGGATATAATAAGGAAAGATATCTTGTCGCGCGTATAGATATGAAGCTTTTATCAGAGCTGGATTGATTCCCTCCATGTTCACTCGTCTGTTGCTGCGGCTCTCCGATCAACTCGTCATACAGCAACTTATTGTGGTAATGTGCAGTATCTGTCCGCTGGGCTGTAACCATTCATCTGCCTGGCAGGGAACTTCAGTCTTTGCTCGTTGCCTGGCAACCTCACAGTAACATGACTGTAGGTTGATTTTATTTTATTTTTTTAATTGGGGCAAAGCCAGGCAAGGCATTTTCTGTCCTGCTATGCTAAGCTATGTCCTGCTTCCAGCGTTTATTCTAAGCTAACACACATGTTAATCCATTGCTGTTAATGTTTTTAGCTTTAACCTGCCCATTATTTCAAAATCAAACCCAAGATCTAAGTCCGATGCCTCTCTGACATCTGTCTTCCGCCCTCGGTTTGAGCGGGAAACGGTTTGAGAGGAGTTTCTCCGCTGTGTGTATCTCAGGCATGGGCCCGGTCCACATGAACGAGGTGGCGTGCTCTGGATTTGAGAAGTCCGTCACGGAGTGTTTCTTCAACAAGGAGGCCCTTGGCTGCAGCCATGAGGAGGACGCGGCCGTGAGATGCAATGTTCCTGCTATGGGCTTCCAGCAGTCGGTGAGCCCCACGAGACCCTTTAGTTTGTACCCAGTTTGTACCGATTGTACCCAGAGGCTGGATTGGCCATGAATGATGATTGCAGATGTTTGCATGGGTGAGTTTGTTTTGCACATCACATTTCTATAGCACAACAACCATCACACGGCTGAGCCGCAACGGTTCATTTTGTTTATTTCAATTAATGAGTTGTAGATATATTAGATTTAATGTGAATCATTTTACAGTTTCTTGCTGCATATCTGCATTTCTCATGCTGCTGCGACGACACGTTTTGAAGTTGATATCTCAGATTTATAGCGTCTGAAGGGAATTTCCTTTCATCTGGTGTTAAAGTCCACTTCAGTTGTTCAGTGGTCAAAGGTCAAGGTCAGGGTGACATCCCATTTTGGGTCAAGACCCAATCATTCATATGCCGATTATGATATAAATGTCTAAAAAGTTAGAATGATGAAGCCGCAGCATTTAGGGACTGACTTGGACATATGACTGGATAACCGAGGCTGTAATTCTAGTTCCACCACATTTAACTGGCTGTTGAGGTGGTCCATCCTCGTAGGGCTCACAAAGCAGCATTAGATTTATTATAGCGATCGTGCACACACTACCTTTCCAAATGGTTGGTTTCATAAGACGGGTTCAGCCTCTAATGAGTTTCATGGTCCCATGTAGCTGCGTCTGAGCGGCGGTCGGAGCCCCTTCGAGGGCCGCGTGGAGGTGCTGGCGGAGAGGAACGGCTCTCTGGTGTGGGGGACGGTGTGCAGCGACGGCTGGGGGACCATGGAGGCCATGGTGGTCTGCAGGCAGCTGGGCCTGGGCTTCGCCAGCAACGTCTTCCAGGTACACGGCTCGCATTCAGTCTGTTTGGTTTTGATCTGAGAGAACGAGTCGTTTTCCGCCCTTAAATGTTACAAAGTAAAGGAACAAAGCCAACACGATGTGTGTGTGTGTGTTGTGTTGAACGCTCTTCCAGTCTATCAAACTAAGAGCACAGATCTAAATGTTGGATTAGTGCTTTTCTGTTGCTACAGCTCGATTTCTAGAGCTTTAATCAATGTTTTACTGCGTGCACACAGTTCCTCACTAATCACACTTAATAGTAATGAAAATAGAGAAAGCTATTTAAGTTTACTTAGTTAAGTTACCTGCATTAATAGCTGTTGATTTCCAGAGGAGACACTTCTCTATTGAAACCTAAACAAATTAGTGATTTACTTTCTAATTGTACTTGTAAAGTTAATACAAGATTTCACATGATTTGCATATCTGTTGCCATTGAAGTACGTCCTGAATTGAAGATAATTCCTGTTTAAATGAAATGCAAATAGCCTTGATTATGGTCATTTCTATGGTGGGCTGAATTTGAAAGAATTCTCAAAGGGAGTCTTTGTACCACTGTGACTTGTAAAAATACACCAGTGTTATTATTTTGCCAGTGATTATATTTTGAAAGTAGTTGCAGCTCTGTGGAGTGAAGGCCGACCTTTAGGAGGTAGTTGTACCATTCGATAGCAATGCAGTGAGAATATAAAAAGGAAGGCAGTGCCCTCTAGTGGTCAATATACAATGCAGGCTCTTCTTCACAAGGACTCCTCAGAAAGAGATCCAACGGCATCATGACTCTAAATCGATCAGTAGGATCACAGTGAGCTCGTCTTGGGATCAGACATATCTGCGGTAGGTCAGGCATCTACGCTATTCACAAACTCATCTTCTTTGTCTAATTGACGCGACTTCCCAGGGGGCCCTGGGACTCCCAAAATAAACTACGGTCAAAGCAACAATGTACCTTACTTTTTCCTAAAGCTTGAATTGTGATATCATTAATGTCGTTATGTAAAACCAATAAACAGACACTTATTATTTTAATCTTACAGTCTTACGGCCTTAAAACTTTTTTTTAAAGTAGATTGTAACCGTGGTTTCCGTTTGGCCCCTTTTAAATTACTTATACTGAGTGAATGTTTTTTAAAGTGTGTATCTGGCAAAATGACTGATCTTAACCCCTGTGATGTGCTTTATTATAGAATACTCAATAGTAAAAAATAATTCATCGCCAGCTGCGTATTATGATGAAAAATAAATTGTTTATTTTGCGTAATGAGGACTTTGGCCTTTTATTGCTGAGGGTCCAAGGACACAGGAAGTTGCAGCAATTTTAAAGCCTTAGGAGCAAATTTGTGATTTGTGATCTTTTGCTGCACAATTAATTATAAAATAATATCGATAAAACCTATTTACTTCAGATGGAGTCCAATTTTAAATGTTTTTTCTAATGTCTAACTGAGAGAAATCCTTCACAACTGTTGACTTCTAACAAACTAAAAAGCTGCTGGTTAGCTGTGATCAGTAACAAATGATTGTTCCTCCATGTTTATAGTGACATCTAACCGAAAAACTGATGTGCTGTCCTCTCCACAGGAGACTTGGTATTGGCCCGGGCAGGTGAGCGCCGACCCCGTGGTGATGAGTGGCGTCCGCTGCTCCGGCACGGAGATGTCTCTGTCCCACTGCCTGCACCACGGGGCTCACCTCAGCTGCGCCAAAGGAGGCGGACGCAACGCCGCCGGAGTCGCCTGCTCTGAGAGTAAGAAACACAGATGGATGCCATGGCTGATGGCGAATGCTTTTTAGACGCAACTGTGAGAAAACGTGGCCAGGAATCAAGTCAAATGGGTCTCCAGCGGCTCCGTGGTGCAGCAGGCCCGTCCTTCCAATCGAACGCTTGGCGGGTCGATGCCCGACTCTGCTTGTCCACATTGATGTGTTATTGTATGTCGAGGTGCGGATGTTGACTCGAGGGCTGATGGGTGTTAATGATAACATGTAGTGTTAAAGCATTTTGTGTGGTTCGGAGACCAGGAAAGAGATAAACAAGTACAGTGCAACACATTGAGTGTTAATTAAAAATGGATTTCTGTCTCTGGAGAAGCAACCTGGGAGAAATGTTTGAGCAACTCAAATATCGCAAAAGGCTTTGCAGTTTGACACAGAAACCACTCATTTACATTACAGGCCGTTTTTCTCCATGTGTCTATTTATGTTTCCGTCTCCTCTTTCAGCGGCTCCCGACCTGGTGTTGAACCCTCAGGTGGTGGAGCAGACCACCTACATGGAGGACAGGCCCATGTTCATGTTGCATTGTGCGTACGAGGAGAACTGCCTCTCCTCCACCTCGAGCCAGGCGCCGGCCAACTCCTACCGCCGGCTGCTCCGCTTCTCCTCCCAGATCCACAACAACGGCCATTCCGACTTCCGGCCCAAAGCCGGCAGACATTCCTGGGTGTGGCACGACTGTCACAGGTCAGTTTCCAAGGACTCTTGGATCCGAGAAATTAGTGTTACAAAAAAGTCTTCTCCCCTCACAGGAGAGTAAATCTGGCAGTTGTTGCAGAACGATGAGCCCACTGAAATGCATGTGATATTTATCGGGAACATATACATTTTAACTTAATCTAAAATAACGGCTATAAGTTCTGAGGGGACCACATTTGAATGATTCGGAAGCGACGTCTCAGTGAGAAACGACCCTTCGTGGAGCCTCTGGGCCACTTTTTCCCTTCGGTACGCTCTGCCGCCCTGTGATTGGACGTGTGCTGTAAGCTGTAGCTTCTGCACAAAAAGCCCCACGTTTGTGCGGTTGTGTGTTGGCTGCGGGGACCGTTCACTGTTGGCAGCTTCACACGGCTCCCTGCTCCCCACGTGTCGCACCTTTGGCACTCTGGAGTGGCAGAACCTGAGGCCGTGCGACAGACCGTATAAAGGAAATGGATTGCAGATGTCAAGTCTTGTTCTTCCTTTTTTTTTGCCGTCGACAGTTTTGGGGCACAAACATCTACTTGGTCCGAGCGATGGCCGGTCAGAGGTCACATAGCACATTAGTCACAACTCACTCGATATGCTAATTGTGACAATATCACTCAAATGTCTAACAAGAGAAAACTGTGAGGTGATAACCTTTTGGACAGCCATGGATGTACTGTGTGACATTTTGAGCCCGTCTGGGTCTGTGACACCGTCTTTGTGTCCGTCTGCGTAGGCATTATCACAGCATGGAGGTGTTTACGCTCTACGACCTGGTCACCCTTAATGGAACCAAAGTGGCAGAGGGACACAAAGCAAGTTTTTGCCTGGAGGACTCCGAGTGTGATGAAGGTGAGAACAAAAGGAGAGATCCCCGTTTGGATTCCAATATGCGATTATGTTTGAACTTTCATCAGACGTGTGGTGGAGAAACCCCTTTTCACAGTCAATCAATAATGGGCTTTTAAAGTAAATGTATTCATGGTACAGCCAGCGTTCATCGGAGCCAGTTAAACATCGAGCGACACAGACGGGTGGATTTATGCCGGGACAACAGCCGTGGCTCAAACCAGGGGCGGACTAGGGGAAGAAAGTGGCCCGGGAGTTACTGTCAGACCCGTTTCGACCAGTCGATGGCCTACTTACCAAAATTACCAAAACACTTAACATTATTTTGGATGATTACAAAGAAATAACATCATATATGTTTTTTGATATGACATTTGGATGCACCAATTTGCCTGGATGGACAGATGAAATAAAACGATACCGGCTATTGTAACACTCCAGGTGTGGTTTTCTAGATGAAGATGCTTCTCTGTGGGTTGGTGTCAGATGGTTACTTGTATAACTACAGAACCTTAAGGAATGAATGTCAGCAGAGAAACAACAGACGTTAAACAAACTGGAATTAGAGGGGAGGATTAGTATGAACTGTATTGTAGAGAGGAACAGAACCGAACATGGGGTGTGAACATCAGTGGGTTCAGTAGTGTCGCATGCTGGGTTGGTGATTGTGTGTGTGTGTGTGTGCGTGTGTGTGTGTTAAAAGTGCATAACAAGAAGTTGTGTCACCAGTTTGTGGGTTTCTCAAAAAAGTCAGCGATTTTATTTTTATTCACGTGTCCTCCAGGCATCTTATTTTTCTCCTGGAGCTTTTCCGCTCCACCTTTAAAGGCGTGATGGCCGGCGTGGTTTGGCTCGGCTGCAGAGGCGACAGAGTGAAACCATGAGCGTGAATACAGCAACAACAGTTGGAGTAAATTTAACACGAACGCAAAAGTGTGACTGGTGTCTCCTATGGCTCAAACCACCTGATTTAGGGATCTGGTGAATGCAATGTCTCAACTCCTCAAGGAAACTTTTCTTAAATTTGGCACAAACATCCACTTCAACTGCAGCACAAACTGATGGTCGAAGGTCGAGGCCACAATTATCTTACAACTGATGCATTCTTGTGAACCTAATATATCACATGGTGGGAAGTTATTCAAATTTGCCACCAACTGGAATTCTTTCTACGGATTTTAGGAACAAATCTGATGACTGTGTGTAATATGAAATGCATCACTTAGTTCTAGTTTCCCTCAGATCTACAGTGTTCTAACATCTCTCATTCATCGCTGTGGTTCTATGGCCAGCAGCCTCACTGTTTCGGTGCACTACTTGGTTCCCCGTTCTCTTCAGCTCCTCGATGCACTGCTTTGTTTAATTACGCCTGGGGGGTAAGCATAGGGGGCAATTTAGCAGCTAAAAAGACAAATCACTTTGTCAGAAGCTGGTGGAGACCAAATCCGAGCTAAAATGAGAGACTTTTGAACTTCAGTTGGTTAGAAACACAACTACAAATGAATTGTGATATCTGCGTTGTGTCTAAATGACCAACTATCCTAACCACTTCAAAACGTAACAAGCTGATGCAGCGTTTTCCGGCACGCTGGTGCGGCCGTTAGCACTGTCGCCTCACTGCAACGAGGTCCTGGATTCGAGTCCACCCAGCGGCCTTCTGCGTGTTCTCTGCGTGGGTTCTCTCCGGATACTCCAGCTTCCTCCCACAGTCCAAAGACATGCTCTGGGGATGTGAGTGTGAATAGTTGTTTGTCTCCGTGTCACCCCTGTCCAGGTTGTACCCCGTCTCTCGCCCAATGTTGGCTGGAATTGACTCCGGCGACCCGGTACGAAGGATCAGCGGCTTCGAAGACGACTGACTGCGTTTTCCTTGCTTTGTAATGTCTTGTTACAGGTATTGAAAAGAGGTATGAGTGCGCTAACTTCGGAGAGCAGGGGATCACTGTGGGCTGCTGGGATACCTACCGACACGACATCGACTGCCAGTGGATCGACATAACTGAACTCAAACCTGGCGATTACATATTCCAGGTAATGTTTGCCATGTTCCCTCCATCCCTTTGCACAGATCAAGGGTATTGACAGCACTGGCCTCTCACGGGGATCCCGTACATGTTCTTCCTCTCACAGATAGTCATCAATCCAAACTATGAGGTACCAGAGTCAGACTACTCCAACAACATCATGAAATGCAGATGTCGATATGACGGCCATCGCGTGTGGATGTACAGCTGCCATAACGGTAAGCGATATCTGCAGACATGATCAAGCTAACCAGCTAGCCAAAGCCTCATAATACTACTTTAGCCTAAAGAGAGACTAATCTACATTTGACTTTTTTCTGATACATTCTTGTATTTTTATATTAAATGTAAAATTGCCTTGATTTTTTTATTCATCCTCTGATAAACTCATAATGTGTATTGAAGAGTGGAAGCACTGAGCAGGGGAGACCCCCCCACGTCAGGTGTGATTAAAGGGGTTGGTATCAGATGTGAAACGGGGGCTAAGGGACTCTCTCTGTCTCTGCCAGGTGGCTCATTAAGCACCGAAACGGAAGAGACGTTCCCGGGCCTCCTCAACAACCAGGTGACCCACAGGTAAAGAGCGAGCAGTGCAGACCCGCCAACCACCACGCACCACTTCCATCTTTAGTGGACCCCCCGCCCCGCCCCGCCCCGCCCTGGATAAACTATCTTTTGGATGTCCTCGGTTATCCACGAGGCAGCAGATTTTCTTCGACCCTTCATTCTCCTTCACTTCCACTTCCTCTCCTCCCGAGTTCAGATCAAGAGAAGGGCGACGCTCTTCTTGTGCTGTAGGGATTTTCTTTTCTTTCCTTGATTGATAAAATAAGCCTGCGGTGAAGGTGCAGGTGTTTTAATCAAAGTGCAGTATTGGGGAATGTCATCAAGATGCCTTGTGTCTCTAAAGTGCAGCACTTTACCGGGAACTCTGCTGCAGCGCTTTGTGTTCACAGCTCGCCGGGGACAGGCTGGAGGTCAGTCGCCCCGGGAGGAATCATCGATAACACCAGTACAGTCTGTCTTTGGAAACTAATGCAGCAGCATTCTTCCACTTCTCAAAGAATTTCGCGGCGTGGTGCCGTGAAGGCGCCCGGGGAGCAGTTAGGGGTTGGGTGTCTTGCTCAGGGACACTTTGACACTGGACTCTGTGCGCCACGATCGCATCCTCTTACTGGAGTCATAGAAAAATAATGAATCAATACCATTCAAAAGTTTGGACACACACGTTTTTAGAAGTTAGTTATGCCCCCAGGAAAAGTGGCGGGCCAACCAGTGGAATTACAACTCCAGATAAACACAGTCATTAGAGGTCGATCCACTTCTCAGTAGCAATGAATGATCCTCATTTGAAACATTAAGTCCAATCCTAGACTTTCTCCCTCAGTTCATGTAAATGAGCCCGAGAGCGAGGCTGGACTGGTGGGGAGGCGGGGCTAAAGACAAGGCCACTGCGCTTGCTCTTTGGGCCCGTTGATGTTGGAGATGGCGCGAGAATCCTGGATACAATTTATTCTAAAATGTACTCGGAGGTCACACTCAGTGAGGTACTTTCATCCAAACTTCTTTGTATGCGGACCACATAACAAATCAACCACTGAGCTCTCCTGCATTGCACCACTGATGAAAAACTGCAGTCTGACAATCAATGGGTGTCCATACCCCTGTCAGCTCAGCTGTCAATCAAACATGTGAACACCCCCCCCACAGGCATTTCTTCTTATTCCAAAGTGACGGTACTGGCGGACTTTTCAGCCTATATGTAACTAAAGTATGTCTTAAGTCTGTCACACTCCGCTGGCTCTCGAGCAAGATCACAGCAGAGCTTTACAGCGACATGCTTTGAACGAAGGAGTCTCAGCCTTTTCCTCTCCCTGCACGACTCCCATATCTACTCAGAGGAGCTCACGGAATGGCTTTTCTCCTCGTTTAGACAGAGTTGCAGCCGTTAGCTACTTACTGTTTTTTGTCGTGGTTTTTTAACAGTTTTATTCCTTGTTTTTCCTCTTATCATGGTGCTATCAAACTGTTCCTCTGTTTTCTGAGGTCGCAGTGGGCTACATGTTGATCTGCCACATTATATAAACTGACAGCATACTTGAACAGAGCGCAAGGAACTATTTGCTTTGTGTGTTAAACTATATTAAAGGAGTTATGGGGCAACCAAGTCTTTGCTACTTATTGTTGTTCTTTCTTCATTACCATATTATGTGTGGATTGTTGCATAAATACAAATGGTTGTGTGCATCTCCTCGTGTTTTATCTCATCAGTGGTGAATTCAAAACCTTACGTGAACCTATTGTGTTTAGTTGTGTGACGTTCGATTATAAAATGTAAACTGCGCTAAAGATCCCACCGTCATCGCCCCCCAAAAACATGCCCCTTTGCTGCGCCCTTCATCCAAAGCCTAAAACGGTGCAGCACTGACCACTTGTGGCTCAAATCAAACATCCCATTTTCTTCTCTGCAGAAGAAGCATGTTGAAGCTATTTGTGACCCTTTTCCTCCATCTACAGAAGTGCTTACCGTGCCTGGTTTCTGTTTCTGCCCCAAACCTAAAAAAAAACAAGTGTACTGTCACGAGTACAGCGATTAGAACGGATCTCCTCTCTGCAAGAAAACAAATACCAATTATAGTGAAACAAATAAAACGCTTCAGAGAAGTCAATCAAGTGATATAATTGAAGGTTCCCCCTACCTGCTTTCCTCCTATTTTATACAAACTAATACAGAAAGTGGAGTTGCAATCTACTGTGAAATCTTCACATAATAAATCGATACATTATCCATCAGTATTGAAAAAGAGATTTAGAAATGAATATTTACCTTATGAGAGGGTTCATATTCGCCCTCCACCCCGTCCTGCTCTCCCTCCGCCTCTCAGAACTGTGAACTGTTCATCACAACCCAATTTATTTTCTGCACGGAGGTCAAAACATGTTTCGACAACATTGAAAAATACAACAATGTACATAAAATAAAATGAATTGGACAAAAACTAGTTTAATATAGTTTTGATTCAGTTCTTTAATTTTTTCAATGAAATATTTTTTGAAATACTTAGTTATCATTCTTCACTAATATATATATATATATATATATATATATATATATATATATATATATATATATATATAATTTCTGACCTTGCCGTTTTATCTTTTCAGTTATTTTTTCACATTCATTGAGCAAGGAGACATCACACAGAGGTCACACATGGAAGAATTATGGACATGTTTATGTTGTGTGAGCAGAAAAACACATCATTTGTTTGTGGCTGTTCACCTCTCCATCATTGGTTTGCTGTGTCTGTGGAGCCGCACTGACTGCTGGGGTTTGATGCGCGTTGCTCCTCTCCTCCAGGTGGAGGCGCCGTAGGACCAACAAACACAACTCGTTTCTGACCCTCAGCAGTCACTAGCTTCTCATTTCCCAATGTATTATCAGTACACTGTAGCATATCATTATTGTAGATGTAGAACATGAACATTAAAGAAAGGTTTTTTTATTTTATTGCCAAGGCAATTTTTCTTCTTCAAATGCAACAATATTAAAGTATACTCTAAATATAAATATATTTTAAAAATCCGTGGCTTCAAACTACAGAATGGAACTTTTAAACAAGTTTACTATAAACTTAACAGTTTATAGTAAACTTGTTTAAAAGTTCCATGCTGTAGACTTAGTGTGTCCCCTGCTGTAAACTTAGTGTCTCCCCTCTGTAAGATCCAGAGGTGTATAACGTGTTATATTTCAATTTGTTCATCGGAATGTGGGATCTCCTTGTTTCTCCCTCGCAGAGCGCTAAATGTTACTGGTCCCAGGAATGTGACCACAGCAACCAAAATGAACAATGTGTGGGACCGATAAAGCTCAGCCGCAAAAATGACACGCGGCGTTCATTTACACATGCATGTTGTTTCTGCTTTAATTCACATAAAACGAATATAACACATTAATAATAATACTAATTACAACTTTAAACAAAAGTAACCATGTCCCTGTTCTACCCGAAACATATTACAACTGGTTGTAACAGTAACGTAAGAGTCCAAATCAAGGGCTTAACCACGCTTTCTTTGGGGGGGGGGTCGCTGCTGAAGAAGGCCGGCTCCGCCATTGGCCGCCAGCAAGAGCATCCTGAACAGGTGGTGGAGAGCAGGACACTGAAAAGACTGCTGTCCATATCAGATCATCCGGACCACCCTCTTGCCCCGTATTCACAGCGCTTCACGCATCCGATCCTCCACGACACAGTGACTCCTTCCATCTATACAATTAAACACGGTGGTAACTACGGCAACAGGCTGCCAAAGTTCGCCTGGCAACGCTGACAACCACTCCGTTACTACTCCGATTGGTTCCCGGACTCGGATTAAATAGAATTTAAACTGACTGAGAACGTAACACAAATATACTGAAAAATGCTCATTGTTGGACACATTTGTATCAGAGAGAAAAGATTCCATACTGCATAACCAGCACGTTAGTGGGCTAATCCGCGCTGTGCGAAATAATCATTATCACAATAAACTTGAATAACAGCTTTGCTATTTGGCATATCGGTTGTGAAGGGCCTTTGATTGGATTTATGTATTGATTATAGACAGAATACAAAGAAAATCTCTACAAATATACAAAATGTATATGTAACCATGGTTTTAAAATGCGTTACAGTTCATATGTAAATTAAATAAGTTGTAACATTTTCCCTGTTTAACCAGGAAAAGAGTTCGTCTTTCCCTTAATAGTCAATCTTTGTCATTCCATGCACGGAGATTTATTTAATTGATCATCTGTCTCTTTATAGACGGTCTTTGTTTTCTCCGCCGACTGTGTTAATGAAGTTAGTTAAGAGTGATTCATCGAAAAATGACAACTTTAATTTGAATATTGAAGCACGAGCCATTCAGCGTCGGGAGTTTCAGGAAAGATGATAAAACTCAGAGCTGCCAACTCTCTCGGTTTCGCCGTGAGACACACGCTTCTGCATGTTTAAACACGCACTCACGCCACACAACCAACTTCTCACGGCAAAAAAAAAAATTCTGATTTTGGGCCAAAGCGCGTTCGTTCCAACTCCCCGACGGTAGATGGCGCTAAGGAGCGCATCTGTAAGCCTGTTCGCTGCATAGACATCCTGTTTACCCCAAAGAGTCCCGGAGTTGGCAACAGAAGAAGATTTTCAAACAGACACTCAGGAGGAGCAAAGACTAAGGTACGTTAATGACACGTGGTTCAATTAAGTACTCACTCTCTTAAGCTTTAAATCTTCACAGAAATGATTACTTGTGTTTGTGCGTGTGACTTTGAGCGGTGAATGTAAACTCAGCTGTCATAACCAGCAGCAGGAGAGCACCTTGTTAACCTCTTGGTGTACTGCATGCTCAAAACATCATAGCATTGTTTATTAAGGCTGCTCACATAGCATTTATCTTTTTATTTACGGGCCAAAGAAAAAGACCCCCTCAAGAATTTTCCAAACAGCACTTTGAACAGGTAAGATGTATTCCAAAGAATTTGACATAAAGACAGGACATTTGTGCAATAGAATTAGGCATGTTTTTGTAAATGAGAGTAGAGTTATTAAAAAACATTTTAATTCTTTAAGGGAGCAAAGATGTCTCGTAAAAGACCTTTGCCAGGCCCAGGACAAAAGGGAAGTCTGTTATATTATTTAAAGAACCAGCCAAGTCAGAAAAGACAGAAAAGACAAACACACTGTCAGAACAGCCAGAACATCCATCCATCCATCCATTTTCAACCGCTTTTCCGGGGTCGGGTCGCGGGGGCAACAGCTCCAGCAGGGGACCCCAAACTTGCCTTTCCCGGGCCACATCTACCAGCTCTGCCAGCCAGAACAGTCAGACCAAATTATAGAAACAACAGGGCAACAGACAGAGGAACAACACACAGGACAGAGAGAGCAACAGACGGGACACACTGACAAAGTAGAGGAGCAACAGACACGAGCAATAGAAGCACATGCAGATAGATATAAATAGACCAACCAACAGTGCAGATGGAAGAAGACACAGAGAGACTCCCCCAAGCCAACAACAGGGCCAGAAGAGGCAAAACGAAATTGTACGCTCGTTTATTGTATTAAAACCAGTCAGGAAGGGGATTAGAAAGGGGTACAAAGGTACATTTATGAATGTGTAATGGATATAATTGAATGCCCTGAGCTGCTAATGTTAATTACTTGTTATATTGTGTGTGATGTTTTAGCCATGCGGCTTGCAGGCCTGGTTGGATCGGTATTGAATTGTTGTCCTGCACGTGTGCATAGGCTGTTTTTTTTTGGATACCACTGGAACCAGAAGCACTGTCCGGTCTGCCACCACATCTTCATCATCTTCATCCACCACCACCAAGAGAACCCTCACATCGGACGTCACAGTGCGCCTTGACTTTGGTTGTGCACAGAAGGGTGGTAGGACATATTTTTTTTGGACGATACTCCTTCTTTTATACGTTTTTCCAGATTGAACTCAGTCCTGAGATCTCAGAGGTTTCCTTTATTTTTGATGTTACCTGCTTGGACATTCTTTTGATGTGTGGAATCGTGCATTTGCTGAAGAAATGATTGTCTAATTGTGTTATAAATATTTGGGGTGGCCATTTCCTGTTTCCAATTGAATACTCAGCAGTTTCCTCATCGAACCTGGATTGAATTTGCATATCCCCCTATATTCTGTATATTCTGCACTGTCTCTAAGCGCCAGTTGCAGGGGAGGGGTTACACATACAAAAACATACATACCTACTCAAGCTTTAACTTAAAAGGTCACGTGAACTTAACAACCGCCATTTGGTTGCACTGTCCTTTAATTATTTATGAATCTGCTTTGGCCAATACTGCAGATATGCTGACACAACACATTGTCCCATCCAGTACAGTGGTGTGTCGATCACAGTCTCTGAGTGACAAGTCAATGTGGAACTGCAATACTAGCATGCATACTGCATGCAAATGAGCTGATTGGCAGTCAATATTAGTATTTATTAGGGCTGTCAACATAAACGCATCAATCTATGTGATTATTGTGGCCGAGATTAATGCAAACAAACGAAGAAACTAAATATTTTAACGTTGCTGTTATGTCGCTGTCCAGGGTCGGAACACGACACCACAATGCCCATCCGGTCCCGGGACCAGAATCATGGGGGCCTGGATGAGGGAGCCGTCCATACTGTCCATATCAGGGTTTGACCATTGGCAGGCCAGGGGCTTTGGGGTGGATTGGGCTATGGGGTAATGCGAGAAGGGGTTGGTCGGGGACATTGGTGTTGCTGGACCGCCCTGGTTCTGGAGTCTGGTGACGCTGCGCGTCTGGTATGGAGGTGGCGGTGGTCCCGCTTGTTGAGCTGGTTGAGGTGGGGGAGTTTGGTAGCATGTGTTCAGGAGAGGACCGCTTGGCCCTGTCAGGGATGGATACAGTGGAGAAAACACAAGTGGATTATTCTGTGTTTCTATGTCAGGCTTTTCAGGTTTTAAACACGTCATTTGCTTCATCGTTTGTTTTCTCTCCCTGCATTCACATTCCATTTCCCATTGTGCCAGACATGTCTGGTTTTTCTCTATTATTTCTAAATCTTTAACTATGATCTTTTTACCACTTGCTTCCAAAAGTCCTCGTAACATTTTAAGTTTAGCGGCACTCAACGAGCCGTTTTTTTGGAAACCCAAACTCTTTTGTCCAGAATGGGAGACACTCCGTACATGTTTTCCCGTATTTCTGCTGCATCATTTCCACAATTGGACCCGAGGGGTCCGTTTGCTTTGCGTTCTGGCCACCCATCTTTTACTGGCGTTGGACCCAACCGGTTTACTTATTACAATACAGTTGTCACCGCAAGGCGTAGTTTCTTTATACAAGGAAAAACTTTGCGAAAACTCACGTTAGGTTATTACCACAATCTTATTCGAGAGTTAATTCAGTAGAATTCACGTTTGGATATCACCCCGGTTATTATCAATATCACAGTTATTTTAGTAGAATTCACGTAATGGGGAATAACAACGGTCCTATTTCACCTGGGTAGTCAAGCGATCTGCGTTACGACCTCAGAGAATTTGTTCCGAGTGAAAACCTAATCGTACACAATCCTATCTACATCCGCATGAAGTGATGCTTTGGAAATATTCCGGAATCATGTACAATACTTCAAAATAAAAAAATAATTCCCCAAACTATCACAACCACTTGATCAGTCATCTGTGTCCGTTATGTTCTTAAACATACTTTATAATTGGAATTTCAACTTCTTACCAGAGTTTGTAGAAATGAATTCTTTTCTGCTGGATACACGTGACGTCAACCAGGACTCCTCTGGTTTCCGCCGGTCCTTTCTCTCTTGTCTAAGGAGGTATGAGGCAGGATCATCAGCTGGTGATCCTGGAAAGGGCCCTTTCCCCGGACGGTCAGTGTATCCTGTTCATGACCCCAAATTGTTGTGGAATATTTCAATAAAAGTTGTTCGGGAGAAGAGAATGACGGTTTATCTAATAAAAAAAACAGAGTTTTGATGAATGATCAAAGTTGCAAAAAGTCCATTTATTGCTCGCAAGCAGGAGGCCATATACACGTATCACAGTGCTCTGTGGAGATGCCGTCTCCGAGCAGTAAAAACGCAGAGTTTGTATACACATATGAAGGCCATCTTCAGTGGCAGGTACAAGAAGTTGCAAACCAAGTAGAGATAAGAACCACGGTTAAGATGGGGGAAACACACACAGTTTCTTTGTTCGAGCGCCCATGAGAGCAAGTTAACTCACTTCTTCAGACACAGCTGCATATGGAAACCTTAAATCTTTCTACTCATCAGGGTCAAATACAGACACATGAGGCACGGCTTTAGCACAAGACAATGTTATAACATTTTTACCATTACACTAATGACATCAACCCAGAAAACTAAATCAGCGACCAGAGCTGTCAAAGGTATTCACATTCATTACTGAAGTAGAGGTACAGATACGAGGGTTTAAAAAGACTCCTGTAGAAGTTGAAGTACCGACTCAAGCTTTTTACTAAGTAAGTATAAAAGTACTGGTCACACAACACGTCAGTCTGTTACAATGTGACCCGAAGGTGCCTGCAGTTCATCGACCTGCCGTTGGGATGATGGAAACAACAACAACAACAACAGATGTATCTGACTTAAACAGATAAAACCACAACCCATTTTCCAGTGACACGAGTCACACACACGTTGTTCCCATTGATGAGGTAGACTGCCGGTTTACTACGTCATGGGGGGGGCTGACTTTTTACGGAGTGGGGGTCGCACCCCTGTTTATATTGATGGGAAACACTGAACTGGCAGCGGTCGGTTATCAAAACATCGGCCAAATAACCAGTATTTTCAGGCTTCATGAGCAAATACAGAATCCCTTTGTGTTCATTAATCAAGCCGCAGTAGGACACACATCACTTTATTTAATACGCTGCTTGCAAGTCGCTGTGTTGTGCCAGACTCAATAAAACTCAATAAGACTCTATAAAACATTTAGGACAAACCCACCATGAAGATGCTCATTTAACGTTACGTGGAATCTGCGTGAGGAAGAGGAGGAGGAAGAGGAGGAGGCTCCATGTCGCTAAATATCAACTTTCCACCACTTTTCCCACCCGGTGTCGCTCCGATCTGCCGGCGCATCGCGGAGAAAACCAACCGGGTGTCTGGATGCTAAATGTTTATATTCTCATCCAAACACAATCACATTCACTGTCCGGATAGCGCCATTTATCTATTATCTATATCTATTTTTTGTCTTTGTGTTGTTGAACTGCGACAAGCCGGAAGTAACAAGACTGTTTTTAAAATGTAAGAAGTAGAAAGTACAGATATTTGCGTGAAAATGTAAGGAGTAGAAGTAAAAAGTCGTCTGAAAAATAAATCCTTCAGTAAAGTATAGATACCCAAAATTTCTACTTAAGTACAGTAACAAAGTATTTGTACTTCGTTACTTGACACCTCTGACAGCGACCCTGCATAGCGCAACAGCGTATCCATCCGCCACCCAAAGACACGCTGAAATAACGGATGCAAATGCATGTCATTTGGTCAAAGACAAGGGTCCAATAAATACAGTGAGCAATGAAGGCTTCAGAGAAATGGTCAAAAGACTAATTATTTTCATTTGGTTGCATATGTATTTTTAGTTAGCCCTTTATTTTGGTTAAAGATATTTTTTATCTGAAGCAAAATATACATAATAAGAACCATATAAGTTTTGTTTTGATGTGAAGACCTGTACATTAGCTGAAATGTAGCGCAACTTGCAAGATAAAGCAGTGTTCTTTTTTTGTTTAAACGTGAAAGTGTCACGGTGTGGTTCACTTCCTGTTGTATTTTGTAGTTTTCTGCCACTCGTGTCCCCGGGTAACTTCACTTCCTGCCTTGTCCCGTCATCCCCTGTGATCGTCTTAATAGTTTACACCTGTGTCCAATCACCTGCACCTCCCTTGTGTATTTAAGCCGTGTGTCTCTTGTGTCACTGGTCGCGTCATTGTCTTTTGTCACGCAAGTGCTTGTCTCTTGTTGTGGATGTGCTTAGTTTCTTGCCTGCTGTTTTTCCTCCCGGTTCCTGTGTTTTTTGGCCTTTTGACTATTAAAGGCCTTTTGTTTCCCGCAAGTCTGCGTTTGAGTCCTGCCTCCCACCCGCATCCCCTGACAGAAAGTGCAATAAAAAGTTGTCCCTTAATGAATAAATAATCCTGATCAATAATCCTGATCAAAATAACCGTGATTATGATTTTGGCCATAATCGTGCAGCCCAAGTCCCTTGTCAGTTTGTTAGTCTTTTTGGGTTGCTGTTGCTGTAATCTTGGTGCACGCTTGGCCCTATGTATTCTATAGTCAACTTTAAATAATAATAATAAATAATAAAAGTTTCTTTTGATTTTGTAACCAGGATAGTTTGAGTACCGTTATATATTGTTTTTTAATTGTGATGTAACAAGATTGATAATCTACGTGTTTCTCAATCTGGTCTAATGTGTTTCCGGTCGTTGAGCATCAGTGTCAATCACAGCAGTTTTACATATATGCTTTTCATTTGTTATTTTGAGAAATGCAGACTCCCGATTGGGTACAGGAAAATAAATCCTACCCCTCCTAGAAAAATATCAGCGTGAAGGAGTGCTAACTTTTTAATAACGGATCAAAAATATTGATGCATTGGTTTAAAAAAAAAGATAACGAGGAAATTGTGTTCATAGCATAGTATAGTATAGTATATACAGAAGTATAGTTCTCCTTTTTGTGTGTGATACAGTGGAGAAAATAAAGCATTTATTTTGCAGGAATGTAACCAAAGAAACCATTTTCATGACTGTGTGATGTCATCAAATGGTTGCCATGGTTACATGCGTGTCATTTGATCGTCAGGAATGTAACCATAGAAACTATTTGATGACATCCGACATCCGACAGTGTCATTTGACCACTGTGTGACATCATCAAATGGTCGCTATGGTTACATGCGTGTCATTTGATCTCATCAGTCATTCCTTTGATCTTCATAAGGCAAGACATTCCATAACTCATAACAGAAGGGGCCACTGCAGAGCTCCTGAGAGCTGAAGTTGAAACGTTTTACCCCCAGTGCAAGGACTGATCTGCACAAGTCAGGTGAGGTTTTCACAAATATGGACAACTCCAAAAGTGAGGAATCATCCTGCATGGAATCCGACTGTGAATCTCCAACCTCATCGGAACCATTGCAGGAAAAAGAGCTTTTCATACACAACAAGTCTGTACAATACAAAGTATTGGAGTTTATTGGAGAAGGATGTTTTGGCAAAGTAGCCAAGTGTGTCAATATGAATACAAATGAGAATACGGCCATAAAGATCCTCAAAGACGTCAATTATTATGCAGAGGAAGTAGAAATGCTGGAAAAGCTCAGGACACTTGACCCAGAGAGAAACAACTTGGTGAGATTCATGGACAGTTTCATAGTCGATGACAAGTCTTGCATCGCTTTTGAGTGTCTAGACAGGAGTCTTTGGGATTTGATGTTACAGAGAAAAAAACGATTGACTCTTAATGAAATCCGTCCTATAACCCGTCAGCTACTTGTAGCACTCAACGCCCTGAAGGGTATCGGCCTCCTGTACACAGACCTGAAACATGACAACGTTATGCTCGTCAACCACAAAGATGAGCCCTTCAGAGTGAAATTAATTGACTTTGGTTTGGCCATGCCAGCCTCCGAAGTATGGGAAGGAATGATTGTACAACCTTGTGCATACCGAGCACCAGAAGTGTCCTTGGGCCTCCCCATATCTGAAGCCATTGACATGTGGTCACTGGGATGTCTCTTGGCATCTTTGTTTTTTTGCAAGAACATCTTCAAAGGACAATCATCGTACGACGTAATGAAAACTATTTGCTGTCTGCTCGGTCAGCCACAAGACCACCTGCTAGATGCTGGAAAATACACTCACCAGTATTTCAAGAGGAAACGCTGCACTCGCAATTCACGATGGAGACTGAAAACTTTAGAACAGTACAATAATCAAAATGATGACCAGCTGCAATTTTCAGAGTGGGAATTCGACCATATCGGAAATTTGGCTGACGCAGTGAACAAATATTCAAATGCAATTGAGGAGGTTGAAGTTGAAGACACAAGGGCATTCTTAAATCTCCTTCAAATGTTGCTCAATCCAGATGCTGAGATGAGAATAACACCTCAGCAAGCCTTGGAACATTCTTTTGTCACCATGAGTCACCTGGCTGACTACGCTCACAGAAGCTCTTATACACAAGCTGCCTTTGAGCTGATGGTCGTCTGCCCTGCGTGTGATTCAGACGAATATCATGAATATCTCAGCGATTTTGAAAGCAAAACAGAATCATCTGACTCAGGAGAGGTTTTCTCAAACATGGACAACTCCAGCAGTGAGGAATCATCCTGCATGGAATCCAACTGTGATACTCCAACCTCACCGGAACCATTGCAGGAAGACGAGCTTTTCATACTCAACAACAAGTCTGTACGATACAAAGTATTGGAGTTTATTGGAGAAGGAGGTTTTGGCAAAGTAGCCAAGTGTGTCAATTTGAAAACAAATGAGAATACGGCCATTAAGATCATCAAAGACGTCAATTATTATGCCTGGGAAGTAAAAATGCTGGAAAACATCAGGACACTTGACCCAGAGAAAAACAACTTGGTGAGATTCA